AAATGTACTCTTTTGAAAAAAGTATACACAGATGGATGGACCTAGACACACAGACGGACAGGTACACAGAGTGGAGACAGAGGGCCAGGGACACAGACTGATGGAGACGGACGGACAGGGACACAGACTGATGGAGACGGACAGACAGGGACACAGACTGATGGAGACAGACTGAAAGAGGGACAGGGACACAGACGGACAGACGGGGACGCAGATAGACGGATGGAGACACAGACGAACAGACTCAAACGGACCGACACTCACTTGCTCACTCACTCACTGCATGTTTTTGCATTGCTTCTTACTCCAGACGAGAATTTGGAAGTAGCTGTTAATTTCAAAGTTTAGTCCCAAATGTAAAAGTTAAAAGCAAATGTTTAGTTGGTCTACATACATTTGGTGGGTAGCTGTTGGGGTTTAGCAATTCTGTTGGCAGTCTTTAGCCAATTTTCAGAGTGAAAACATTAACTACACACAACCACTGTTATTATTTAAGACATTTAATAGGCAGTTCCTAGTGCTCTGCAATGTGTATTTACATTAAAGTGTTTCATGAAAAGTTACTTTGATTTAAATATGGGATCATTTATGCACTTTACATTTTTAATTAATTGTATATTTTTTATTTAAAATGTTTGAGTTGGTACATGTGTTAAATGGGTGGAGAGAAATTACCTGTTTAAATAAAAGCTTGAATATAAATAAGCACTTTATGTTGTATTTATTTAACTTAACAATGTAGCCATTACTACTTTAGTTTTGTTGAATCAACACAAGCCCACTACATAAATATAATTAATTTCTGTTAAGTTGATCAAACTTAACCGTGTTTGGTTGAACCAATGTGAGATTAGTAAATCCAACATAATGTTGTTGGGCTTATACAATCTAACACTGTCATGTTACTGTAAAGTGAGAATGTTGAGTATACTTTATCTAACATCTGGTGTTCAAATTAATTGTGATTTGCATTTCCAATTTAAACAACACAGTTTCGTGGAACCGGTTGCCATAAAAAAGTTAAGTAAAGTCAACATTTCATTTCTTACAGTGTGGTTTTTCAATAATGCCCTCTTTCACTAAGCTCTGAAGGAAGTCTATAATCTTTTTCCTAAACCCACTGGCCCACTTTTAGAATGTTGAAAAGAATTATGGTTTTGGACCGAGAATTCATTCCCTGAAGTCCGCTAGTTTGAGGACGAAACATCGAGAAAACTTGCAAAGAAGTACAGATGATGGGTGAGAAACCTTCCTTTGCTTAGACAATGGGACGCCACAAGGGAGTATTGTGAGTCCAGTGTTCTTCTCCATAATGATAAATGAGATTTTTTGTAATGTTGAAGGGTCTGTTGGAGTGTCACTGTTCGCGGATAATGGAGTAGTATGGAAGCGAGGAAGGAATGTAAAATATATAGTGGGGAAGATTCAAGAAGCGATACAGAAAGTTGAATCGTGGTCTGTAAAGTGGGGATTTAGGTTCTCTGTTGCAAAAACAAAAGTAATGAGTTTTACGAGAAAGAAAAAGGCTGTTGTTAATATTAATCTGTATGGGGAGAGATTGGAGGTAGTGAATGAGTTTAAATATTTAGGATTATGGTTTGACACTAGAGTGACATGGAAGGGGCATATTCAAAAGATTGTAGAGAAAAGAAAAAAAGTTTTTAATATAATGGGATGTTTGAGAGGTCGGGATTGGGGAGCAAGCGGGCCTGCCTTAAGAAGGTCTATGTTGCGCTTGTTAGGTCAGTGATTGATTATGGATGTGTGGTGTTTACTTCTGCGTCAAAAAGTAATCTTAAGAAGTTAGATGTGGTTCAGAGCCAAGCCTTAAGGATATGCAGTGGTGCAATGACGTCAACTCCAGTGGCAGCCTTGCAGGTTGAGATGGCAGAGATGCCATTGGAACTACGAAGAAAGCAACTAATGCTCAATTACTGGGCTAACCTCAGAGGGTACAGCAGAGGTCATCCAGGGTTGGAGGTGTTAAGACCCTGTCAAGAGAAATTCAAACTACAAGTGAATAGCTTTGGATGGGTCTGTGAGAGTGAAGTGAAAGAAGCACAGATATTTCATTTAGACATGAGTCCAACAGTGCCACTTTCAGTTATCCCTCCTTGGAATATGAAAGAGGTAAGCATTGATCTGGGTCTTTTATCTAGGGAAATATGGGGAGCAAGTAATGGTTTTTGGGGGAGCAAGTAATGGTTTTTACTGATGCGTCAAAGTTAGAGGATGGGAGGATTAGAGTTTCTTTTGTCATCCCAAATAAGTGACAATTTAGCAGTATATACAGGTGAGCTTATAGCAATTCTATTAGCATTGGAATGGGTGGAAGAAAGTGGACCAGAGAGAAGTGTAGTAGCTTCAGATTCAAGTAGTGCAGTAGTAAGTATTAAAAACATGAATTTGAGATCCAGACCAGATATAATAGTAGAGATAGGACACACTCTAGAGAGAATATATATGGGTAAAGTGGTGACATTAGTGTGGGTCCCAGCTCACATAGGGGTGGAGGGAAATGAGTTAGCAGATATGTTTGCAAAAGGAGGGGCAAAAAAAGGGGAGGTTGACTTTCCAATGAAGTATAGTAAAGCAGAAATCAAAAGCATAATAAAAGTAAAAGTGAGAGAGCAGTGGCAAGAAAGGTGGCAAGAGGGGTTACAAGGAAGATTTTTGTATGAAATACAAAAGGAAGCAGAGCTTAAGATGAAGGATTGGGGTTCGCTAAATAGAAGGGAGGAAGATATATTGTCAAGGTTGAGATTAGGGCATACAGGACTAAATGATACATTGAGAATAATAGGGAAGCATGAGACAGGCAACTGTGATGTGTGCAGGACAAGGGAAAATGACGCCATTATTCAGTGCCCCAGATATAGAGAGTATAGGGAGCCACTTAAACAAGTACTGAGAAGTCATAAAATTGGATATTGTGTAAAGGATATATTGAAAGATTGTGATAAAGAGGTTGTTAGAAAAGAATTGTTTAAGTTTCTGAAGAAATCTGGGTTGGAAGGTAGGATTTAAGGCTAGGATCTAGTTGTTGTCTGTGGGGGCCATCCTGGCCCACACTCCACTCCGGAAGGTGGCAGTAATGCACCAAAAGTTGTTTGCAAACTGCCATAAAACAACACGAGAAGAAGAAGAAGAAGAATGTTCAGACAAAAGTGACTGAATTATCACCATCAAAGAAAGATGAGGAAAGATCTTAGCTCCTGTGGACTCAGCTCCTGCAGGAGGTCAGTGAGGGGCTGGTGCTCTGTGGACTAGGTGCAGCTCTGACTGCCACCCAGATATGGATTAAGGGGAAGAAAATGGACAGATGGATCTTACATCAAAGAAATGTACATGTTACATTTGGCATCGATGAGATCATTCAGATCATTCAGATCACTCGGATCACTCGGATCACTCTGATCACTCGGATCACTCGGATCACTCGGATCACTCGGATCACTCGGATCACTCGGATCACTCGGATCACTCGGATCACTCGGATCACTCGGATCATTCGGATCAGTCGGATCACTCTGATCACTCGGATCACTCGGATCATTCGGATCATTCGGATCACTCGGATCACTCGGATCACTCGGATCACTCGGATCACTCGGATCACTCGGATCACTCGGATCACTCTGATCACTCGGATCACTCGGATCACTCGGATCACTCGGATCACTCTGATCACTCGGATCACTCGGATCACTCGGATCACTCGGATCACTCGGATCACTCTGATCACTCGGATCACTCGGATCACTCGGATCACTCGGATCACTCGGATCACTCGGATCACTCGGATCACTCGGATCACTCGGATCATTCGGATCACTCGGATCATTCGGATCACTCGGATCACTCGGATCACTCGGATCACTCGGATCACTCGGATGACTATATTGTGATAATGTCTTAGATATGATAAACCTTGTAAGTAATGCCTTCAATCACAGGGGATACTTTAGCTTGCCTTAGCAACCATCTTAGCAACGGTTTTAGCCTCCGTTACTGCGGGAAGCTAACGCCGTTGGATCAAATGCAGCTAAAGCGGAGGTTCTGTAGGACAGAAGCACTACGGTCACTGCTCAGTCCTCCTGTTGCTGTGGCAACAGCATCTGTCAATCACACTCAACTAGCATCTTGGTCTGCATCAAGCCTCACCATTGTACAGGAAGCTTTCTCCATGTCCGCCTCCTGCTCTTTCACCTTCTCCTGCTCCCACTACCTCCCACCACCAGGGTCTAAGCCACGGGGGATTATAAATGTAATCTCTATCTTCATGTCCCTTTCTGCATCATCACAGGTCTCTGTCGGGGTCTAACCAAACCACACTAAGACCAAACTAATCTTAACCACACTTCTGTTCAACATGCTAACGTCGTCCGTCAGATTCTATATTAATGAACCTTAGTTTTGTTTGTTCAAGTCCCTCCACTTTGAAATGCACGTATGAGGAAATGTGTGAGCTATCTAATATGTCAGCTAGCTTGTGTTCAAATCAGCTTCTTCTACATCCAGACAACTGTGCAACACAAATAACAGGGTGCTTACTCTTTTTCCAAATTAAAATTTCCGTCTTTTTTAAAGACCTTAACTGTATGTACTTGTATACTTGTGTGCCGTCTGCCTACTTCATTGGTTGAGATTAACCAACTATGTTTATTAGAAATGTTGATTTTTATAGTCAGTGACATCACAAAAATGTGCCAGAATAGGCTAAGCAAGCGTTGATTGGATATAATTCTATTTGGCTAATACAGTACGTGACCAGTTAGTAAAATTATAGTTTTATAGCCTACCTTCCTATTTATCATTTCACAATGACTTTGAGCATATACATATACCATATTTTTTTTCCATACTTTACTAAGACTTTCACACAAAATTCAAGACTTTTCAAGGTCTGGAAAACAGTGTTTCAAAATTCCATACTTTTAAAAACTTTCAAGATTTGCACAAGCACCCTGAATAAACCTGGTCTGCACATACACACTCACCTGTGAGCACGCTCAGACGCACGTTTGTGTCAGAATCTGTTCTTCCTTCCAGACGACACAGATATAAACCTGCGTCTGCATCTGTGACGTTGTGCAGAGAGAGAGAGCAGTTCTGGTTCTGCCTTCGCCGGGGGTCTCCCTGGATCTTCTGACCCTCTGACTGAGGATCTCTGTAGTCGAACCACTCACACCCTGTTGGATAATTAGAAAGTCGGTCACAGGGCAGAGTGATGCTCTGTCCCGCTCTGGAGAAAAGATAGACTTCATCTGCGCTCACTACTGCAAGAAAAACAAAACAAAAACAAAAGGACAGAGATTAGACCTGTTGCTAAGACGAGTTTACTTTTACATAGAGTCAGAGAGAGATGGAGCTAAAGATCGTTCATGAGCACCTCCCTGTTGGGCTTCACTGAGCGAGCGGGTTAGCATTGTCAGATTCAGTTTCAGTTTATTCTCCATGTAATATATACAGTCTATTGTGGGCATAGTGAATATTAGACACCCCCCGATATATTTTTTATTTCATATTGTTTGTTATATATATATATATATTTTTTTTTTCTTTCATTTCATATCATTATTTTCAGTTAAAAGTCATAAATATGGTAAACATGTATTAGATCGCTTTAGTGTAGTTCCTGCTCCCGACCACAAGGCGGCGCCACTCCACTTGTACCTCGTGTCTGTGCCCAGATTAGCAGTTCTGCACGAGTATGGCAGAAAACACAGCAGACACGAGAGTTAATGAATTGTTTATTGTTTTGCAGAAATAAAAAAGTCAACTACTGCACCACCTTGAGTTTGATCATTCAAGTGTTCAACTCTCCATGCCTCTGCTCTGTATTGCATTCTGTTGTTCGTGTTGTTCGTGCTGTCTCTACCATTGACAATAAAACATGTCTTCTGTCAGAATGAAAGACGCGATCCCAGACATGTCATCTTCTTCAATCCGTTTACAGTAAAACCACATTCGAATACATGTGCGAGAGTTCCCGGTGTGCACCAGAAGAAGCTGGAACATGGCTTTTCCAGGGGCCTGAAGATTCATTGATTATTCTAAGAGCTGGATTTAAGTCTGGATTGATGAAGGAGCTCCATAATCTGAACACAGTCTGTGTTAGCCATGTCCATCTGTGAACAGTCTGGACCAAGCTGGACCCTGTTGCGGTGAGGCACAGGTGGTGAGAGGTGCTCGTACCTGTGATCAGCAGCAGACAGAGGTTCGTCCTCAGCGTCAGAGACATGTCTTCGTGAGTCTCTCTTCACATTTGTGAAATGTCTCTTCCTCTTTTGACTAAACACAGAACTTTCCTCCCACTGAGAGCAGCACGTCTTTAAACATGTGTCAATGACTTCACTTTGTTCCTCAGACCACAGACCACGCCTCCTCCTCTGCTCTCTCTGCTCTGTCTGGTCTCTCTGGTCTCTCTCTGGTCTCTCTCTGGTCTCTCTCTGGTCTCTCTAGGGTCTCTCTAGGGTCTCTCTAGGGTCTCTCTAGGATCTCTCTGGGCTCTCTAGTCTCTCTCTGGTCTCTCTCTCTGGTTTCTCTAGTCTCTCTCTGCTCTCTTTCTGGTCTCTCTCTGGTCTCTCTCTCTGGTCTCTCTCTGGTCTCTCTCTGGTCTCTGGTCCCTCTCTCTGGTCTCTCTCTCTGGTCTCTCTAGTCTCTTTCTGGTCTCTCTCTGGTCTCTCTCTCCAGCCTCTCTGGTCTCTCTCTGGTCTCTCTCTGATCTCTCTCTGGTCTCTCTCTCTGGTCCCTCTAGTCCCTCTCTGGTCTCTCTCTGGTCTCTCTCTCTGGTCTCTCTCTCTGGTCTCTCTCTGGTCTCTCTCTGGTCTCTCTGGTCTCTCTCTGGTCTCTGTCTGGTCTCTCTGGTCTCTCTCTGGTCTCTCTGGTCTCTCTCTGGTCTCTCTCTGGTCTCTCTGGTCTCTCTCTGGTCTCTCTGGTCTTTCTCTCTGGTCTCTCTCTGATCTCTCTCTGGTCTCTCCCTGGTCCCTCTCTGGTCTAAAAATGCGACTGAGACCAGAAACACAAGGATTTAAGAAGGGAGACCAGACCATGACCAAGACCGAGAGCAAACCAAAACCAGACTAGAACCAGATCAAATCCAAAGACCAGGATCCAAACAGATATGTGAAAACTAGTGATAGAAGCAACAGTTTTGGAGCCTGGAGAGACATGGGTTTATTACAGAGTTCCAAATGCTGTGGTGTGATGAGGAACACCATAAATGCTAAATAATACAAATGTGAAACGTTTGAAGAAAATGAATATTTGCTGCAGTCGGTGGAAGCTGTGAACAGGAAGTGACATCAGCACCGAGTCCATGAAAGGAGAAGTGGAACCTTTAAAATATCTTTTCTATAGATAGATTTAGAGCAATAACAGATTCTGAATCTGTTGTTGCTCTAAATATCGAATTCCTCACTTGGGTCTCTCTTTCTGGTCTCCCTGGATTCTCTCCCTAGTCTCTCTCTGGTCGCTCTGGTCTTTCTCTGCTGTCTCTCTCTGGTCTCTCTTGGCTCTATATGTGGTCTCTCCCTGGTGCCTCTCTCTCTGGTCTCCCTCTCTCTGGTCCCTTTTGGTCTCTCTCGTCTCTCTCTCCCTCTGGTCTCTCTCTGGTCTCTCTCGTCTCTCTCTCGTCTCTCTCTCTCTCTGGTCTCTCTCTGGTCTCTCTCGGTCTTTCTCGGTCTCTCTCTGGTCTCTCTCTCTCTCTCTCTCTGGTCTCTCTCTGGTCTCCCTCTCTGGTCTCCCTCTCTGGTCTCCCTCTCTCTGGTCTCTCTCTCTGGTCTCCCTCTCTGGTCGCCCTCTGGTCTCCCTCTGGTCTCCCTCTCTGGTCTCTTTCTGGTCTCTCTCTGGTCTCACCTGGTCTGTATGCGGCTGAGATGAGCACCCTGTTGTCTGCGTTGAGGTAATGGCAGGAGAGCGTTCTGATTGGCTGATGCTGGAGGGTGATGTACGACACACAGTTTGTTTGTGTGATCCTGGTGTCGTCACTGGACCTGCCCTCATCCTCGAGCACCCAGCGAAGCCTGTGCTCCCTACAGACTCTGCTGAACCGGGACACGGCACACTGGACCCTGAAACCAGGACCAGGGGCAGGACCAGGACCAGGACCAGGACCAGGAGGAGCTAGAGAGACTGAGAGAAAAACAGATTCACCGCAAAGAAACACTGAAGTAGAGAAGGGTTATCAGATAACAATCTGGTCTCTTTTTCTCTCTCTCTGGTCTCTCGCTGGTCTCTCTTTCTCTCTGGTCTCTCGCTGGTCTCTCTCTCTCTGGTCTCTCGCTGGTCTCTTTCTCTCTCTCTCTGGTCTCTCTTTCTCTCTCTCTGGTCTCTCGCTGGTCTCTCTCTCTCTCTCTGGTTAATATGGTCTGAACCAGGACTGATTCTGAACCAGGACTGATTCTGAACCAGGACTGAACCAGGTCTGAACCAGGTCTGAACCAGGTCTGAACCAGGTCTGGACTAGGTCTTTATCAGGACATAAACACAACATAACGGACAGCATAAACCTGTTTCCTGTTTCCTATGCCACTGCTCCCATGTCAGGAGGTTCTTAAATACTGATACTAATCAGAATAATGACAATGTGACGAGCCGTGGAGCTGTGTTTGGGTGAATGAAGCTCTCACCGTGGATGAGTCCCAGGTACAAGGTGATGCTGTGGTTCCACTGGTGCAGACGGCACTGGTACCTCCCAGAGTCTGCATCTGTGACGGTGACAACTACCAGAGAACAGTCCTGGGACAGACGGAACCTGGACCATAGAGAACATCAGAGAGAGACCAGTGAGAGACCATAGAGAGACCATAAAGAGACCATAGAGAGACCATAAAGAGACCAGGGAGAAACCATAGAGAGACCAGGGAGAGACCATAAAGAGAGCAGAGAGAGACCATAGAGACACTATAAAGAGACCGGAGAGAGACCAGGGAAATACCAAAGAGAGGGAGAGATCATAAGGAGACCATAGAGAGACCAGAGAAAGACTAGGGAGAGATATGAGAAAGACTAGAGGGAGACCATGAGACTAGAGAGAAACCAAAGAGAGAGATTAGAGAGAGACCAGAGAGAGGCCAGAAAAAGACCAGAGAAAGACCAGAGAGCGACTAGAGAGAGAAAAGTTCTGGAACAGAGGGAACCTGGACGACTCTCCTCTTCCTCGTTTCACTCTGTTCTCTCCCGGATCGCCATCCTGGTAGAAGTGAAACCAGCTGACACCTGAGCAGTCCGGACCATGTGGATCCTGTCTCAGAAAGGGCAGAGTGGCATCTTCCCCGACTCTAAAGAAATAATATTGTGCTGCTCCTCCTGCAAGACACAGCAACATTAGAATCTGAGATCATTGGTCTTAGACAGAGACCAGAGAGAGACCAGAGAGAGCAGAGAGAGACCAGAGAGAGAGCAGAGAGAGACCAGAGAGAGAGCAGAGAGAGACCAGAGAGAGACCTGAGAGAGAGACCTAAGAGAGAGCAGAGAGAGACCAGAGAGAGACCAGAGAGAGACCAGAGAGAGAGCAGAGAGAGACCTGAGAGAGAGACCTAAGAGAGACCAGAGAGAGACCTGAGAGAGAGACCAGAGAGAGACCAGAGAGAGACCAGAGAGAGACCTGAGAGAGAGACCTGAGAGAGACCTGAGAGAGACCAGAGAGAGACCAGAGAGAGAGCAGAGAGAGAGAGTAGAGAGAGAGCAGAGAGAGAGCAGCGAGAGAGCAGAGAGAGACCTGAGAGAGACCAGAGAGAGAGACCAGAGAGAGACCTGAGAGACAGCAGAGAGAGACCAGAGAGAGACCTGAGAGAGACCAGAGAGAGACCTGAGAGACAGCAGAGAGAGACCTGAGAGAGACCAGAGAGAGACCAGAGAGAGACCAGAGAGAGAGACCTGAGAGAGACCAGAGAGACAGCAGAGAGAGAGCAGAGAGAGACCAGAGAGAGACCAGAGAGAGAGACCTGAGAGAGACCAGAGAGAGACCAGAGAGAGACCAGAGAGAGAGAGGCCTACTGTAGGACACAGACATATGAACACCCAATATTCATCAACATTTATAGACATTGGTCTCTGCTCCTTTTGGACCAATGGCTCTATGTGTTTTTTATCTCTGTATTTCTTCAGTTTGAACTGTTGATTTTCTGATCAGCAATTTTTTTATAAAGTCGTTTGAGATAACTGCTGTTGTGATTTAGGGCGATATAAGAATACATTGAAGAGGATCGGTGCGAGAACAGTCCCCTGGAGGACCCCCCCACACTGCAGGTCAGGACCTCAGAAACAAAGGTGGGACAGAAGCTTCTCCGGGGGATATTTCAAATAAAACACATTGTTCTGAAATCGTCGCAAGACTCACCTCCAAACTGCAGCAGGAAGAAGAAGAAGAAGAACCTTGTGAAATCCACTGGACTCATGTTTGTAACAGGTGGCGTTTTCTGAAGTCATTTCTCTTCCTCTTTTTGGCTGAAAGTGATTTTAAACTCCTGCCCCTCTCTCCCTCACCTCCCTCACCTCTTGCCCCTCCCTCCCCCCTGCCCCTCTCTCCCTCACCTCCCTCACCTCTTGCCCCTCCCTCCCTCCCCCCTGCCCCTCTCTCCCTCACCTCTTGCCCCTCCCTCCCTCCCCCCTGCCCCTCTCTCCCTCACCTCTTGCCCCTCTCTCCCCCCTGCCCCTTTCTCCCTCACCTCCCTCACCTCTTGCCCCTCCCTCCCCCCCTGCCCCTTTCTCCCTCACCTCTTGCCCCTCCCTCCCCCCCTGCCCCTTTCTCCCTCACCTCCCTCACCTCTTTCCCCTCCCTCCCCCCCTGCCCCTTTCTCCCTCACCTCCCTCACCTCTTTCCCCTCCCTCCCCCCTGCCCCTTTCTCCCTCACCTCCCTCACCTCTTGCCCCTCCCTCCCTCACCTCTTTCCCCTCCCTCCCCCCCTGCCCCTCTCTCCCTCACCTCCCTCACCTCTTGCCCCTCCCTCCCCCCTGCCCCTCTCTCCCTCACCTCCCTCACCTCTTGCCCCTCCCTCCCTCCCTCACCTCCCTCACCTCTTGCCCCTCCCTCCCTCCTGTGTCACGGACAGCGGAGGTGAGAGAACAAACCATGGTTCAATTTCCCAGTTTTAAAATTTAAGAAAGACGTGAGTTTATGTGTGAAGACTAGACTTGGACTAAGGTTTAGACTGGAGCTGGGACTAAGATGAGGACTCTGGTCAATAGACTTTAGGTCATGTCCTTGTCTTGGGACACGGTCACAGAGGTTTTCACAAACAAACTAGACCTAAACAAAGGTCCAGTCCAAATGTGGTGTAGTACAACACTCGGTCCAGCTGGTGGCGCTATGACTAACTTCAGCAACTACCTCAGGATACGTGTGTGTATGTGTGTGTGTGCGGCGGACACGGAAGCACGCCCTGGAGTAAGCGGCGGCCTGAGAAATGAAAGACTGAAAAGTGTGGGGTACGAGCGACCGGAGCAGGATACAAGTGAATGTTGTTGTGTTTCGGTGACAAAATAAAGTGTGACTCTTGTAAAACAGTTTGAAGTGTTTTTGGAACAGCACCACACTGTGACAGCGAGGGTCAGAACAGAAACACAAATCTCCCCTTCGCCCAATTGTGTTACTCATGAAAGGTGTAACACAAGCAAGAGAGAGTAAAGAACACAAAAGTATGCGACTGCAGGAGAGACGTGTGTGAAAATGCACGTCACAGCGGACACAGCAGGACGACATAGAACCAGAACCAGAGAGTTTTAGACAAACAACAGAATGTGGTGGATATTGATGGACCTGGATCCAGTTCAGAAAGTATTTTATTTAAACCAAAACACACAGGAACAGATGTATGTACAGTGTATACAGACAGCCACATCCTCAGCTCTGTGTGTGAGTCTCAGTCTGCAGCAGTGCTCTGGTCCTGGCTGTAGGGGGCGCTGTGCTCTGTGTGTGAGTCTCAGTCTGCTGCAGTGCTGTGGTCCTGGCTGTAGGGGGCGCTGTACTCTGTGAGTGAGTCTCAGTCTGCTGCAGTGCTCTGGTCCTGGCTGTAGGGGGCGCTGTGCTCTGTGTGTGAGCCTCAGTCTGCTGCAGTGCTGTGGTCCTGGCTGTAGGGGGGCGCTGTACTCTGTGAGTGAGTCTCAGTCTGCTGCAGTGCTCTGGTCCTGGCTGTAGGGGGCGCTGTGCTCTGTGTGTGAGCCTCAGTCTGCTGCAGTGCTGTGGTCCTGGCTGTAGGGGGCGCTGTACTCTGTGAGTGAGTCTCAGTCTGCTGCAGTGCTCGGGTCCTGGCTGTAGGAGGCGCTGTGCTTTTTGTGTGAGTCTCAGTCTGCTGCAGTGCTCTGGTCCTGGCTGTAGGAGGCGCTGTGCTCTGTGTGTGAGTGAGTCTCAGTCTGCTGCAGTGCTCTGGTCCTGGCTGTAGGAGGCGCTGTGCTCTGTGTGTGAGTGAGTCTCAGTCTGCTGCAGTGCTCTGGTCCTGGCTTTAGGGGGCGCTGTGCTTTGGAAGTTCACCGTGGAATACATCACAGTGTCATTTTCAAACTGCAGAACAGAGAACAGATCAAACACACAGACTAGAGGCCACCAGCGGTACTGCAGCCTCAATCCCCAAGGACTAGAGGCCACCCGCGGTACTGCAGCCTCAATCCCCATGGACTAGAGGCCACCCGCGGTACTGCAGCCTCAATCCTCATGGACTAGAGGCCACCCGCGGTACTGCAGCCTCAATCCCCTTGGACTGGAGGCCACCCGCGGTACTGCAGCTTCAATCCCCTTGGAATAGAGGGAGATTTTCCCACAGACCTCAGTGTCACTATTGGCTCGTCCTCAGACACAGAACGACAGCTTTGACAAAGGAGTATTTTGTGTGGATTTTAGTGGTCTCTGTCTCATGACCTTCATATTTCTTTAATCAAACGGTTTTCTATAAATCCATACTTTTGTGCAAGAAACATGGTGCGTCAGCTGTGTGCTGATTGGTCAGAACGCTCACATGTCCTCTTGTCTCGCTCTGGTCTATCCTGGGCCTACAGCCTTAGTCCTGGGTCTACAGCCTTAGTCCTGGGTCTACAGCCTTAGTCCTGGGTCTACAGCCTCAGTCCTGGGTCTACAGCCTCAGTCCTGGATCTAGACCCTCAGTCCTGGTTTCTCTCCATGGTTTACCTGGTTCTTGGGTCTCTCTGGTCCATGGGTGATTGTGGCATAAGTCAAACAGTTTTCTGGATCCGGCTGCAGTGAAGAAACAAAACAAGTTACACACAGTTCATGGTTTGGCCACCAAAGGAAACAAACTAGAGAGAGACTAGAGAGACCAGAGAGAGACCAGAGAGGGACCAGAGAGAGACCAGAGAGAGACCAGAGAGACCAGAGAGAGAACAGAGAGAGACCAGAGAGAGAACAGAGAGAGAACAGAGAGACCAGAGAGACTAGTGAGAGACCAGAGAGAGACCAGAGAGACCAGAGAGAGACCAGAGAGAGACCAGAGAGAGACCAGAGAGACCAGAGAGAGACCAGAGAGAGACCAGAGAGACCAGAGAGTTGGAGATTTTCCCTTCATACAAATAGATATCTATGAAATTCACCTGAATACACATGAAAACTCCAAAGTGTACATTTCGTTCCTGATTGTGTCCAGTGAGAAACAGTTTTGCATCAAGAGCTAAAAACATGCGTTCATTACAGAGGTCTGTTGTTGTGGTTTGAAAGTTACATACCTCAGCTTTAACTGTGTTTTAAATGTGTTATTTTAGGCATTTACAGTTAGCTCAACACTCACCAGTTCCTCAGCCTCTTGTTGGCCTTCTGTCAGAGGGAAAGAGAACAAGATCAGTCGTAATGAGGGCGTAACGAGCCGTGGAGCTGTGTTTGGGTGAATCAGTCTGAGTTTGGACTGTTGCACGCGCTACAGTGAGAGACATGTCCAAGTCCATTATGATGAGATCCTGTCTTGTCTCTTTCTGGTCCCTCTGTCTCTGGTCTCTCTCTCAGGTCTCTCTTTCTGGTCCCTCTGTCTTTCTCTCTGGTCTCTCTTTCTAATCCCTCTCTCAGGTCTCTCTCTCTGGTCTCTCTGTCTCTGGTCTCTCTCTCTGGTGTCTCTCTCTCTTTCTGTCTGGTCTCTCTTTCTGATCCCTCTCTCTGGTCTCTCTCTCTGTGGGCTCTGGGGTCTCTCTGGTCTCTCTCTCTGTGGGCTCTGGGGTCTCTCTGGTCTCTCTCTCTGTGGGCTCTGGGGTCTCTCTGGTCTCTATCTCTGTGGGCTCTGGGGTCTCTCTGGTCTCTCTCTCTGTGGGCTCTGGGGTCTCTCTGGTCTCTCTCTCTGTACCTTGTGTATCTGTGGCTTGTTTGCTTCTTGCTGTTTTCTTTGTAGATTTTATTTTGAAAATCAGAACTGGAACTGCGACCAGCACCACAGCTCCAACCAGAACCCCAGAGACCAGGACCGGGAGCAAGGAAGACCAGCGGTCACCTGTGGAGAGACATTTATAAGAATCAGAGAGACCAGTGAGAGAGACCAGAGAGAGAGACCAGAGAGAGAGACCAGAGAGAGAGACCAGAGGGAGACCAGGCTTCTCCCACCACCACCAACCATCCATACACACACCAGACTCTTTCTAATGTGGGTGAAGTGTCTGTTGTTGCCTCAGGAGACAACAACAGTTTTGCACTTTACAGACGCCCCACTGTGGCACCTGGTGTTCCCAGAGGTCTCCCATCACTGTACTGCATGTAAGTAGAAAATATCTGACTTTAGTTAAAGACATACAGTACACACTTTCTCATTCAATGAGATTCCTTTCTTTTCATGACTATTGACTGTAGATCCACACCAGCCTGTGTAAGGGCTGTTTGACCAATCAGGAGAGTGATGGTGCTGGGACAGATGACCTCCACAGTCACCGGGCCTGAACCCAGTCCATATGGTTTTGGGGCTGGACCACAGAGTGAAGGGGCCAACAAGTGCTAAGCATCATGGGAACTCCTTCAAGACTGTTGGAGACCATTTCTGGTCCTCTTGAAGCTCATCCAGAGAATGTTAAGAGTGAAGCAGTATCAGAGCAAAAAGAGCTACTTTGAAGAACCAGAATATAACACATATTTTCACTTGTTTCATACTTTTTTAAGTAATTCCACATGAGTTAATACATAGTTTTTATGCGTTCAGTGTGAATCTACAATTTTTATAATCATGAAAATTTTAAAAACTCTTTGAATGAGAAGGTGTGTGCAAACTTTGGGTCTGTACTGTAGTCTAGACTCTCTCCGGTCTCTCTGGTCTCTCTCTGGTCTCTCTCTCTCTGGCCTCTCCCTGGTCTCTTTCTGGTCGGTCTCTGCTCTCTCTTTCTGGCCTCTCCCTGGTCTCTTTCTGGTCTCTTTTTTGGTCTCTCCCTGGTCTCTTTCTGGTCTCTCCTTGCTCTCGCTCTGCTATCTCTCTTACTGTGGGAGCTAAGACCTGATTCATGTCTGTGCTGAGGTGAACAGTTTCCTCTGACCTGGGTCTCCCATCTGGCCGTGCCCTGCCTCCGTCAGCCTGTACTCCGCAGACACCCTCACTCGCCCCTCCTCCTCATACTGACAGGTGAGGGTCCTGTACTGTGTTCGTTGTACAGTCAGACTGGATCCACAGGTCCTCAGAGTGACCCCCTCAGACAGGACCGTCCCATCTTGGTCCGACCAGCGGAACCTTCCGGAGCCACAGGACGGGGACAGAGAGACGCGGATTGTGGCGAGGTCAGGGGTCAGGCTGGTGTCCACTGTTGCCACGGAAACATAGACATTACAAAAAAGAATTCATAATGATAATAACAGTTATCAACATTTATGGACAGTGGTCATCCTGCTCCTTATGGACCAATGGCTCTCTCTGGTCTCTCTCTCAATGGTCCCTCTCTGTTCTCTCTTTGGCCTCTTTCTTCTCTGGTCTCTCTCTCTGGCTTCTGCTCTTTCTCTATCCCTCTATAGTCTCTCTCTCTCTGGTCTCACTATAGTCTCCCCCCTGGTCTCTCTCTACTTTCTCTGGTCTCTCTGGTCTTTCTGGTCTCTCTCTCTCTGGTCTCCTTCTCTTCCTGTCGCTGGTCTCTCTCTGGTCTCTTTCCCCTTCTGATCTCTCTCTCTCTCTCTCTCTGGTCTCTCTGGTCTCTCTCTCTCTGGTCTCTCTCTGGTCTCTCTCTCTCTCTGGTCTCTCTCTTGTTTCTCTCTCTCTCTCTGGTCTCTCTCTCTCTCTCTCTCTGGTCTCTCTCTTGTCTCTCTTTCTCTGGTCTCTCTCTGGTCTCTCTCTGGTCTCTCTTTCTCTGGTCTCTCTCTGGTCTCTCTCTGGTCTCTCTCTGGTCTCTCTGTTGTCTCTCTCTGGTCTCTCTCTCTCTCTCTCTGGTCTCTCTCTGGTCTCTCTCTTGTCTCTCTCTCTCTCTCTCTCTGGTCTCTCTCTGGTCTCTCTGTTGTCTCTCTCTGGTCTCTCTCTGGTCTCTCTCTTGTCTCTCTGGTCTCTCTGTTGTCTCTCTCTGGTCTCTCTCTTGTCTCTCTCTTGTCTCTCTGGTCTCTTTCTCTCTCTCTTTGGTTGAACAGCTCACCTAAGAGAACCCTCAGAGTCACATATCTTCTAGATTCATATTTTTTCCAAGACGTCCAGGATCCACAGAAATATGTCCCTGCGTCTGCTGCGCTGACGTTGAGGACATCGAGTGAACAGTCTGTCTTCAGAGAGTATCGAGAGGACGAGAACTTGCTTCTGATCTGACCGGATAAGACCACGAAGTTATCACTCTCATTAGTCCAGTCCACAGAGGAGCAGTTTGGTTCAGAGCGATGTATGTCACAGGGAAGTGTGACATCATCTCCTGCTCTCCGGTACAACATCTGATCCACTCCCAGGCCTGAGACAGAGACACAGACTGTATACAGATGGATAACGCTAACACAGACATGTATACAGATGGACCACGCTAACACAGACTGTATACAGATGGACCACGCTAACACAGACTGTATACAGATGGACCATGCTAACACAGACTGTATACAGATGGACCATGCTAACACAGACTGTATACAGATGGACAATGCTAACACAGACTGTATACAGATGGATAAGGCTAACACAGACTGTATACAGATGGACCATGCTAACACAGACTGTATACAGATGGACAATGCTAACACAGACTGTATACAGATGGAGTACTTTTGATCCATCTCCAGAAGTGAGAAACCTGGGCGTACTTTTTGCCGTAAGAGTAGAGTAGAGTAGGGCTGGTGTAAACGGGGCGATAGAGAGCACTAAGATTTTTAAGCCCAAACTGGTGATGAGCTTGATGAATTTACTATTACATAGGAGCCAGAGAGAGTTGGAGAAATATAACTTCCCTATTGAGCGTCGTTGAGCGAGCGGGTTAGCATTGTCCATGTGTATACAGTGTGTGTTAGCATTGTCCATGTGTATGCAGTGTGTGGGTACCTTGAAAGTGCTGCAGGTGAGAGCAGAGCAGGAGGAGCGCGCTCAGTAGACGCATATTTCTGCTGTCATCCAAATGATTCTGTCTTATCCTGTCTCTGTGTTGCCATGGCCACCGCCTCTTCCCCAATCTGCACATTTCACAAGTGTTTCACAACGTAAGAGGAAATGTGACCTCAGAGATCAAGGCACAACGGCCAATCAAGGATTAGTTCTACTTTATAACTCCTCTCCTCTCTCTCCTTCTCTCTCTCTCTCGTCTCTCTCTTTTCTCTCTCCTTTCTCTGCTCTCTCCTTTCTTCTCACTTCTCACATCTCTCCTTTTACTCTCTCTCCTCTCCTCTCTCTCCTCTCCTCTCTCTCCTCGCCTCTCTCTCCTCACCTCTCTCCTATCCTCTCCTCTCTCCCTCTTCCCCCCTCTCCTCTCCTCTCTCTCTCCTCTCTCCCTCTTCCCCCCTCTCCTCTCCTCTCTCTCCTCTCCTCTCTCCTCTTCTTTCTTCTCTCTCCCTTCTCACCAAGAGAGGGCACCATAACACTGCTCAACACTGGCCCAGATCATCCTCATGGTCCTGTCCATGCATCTTTCTATTCATCCAGCATGTCTAGTTCTCCTATACCTCCCCCCTCTCCCCCCTCCCTCCCCCTCCCCCCCCCCCCCTTCTCTCTCTCCTCCCTGAGACTGTAATAGGACTGTGATAATGCCCAGTCTGTTGAATGCACCACTCTCTCACGTCTTCACTTTCACTTCTCTTCGGTCAATGTCAAATCAACATCATTTCCGACCGTCTGAGTGTCTCCTCTCCCCCTCCCCTCCCCCTTCTCCTTAACACCTCTCCCCCTCCCCTCCCCCTTCTCCTTAACACCTCTCCCCCTTAATCTGTGACTCTCTCATTTATGTGAAAATCACCTCCGAACTAACAGTCAAGTGCAGCTACAGCTTTATTGATTTATTTCTGTATTTGACTTAAAGTTGAGGCTCCTAAAAACAACAAAACGAGTTCTGGTCCTGGTCCTGGTTCTGGGCCTTGAAGGAGGTCCTGGTCCGGGTCCTGGGTTTGAATCCTAGTCAGAGCAAGATCTTTCTGAGTTGGGTTTGCATGTTCTCCTTTTTTTACGTTCTAACTTTAATAATACTCTATCAGTCTGCAAAACGAGCACAAATATTGAAATTGTCTGTCTTTGTGTTTGTCTGTCTGTGTATGCGTGTGTGTGTTTGTCTGTCTGTGTGTGTGTGTGTGTGTGTGTGTGTGTATGCGTGTGTGTGTGTGTGTGTGGAATCTGACCAGCATGTTTAGACTTTTCTAGGACAAAATCTAAAATGTTCAAGGAATAATATTCACTAAACTTAAGGCCGTGCAGACCGTGCTTTTCTTTGGATTGTCTGTGCTCTGTATTCATGGCGTCTCTGTTCTGACATATTTCTGAGGCACATTTCTACACATCTTATAAAGAGTATGTGCCTTTTGTTCGATCTGAAAGGACTCAGGAATAAACCAAGTAACAAGTGTGAGATTTCATAACACTTTGAAGCAACTTTTGTTAAAGTTAAACTCATCATTCTCGTCGGACTCATCATGTCCGACGAGAATTTGTTGCTTCAAACTCATGTCGGACTGCCCCGCCCGACCCGCCTGGGAGTGCTTCGGTCCTGTACCGGACCTGTCCACGTTCAGCGGCCACTGGTCCACGTTCTGTAGCTAGCTTAGGTCCTAGATCATTAGCCTGTCCGTCCGGAGGAGCGGATCCCTTTCTCATATGGGTCTCCCTCCCTGTGGGTTTCCCTAGTTCTCCCCAAGGTTTCTCACGTTTTCCCACTGGGTTTTTTAAGAGTTTTTCCTTGTCGATGCAGGAGGGTCTTGTTGGACAGTTAGTGTCCAACAGAAAGGATTGGTGATGATCAGGACACTTTAGCATTCTACAACATGTATGGACATTTTCTTCTGTGTGTGCTTTATATTCTTCATGTGTTTTAACTGTTGATTCTCTGACCTGTGTTGGTGATTTCAATGGTTTTGTTAAGTCTCTGAGATGACTTCTGTTGTGACCTAGGGCTATACAAGAATAAATTGTATTGTATTGTATTGTAAATTGTATTGTATCATTCTATCAATGTGCAGAAGCCTGTACTTTTCCCTTGTTTTGTCTATCTGAAGGCCAAGCTACATGGCACTGTGGCAGCTGCTGATTGGAGGTCTCCATGCCTCCGCTCTGTATAATACACTTGCATTCTGTTGTTCGTGTTGTTCGTGCTGTCTCTACCATCGACAATAAAACATGTCTTCTGTCTGAATGAAAGACGCGATCCCAGACTATGTCATCTTCTTCACAAGTGCGACCGCTGCTGCCTCTGACGTTGTTTTCTACAGGGTCAAAGTGACAAAGAGAGGACCCCCCTCACTCATCAGCCCTCAGCACAAAGAGAGCTGAAAACACATAACATGCTTTCTAAAAAGACGGTCTAAACCCTGGTATCTCTCTGGTCTCTCTCTCTCTCTCTGGTCACTCTCTCTCTGGTCTCTCTGGTCTCTCTCTCTCTGGTCTCTCTCTCTGGTCTCTCTGGTATCTCTCTGGTCTCTCTCTGGTCTCTCTCTCTCTGGTCTCTCTCTTTCTGGTGTCTCTCCCTGGTCTCTCTCTCTCTCTGGTCTCTCTCTTTCTGGTGTCTCTCCCTGGTCTCTCTCTGTCTGGTCTCTCTTTCTCTGGTTTCTCTCTGGTCTCTCTCTCTGGTCTCTCTCTCTGGTCTCTCTCTCTGGTCTCTGGTCTCTCTCTCTCTCTGGTCTCTCTCTGGTCTCTTTGGTCTCTCTCTGGTCTCTCTCTCTCTCTCTGGTCTCTCTCTGGCCTCTCTCTGGTCTCTCTCTCTCTGGTCTCTCTCTGGCCTCTCTCTGGTCTCTCTCTGGTCTCTCTCTCTCTGGTCTCTTTGGTCTCTCTCTCTCTCTCTCTGGTCTCTCTCTGGCCTCTCTCTGGTCTCTCTCTCTCTGGTCTCTCTCTGGTCTCTCTCTGGTCTCTCTCTCTCTGGTCTCTTTGGTCTCTCTCTGGTCTCTCTCTGGCCTCTCTGTCTCTAGTCTCTCTCTGGTCTCTCTCTGATAAAGGGGATGAAAATGACCTGACTTGTTGGATCAGACCTGGTGCCGTCGTCGTGGAAACATCAAATGATGATTTGATGAAATGATTTTGTTCTCAGTGTTCTTTAAATTCATGCAACAACAGTCCTTTAATAACTGCAGTAACCTTTAGTCTGAGGTTCTGGAGCTTTGTGAAGGAGAGGATCAGCGTCTCATCTGGACCGGGTCGATGTGAGGCAGACCTGTGCTTTTAAATGTCATTCTGATTTATTTTTATTTTCAGTTAAAGCTGAGGGACCTAACTTTCTCATTTCAGAAATAACACAAGGGAACATTAGCAAAGCACAGTATAGTAAAGTTCATTCAAAAGTTAACTCAGGAGGCCAGTCCCTGTGCTCCTCCGAGTCCCTATAGGAGGCCAGTCCCTGTGCTCCTCAAAGTCCCTACAGGAGGCCAGTCCCTGTGCTCCTCAGAGTCCCTACAGGAGGCCAGTCCCTGTGCTCCTCAGAGTCCCTACAGGAGGCCAGTCCCTGTGCTCCTCAGAGTCCCTATAGGAGGCCAGTCCCTGTGCTCCTCAGAGTCCCTATAGGAGGCCAGTCCCTGTGCTCCTCAGAGTCCCTACAGGAGGCCAGTCCCTGTGCTCCTCAGAGTCCCTATAGGAGGCCAGTCCCTGTGCTCCTCAGAGTCCCAGCAGGAGGCCAGTCCATGTGCTCCTCAGAGTCCCTATAGGAGGCCAGTCCCTGTGCTCCTCAGAGTCCCAGCAGGAGGCCAGTCCATGTGCTCCTCAGAGTCCCTATAGGAGGCCAGTCCCTGTGCTCCTCAGAGTCCCAGCAGGAGGCCAGTCCCTGTGCTCCTCAGAGTCCCAGCAGGAGGCCAGTCCCTGTGCTCCTCAGAGTCCCAGCAGGAGGCCAGTCCCTGTGTTCCTCAGAGTCCCAACAGGAGGCCAGTCCCTGTGCTCCTCAGAGTTGTTTCATATAGCAATAACATGTCACAGATGTAGTTGTAACAAACAGAGACCTGAGACCAGGACTAATGTGAGAGGACTTCAGGACAGAGACCTGAGACCAGGACTAATGTGAGAGGACTGCAGGACAGACCCCTGAGACCAGAACTAATGTGAGAGGACTACAGGACAGAGACCTGAGACCAGGACTAATGTGAGAGGACTACAGGACAAAGACCTGAGACCAGGACTAATGTGAGAGGACTGCAGGACAGACCCCTGAGACCAGAACTAATGTGAGAGGACTACAGGACAGAGACCTGAGACCAGGACTAATGTGAGAGGACTACAGGACAGAGACCTGAGACCAGGACTAATGTGAGAGGACTTCAGGACAGAGACCTGAGACCAGGACTAATGTGAGAGGATTTCAGGACAGAGACCTGAGACCAGGACTAATGTGAGAGGACTTCAGGACAGAGACCTGAGACCAGGACTAATGTGAGAGGACTACAGGACAGAGACCTGAGACCAGGACTAATGTGAGAGGACTACAGGACAGAGACCTGAGACCAGGACTAATGTGAGAGGACTACAGGACAGAGACCTGAGACCAGGACTAATGTGAGAGGACTTCAGGACAGAGACCTGAGACCAGGACTAATGTGAGAGGACTGCAGGACAGACCCCTGAGACCAGAACTAATGTGAGAGGACTACAGGACAGAGACCTGAGACCAGGACTAATGTGAGAGGACTACAGGACAGAGACCTGAGACCAGGACTAATGTGAGAGGACTACAGGACAGAGACCTGAACTAGTTCCATTAAAACAGAGTCAAAGCTTTTTCTATGAACGCTTCTGTCGCAGAGGAAGGAACAAGATTCACAGAAAAACCACATCAGTTTCCTCTGTGTGTGTGTGTCTGTGTGTGTCCTCTGTGTCTGTGTGTGTGTGTGTCCTCTGTGTGTGTGTGTCTATGTACGTATGTTTGTGTGTTTGTGTACACTGTGTTCTGCAGTCTGTTATGCAACACACAGAAGTGAAAGCCCTCGATTGGCCCCTGAGTGCGTCCCAAACTGAGGCTCCTCCACAGCTTTGTCCCTTTGTTCTCAGAGTACACAAAACAACATGCACGCACAAACACAAAACAACACACACACAAACACTTCTACTGGAATTTATTGATGCAGCAAAACAAGAGAAAGTGACGAGTGTCGAGTATGTACAAGAGGACTCAGCTGGTCCGTAGCATATCTGTGGCCTTAGCTTACACCAGCTAACGCTAACCTACATTATGTCATTATTGCGATACATGGAGAAACGTGTTAGAATGTACAGTGTGTGACATCACCCTGAGAGCTGAGGGACGTAACTTTCAGATCAGAGACAGTGGACGAGGCAATAAAACAGTTTGCTTCTATCACGAGGTTTTACATGTATGTGTTTCAGGCCTCTGTCACAGACCAGAGAGAGACCAGAGAGAGACCAGAGAGAGACCAGAGAGAGACCAGAGAGACCAGAGAGAGAGACCAGAGAGACCAGAGAGAGACCAGAGAGACCAGAGAGAGACCAGAGAGAGACCAGAGAGAGACCAGAGAGAGACCAGAGAGAGATTAGAGAGACACCAGCGATAGACTGGAGTGAGACCAGAGACAGACCAGAAAGAGAGACCAGAGACAGACCAGAAAGAGAGATCAGAGAGACCAGTGAAAGACTGGAGAGAGACCAGAGATCTACATGTTTGTGCCAGAAGTTCCTGATATTAGCATGGATGGATCAAAAAACAGCTGCAGGTCTGTGACTGATGAGGAACAGTGTTGTAACTTGGGGAAAAGAAAAAAAGTCTATTGTACAGAACAGTCAAAAACCCAAAAACACTGGACCATGGGTTTACGCAAAGTCACTGGTGACTCCAGCTGCTCTGTCAACTTTACACAAAAAGCTGCTAGCTTGAACTCGTTAGCATCAAAGCCCACACATTACTTCCACCCTGCGCCATCACAGCAGTACGTCACATTTACTAAACTCATGTGGCTTAATTTTAGTGAACTTGCGTTGGTGAACGCCCCTCACAGTTCCACAGTTCCACCTGACGCCTCAGTTTCACACGTACGACTCCTGAGCGTACGAGAACTCTTCAAATAGCGGCGGGCTGCACCTGTGAGGCGCCATGTCCGCCCTGTGAGGCGCCATGTCCGCCCTGTGAGGCGCCATGTCCGCCCTGTGAGGCGCCATGTCCGCCCTGTGAGGCGCCATGTCCGCCCTGTGAGGCGCCATGTCCGCCCTGTGAGGCGCCATGTCCGCCCTGTGAGGCGCCATGTCCGCCCTGTGAGGCGCCATGTCCGCCCTGTGAGGCGCCATGTCCGCCCTGTGAGGCGCCATGTCCGCCCTGCGCACACACACAGACTCGGACATGGCTCTGGGTCTCATGTTCACAGCTGCAGGGAGCGGCCAGTGTCCAGACTGAGGCCGCGCCTGCCGCTCCAGCCGGATGGCGTCCTGGACAGTCATGGAGGCGTATGAGGGCGGCCTGCCCATCTTCTGCACCGCCTGCTGGTAGGAGGGAGGCGCACAGGGAGCTCCCCGCTCCCCTGCACGATCCAGGAGGTCCACAGAGGAGCGACAACCTGGTCTGAGGCACACAGCTCCTCTGAGCTCCTGCCGCGGGTCTTCACTGCTCAGGTCTGTGCTTTTCCTCGCTCGCCTGGTCTCTCTCTCTGGTCTTTCCCTAGTCTCTCTTTCTGGTCTTTCCCTAGTCTCTCTCTCTGGTCTTTCTCTGGTCTCTCTCTCTGGTCTTTCCCTAGTCTCTCTTTCTGGTCTTTCCCTAGTCTCTCTCTCTGGTCTTTCCCTGGTCTCTCTCTCTGGTCTTTCCCTGGTCTCTCTCTCTGGTCTTTCCCTGGTCTCTCTCTCTGGTCTTTCCCTGGTCTCTCTTTCTGGTCTTTCTCTTGTCTCTCTCTCTGGTCTTTCCCTGGTCTCTCTCTCTGGTCTTTCTCTGGTCTCTTTTCCCTCATTTAACTCTCCTGTGTTTCCCGGATCAGTCTGCACATAGGTCTCTCTCCTCGCACACGTGGGAGAGCCCGCCGGGGAGCTGCCGAAAACGGATCCGTCTGATTGGTTGGAGGCGGTGCTGTCCAGGGAGGAGCAGGAGCAGGATCGCGGCTCGCTCCTGCGGCTCGGCACGACACCGGAGGAGGAGCAGTCATCACGACTCCTGGCGTGACGAGGAGAGGGGAGCTCTGTGGAAGGGGAGAGAGAGGGCTCGGAGCAACGGCGGAGGAGGGAGGGGGAGGCGCGGAAGGGGGAGTGGAGGACTGAGGCTGCGGCCCCGGGGCAGCTCGGGCTCGGCTCCTGGTCACCGTCAGGGTCCGTGCTGTCGTAGGCCGAGTCAAGTTGCTGAGACGACACCGAGTCTGAGAAGGAGGAGGACACACAGTGAGGAACAGACTGAGGAGAAGACACAGTGAGGACCAGACCAAGAAGGAGGAGACACAGTGAGGACCAGACCGAGGAGGAGGAGACACAGTGAGGACCAGACTGAGGAGGAGACACTGTGAGGACCAGACTGAGGAGGAGACACTGTGAGGACCAGACTGAGGAGGAGACACTGTGAGGACCAGACCGAGGAGGAGACACTGTGAGGACCAGACTGAGGAGGAGGAGACACTGTGAGGACCAGACTGAGGCAAAGGAGGAGACACAGTGAGGACCAAACTGAGGGGAAGGAGGAGACACTGTGAGGACAAAAATGAGGAGCAGACTGAGTAGGAGGAGACACTCTGAGGACCAGACTGAGGCAAAGGAGGAGACACAGTGAGGACCAAAATGAGGAGCAGACTGAGTAGGAGGAGACACTCTGAGGACCAGACTGAGGCAAAGGAGGAGACACAGTGAGGACCAAACTGGGGAGGAGACACAGTGAGGACCAGACTGAGGGGAAGGAGGAGACACTGTGAGGACCAAACTGAGGAGGAGACACTGTGAGGACCAAACTGAGGAGGAGACACAGAAAGGACCAGACTGAGGAGGAGACACAGTGAGGACCAGACTGAGGGGAAGGAGGAGACACTGTGAGGACCAAAATGAGGAGCAGACTGAGGAGGAGGAGGAGACCAGATTTCTAGCGGATCGGTATCAGTTTGTCAATGTGGACCTAAACTCCTCGCCTTATTCTAGAGCAGTGTCTCCCAAAGAGACAGGGAGGGGGGCCGTGAGAGGTCATCAAGAAAAAAAAAAGTTTTATATAATTATTGTATTTTAAATTAATAATATTTTGTTTGTAAAATGAAAGTATTTGTGTTCATTATTTGACTTGAATACACAAATTCCAATCCTTTTTGTATTAGAAAATGGGGTGCGTCATTTACATTTGTAGCAGAGGCTATTTCCCCCAAATAAAATAACCAGAAGAGCCTATTTTTAACATTGTCTTCTTGGTTATTATTTCGGGGGCCGCGCAGACCCATCGGATTTTTAAGGGGACCGCGGACTTTGGGTGACTTTGCTGACTTTGGGAATGGCTGTTCTAGAGCAACATTGGGGGTGCCACAAGGATCAGTACTTGGACCGATTCTCTTCACACTCTACATCATTAAAGAGCATGACATCAACTTCCAGTGTCTCTCTCTGGTCTTTCTCTCTGGTCTTTCTCTCTGGTCTTTCTCTTTTTCACATGCATGTCATTTTCACATGTGTGATTTATGGGGTAATTAAAAGTTAGAGACCTGAGCTTTAACAAATGTGATCAGCGTTGTACCTTTGTCTGTGTCCAGGAGGTTGGGGATGTTGTCTCCGATGATCTCCCAGTGTTCGATCAGGAACTGGGTCAAATCTGAAACCTGAGAGAAGAGGAGATACTGTAGACCAGGAGAACCATGACCAGAACCAGAGAGGGACCAGGGAGGGACCAGAGAGACCAGGGAGAGACCAGAGAGACCAGAAAGGGACCAGGGAGAGACCAGGGAGACCAGAGAGGGACCAGAGAGAGACCAGGGAGACCAGAGAGGGACCAGGGAGGGATCAGAGAGGGACCAGGGAGAGACCAGAGATAGATAAGAGATTTCAGAGAGAGACCAAAGAGAGACCAGAGAGAGACCACAGAGAAACCACAGAGAAGGACCAGAGAGAAAGACCAGAGGGAGAGACCACAGAGAAAGACCAGAGAGAGAGACCACAGAGAAAGACCAGAGAGAGAGGCCAGAGAGAGAAACCAGAGAGAGCCCAGGGCTGTTCTGTACCTCCTTCATACGCTCCGCTTGCTGGTCCAGGGCTGTGGAGTTGGACCAGAGCAGCGTGGGGCCGATGCAGACGGCCAGGTTGTCGGAGGGCATCCGGGTGGTTTCTGAGTTCTGGTGGATGTGGTGCAGGATACACAGCAGGTGCTGCAGCAGGAGCAGGTTGGGTCCAGGCAGCTCCGACACCACTCTGTCCCAAAGAACCAGAGACACCAGGTCAGAACAACCAGGAACACAGCACACAAGACATGCGTGTTCCAGAGAGCGATAGTTTCACAGTGTGGTGGTGCACAGCTGAGACGTCTCACCTGGTAACTATGGTAAAAGTCAGATCCATAGTCTGAGTTTGGGGATAATTTCTCTGTAATTCTTGAAGCAATTCACATGAAATCAACACTGTCCAACACATTTTGACTATGGTCTCATTGTTTTTTTCTCTCTGGTCTCTCTCTGGTCTCTTTCTGGTCTTTCTCTCTGGTGTCTTTCTCTGGTCCCTCTCTGGTCTTTCTTTGGTCTCTTTCTCTGGTCTTTCTCTAGTCTCTCTCCGGTCTCTCTCTCTGGTCTCTCTCTCTGGTCTCTCTCTCTCTGGTCCCTCTCTGGTCTTTCTTTTGGTCTCTTTCTCTGGTCTCTCTCTGGTCTTTCTTTGGTCTCTTTCTCTGGTCTCTCTCTGGTCTCTCTCTGGTCCCTCTCTGGTCCCTCTCTGGTCTCTCTCTGGTCTCTCTCTCTGGTCTCTCTCTGGTCTCTCTCTCTGGTCCCTCTCTGGTCTTTCTTTGGTCTCTCTCTCTGGTCTCTCTCTGGTCTTTCTCTGGTCTCTCTCTCTGGTCTTTCTCTGGTCTCTCTCTCTGGTCTCTCTCTGGTCTCTCTCTGCTCTCTCTCTGCTCTCTCTCTTGTCTCTCTCTGGTCTCTCTCTCTGGTCTCTCTCTCTGGTCCCTCTCTGGTCTCTCTCTCTGGTCCCTCTCTGGTCTCTTTCTCTGGTCCCTCTCTGGTCTCTCTCTCTGGTCTCTCTCTGGTCTCTCTCTCTGGTCCCTCTTTCTCTGGTCCCTCTCTCTCTGGTCCCTCTCTGGTCTCTCTCTCTGGTCTTTCTTTGGTCTCTCTCTCTGGTCTCTTTCTCTGGTCTTTCTCTGGTCTCTCTCTCTGGTCTCTCTCTGGTCTTTCTCTGGTCTCTCTCTCTGGTCCCTCTCTGGTCTTTCTTTGATCTCTTTCTCTGGTCTCTCTCTCTGGTCTCTCTCTCTGGTCTTTCTCTTGTCTCTCTCTGGTCTCTCTCTCTGGTCTCTCTCTCTGGTCCCTCTCTGGTCTCTCTCTCTGGTCCCTCTCTGGTCTCTTTCTCTGGTCCCTCTCTGGTCTCTCTCTCTGGTCTCTCTCTGGTCTCTCTCTCTGGTCCCTCTTTCTCTGGTCCCTCTCTCTCTGGTCCCTCTCTGGTCTCTCTCTCTGGTCTTTCTTTGGTCTCTCTCTCTGGTCTCTTTCTCTGGTCTTTCTCTGGTCTCTCTCTCTGGTCTCTCTCTGGTCTTTCTCTGGTCTCTCTCTCTGGTCCCTCTCTGGTCTTTCTTTGATCTCTTTCTCTGGTCTCTCTCTCTGGTCTCTCTCTCTGGTCTTTCTCTGGTCTCTCTCTGGTCTCTCTCTCTGGTCTATCTTTGGTCTCTCTCTCTGGTCTCTCTCTGGTCCCTCTCTCTGGTCTTTCTTTAGTCTCTCTCTCTGGTCTCTCTCTGGTCTCTCTCTCTGGTCTCTCTCTGGTCTCTCTCTCTGGTCTTTCTTTGGTCTCTCTCTCTGGTCCCTCTCTGGAACCTCTCTGGTCTCTCTCTGGTCTCTTTCTCTGGTCTTTCTCTGGTCTCTCTCTCTGGTCTCTCTCTCTGGTCTTTCTCTGGTCTCTCTCTCTGGTCTCTCTCTGGTCTCTCTCTCTGGTCTTTCTTTGGTCTCTCTCTGCTCTCTCTCTGGTCTCTCTTTCTGGTCTCTCTCTGGTCTCTCTCTGCTTTCTCTCTGGTCTCTCTCTCTGGTCCCTCTCTGGTCTCTCTCTGGTCTCTCTCTCTGGTCTCTCTCTGGTCTCTCTCTGGTCTCTCTCTGGTCTCTCTCTCTGGTCTCTCTCTGGTCTCTCTCTGGTCTCTCTCTCTGGTCTCTCTCTCTGGTCTCTCTCTCTGGTCCCTCTCTGGTCTCTCTCTCTGGTCTCTTTCCTGGTCTCTCTCTGGTCTCTCTCTCTGGTCTTTCTTTGGTCTCTCTCTCTGGTCTCGCGAGAGCTTCACAATGATCGGCCGCGGACCTGCTTTGGGATCCCTGATTATACCGGGTGAGCGATGGGCCCTTTCGATGACCAGGGGAGAAGGAAGATTGTCTTTACCAAAAAGTTGAGCAAGGAGCTGACCCACAAAGAGGATCATATCGCGGCCTTCAGAACCCTCTGGGACCCGGAGAAGGCGGAGGTTCGAGGCCCTGCTGCGGTTCTCAGCGTCTTCAGCTCTCTCAGTCAGGTAAGCATTTTGTTTTTCCAAGGACTTAACCCGTGTCTCCAGAGCAGACAGGGCATCCTCATTAGTGCTAACCCTGGTCTCTAGTTCTCCAACTTTAGCACCCATTGACTTCAGCGAGTCCTTCATATCGTCCATGCTGCTTTGAATGCCATCAAGTTTCGAGTCAAAGTGTAACAGCATTTCATTCTTGAACTGCTGTAATGTGTCTATCAAAGTTTTGTTTGTGACTGCTTGATCCATGATTGCGTGACTGAACCAGCGTGCGTGCTGAATCACAAGTAATTAAAGTAGTGAAAGATTGCAGAAAAAAACGGGTTCAATCCAGTGAACAGTATCTTGCGGTCTCTGATCGTTTCACATAAAGAAGTTGAGCAGAATTTTAGTCTTTAATGCTACAGACTGAGATATTTTCTAGAGCTCACTCCAGCCTCACTGCTCTGTCAGCCATCTTGCCAGCCAAGATCATGGAAGTTACCGACTCCTTTCTCTGGTCTTTCTCTGGTCTCTCTCTGGTCTCTCTCTCTGGTCTTTCTTTGGTCTCTCTCTGGTCTCTCTCTGGTCTCTCTCCCTGGTCTCTCTCTGGTCTCTTTCTCTGGTCTTTCTCTGGTCTCTCTCTCTGGTCTCTCTCTGGTCTCTCTCTGGTCTCTCTCTGGTCTCTCTCTGGTCTCTCTCTGGTCTCTCTCTCTGGTCTCTCTCTCTGGTCTCCCTCTGGTCTCCCTCTGGTCTCTCCTTGGTCTCTCCCTGGTCTCTCTCTGGTCTCTCTCTGGTCTCTCTCTGGTCTCTCTCTCTGGTCTCTCTCTGGTCTCTGTCTCTGGTCTCTCTGTCTGGTCTCTCTCTGGTCTCTCTCTGGTCTTTCTTTGGTCTCTCTCTCTGGTCCCTCTCTGGAACCTCTCTGGTCTCTCTCTGGTCTCTTTCTCTGGTCTTTCTCTGGTCTCTCTCTCTGGTCTCTCTCTCTGGTCTTTCTCTGGTCTCTCTCTCTGGTCTCTCTCTGGTCTCTCTCTCTGGTCTTTCTTTGGTCTCTCTCTGCTCTCTCTCTGGTCTCTCTCTGGTCTCTCTCTGCTTTCTCTCTGGTCTCTCTCTCTGGTCCCTCTCTGGTCTCTCTCTGGTCTCTCTCTCTGGTCTCTCTCTGGTCTCTCTCTGGTCTCTCTCTGGTCTCTCTCTCTGGTCTCTCTCTGGTCTCTCTCTGGTCTCTCTCTCTGGTCCCTCTCTCTGGTCTCTCTCTCTGGTCCCTCTCTGGTCTCTCTCTCTGGTCTCTCTCTGGTCTCTCTCTGGTCTCTCTCTCTGGTCTTTCTTTGGTCTCTCTCTCTGGTCTCTCTCTGGTCTCTTTCTCTGGTCTTTCTCTGGTCTCTCTCTGGTCTCTCTCTCTGGTCTTTCTTTGGTCTCTCTCTGGTCTCTCTCTGGTCTCTCTCTCTGGTCTCTCTCTGGTCTCTTTCTCTGGTCTTTCTCTGGTCTCTGGTCTCTCTCTCTGGTCTCTCTCTGGTCTCTCTCTGGTCTCTCTCTGGTCTCTCTCTGGTCTCTCTCTGGTCTCTCTCTGGTCTCTCTCTCTGGTCTCTCTCTCTGGTCTCCCTCTGGTCTCTCTCTGGTCTCCCTCTGGTCTCCCTCTGGTCTCTCCTTGGTCTCTCTCTGGTCTCTCTCTCCTGGTCTCTCTCTGGTCTCTCTCTGGTCTCTCTCTGGTCTCTCTCTGGTCTCTCTCTGGTCTCTCTCTCTGGTCTCTCTCTCTGGTCTCCCTCTGGTCTCCCTCTGGTCTCCCTCTGGTCTCTCCTTGGTCTCTCCCTGGTCTCTCTCTGGTCTCTCTCTGGTCTCTCTCTCTGGTCACTCTCTGGTCTCTCTCTCTGGTCTCTCTCTGGTCTCTTTCTCTGGTCTCTCTCTCTGGTCTCTCTCTGGTCTCTCTCTGGTCTCTCTCTGGTCTCTCTCTGGTCTCTCTCTGGTCTCTCTCTGGTCTCTCTCTGGTCTCTCTCTCTCTGGTCTGGTCTATCCTACATGAGCAGAGACACCACATTGGCACAGACAGACATCCGCTTCTGGTCAGACGCAGAAGTTTGAACAGGAAATGCAACAGTGTTCAAGTGTTCAGAGGTTAAAGCTGAGGTACGTAACTTTCAGATCACAGCAATAGAACTCAATATAAACTATAAATCCAGTCTCAGACCAGAGAGGGAACAGGGAGAGACTAGAGAGAGAGAGACCAGTGGCTTCCTGTGGAGTAAAGGATAAAGTTTAAAATCCTTCTTTTAACGCACAAAGCAATAAATGGCTCCTTCTTATCTTCAAGACACGTTAGTTTCATATCAACCAAACTCTCACTGCGCTCGCAAAACTCTGGGCGCTGGTGGTTCCTAAGCTCTCAAATTACTGTGGGATAAGCTTCAACCACGTTACAGAAACAGACACGGTCTCTTTAATCGAGGCCAGGCGTAAAACAGTGGTCTTTAGTTTAGCAGATGGTGATGAAGGAAAGACTCAGGGAAGGCTAAACACCTTAGAAAGTCAGTCGAGCTGCGTATGGAGTCAGTCTGCTGGAGAAGTCTGGAAACGTCAGCACTATCCTCTCCTCCTTCCTACTCCAGATGTCTGCATTATTAGGATTTTGGTTGCTTTTCATTGCTATTCACCCATTGTCCCACCCTTGAACCCGGCCCCCTCCACGCCTTCCTCAGCCTCAATTCAGCTTCACCAACTTCCTGCTGTCGCTACAATTAAGCCAGCGCTGAAAACCTGGACACCGCAAACCAAACAGCCTTTTCAAGCCGCATCCATCTCCTCCACCTCCTCCACCTCTCCTCCACCTCCTCCACCTCTCCTCCACCTCCTCCCCCTCTCCTCCACCTCCTCCCCCTCTCCTCCACCTCCTCCCCCCCTTTAAACTTTAAATAAATCTTTAAACACATCTCGTCTCTTGTGGTCTCTTCAGATTGAAATGCTTCTATCACTAGTTTCATGTTTGTTTGGCCTCTGTCTTTACATCAGCTTTTCAGACAGAAGAGGGAAAAAGGACCACCCCCACTCAGACAAACAGCTCTCAACCAAAGAGTGATCCCACATTAGATGAAGACAGAAAGTTGGGGTAAGTCGGGAAAAACAGTATTTAATGTAAAATAAAAGCTAGGTCCCCCAGCTTCAAAATCATAAACATTTCAACTGTGTAGATGATTCAGATGTTTGTGCTGCTAAGCAACCAGCCGCAAACAGGAAGTAAATACAAACTGTGAAAATGAGATCTGAGTCAATGATCTACAGCCTCAGTCCTGGATCTACAGCCTCAGTCCTGGATCTAAAGCTTCAGTCCTGGGTCTACAGCCTCAGTCCTGGATCTACAGCCTCAGTCCTGGGTCTACAGCCTCAGTCCTGGGTCTACAGCCTCAGTCCTGGGTCTACAGCCTCAGTCCTGGGTCTACAGCCTCAGTCCTGGGTCTACAGCCTCAGTCCTGGGTCTACAGCCTCAGTCCTGGGTCTACAGCCTCAGTCCTGGATCTACAGCCTCAGTCCTGGGTCTACAGCCTCAGTCCTGGGTCTAAAGCTTCAGTCCTGGGTCTACAGTCTCAGTCCTGGGTCTTACCTCTGTAGGTGCTCCGCTCTCTGCTGGGGGTCCTCCTCGTTGAAGGCGCTCATCCATCGTGGATACAGCTGTGAGTCCAGGAGGCTGTCGGGGAGCTCCTTCAGGAAGCTCTGTCAGAAACCAGAAAGTGAGACACAATGTTTACAAGATCAAAGAGAGAGAGACAGGACCAGAGAGAGAGATTCAAGGTGTCTTTATTGTACCCAAGGGTAAATTTGGTTGCTGCAGCAGAAAGAGAGAGAGAGACAAGACTGGATTGGAGCAGAGTAGAGGCCAGAGAGAGACCAGAGAAAGAGATTAGAGCAGAGCAGAATAGAGTAGAGTAGAGCCCTGCACAGGCCTATTATCTGGGCCCGAGCCCGGCCCTGGCCCAAAGGGGTGGCGCTGCAGCCCGGCCTTGCCCGACATGGTTTCTGAATTCTCAGGCCCGAACCCGTATCAAGCCCGACTTTTTCTTTTTTTAACCTCCCATAACAGTGCTGCGCACTGATATGAACACAGGCCCGGCCACAGGGCGGAGTTATACATGGTATGTGTTGCAATGAGTTCTGAGTGTATGGAGTGAACGGTCCTCGGGCTGTCGAGCCCCTCGGGCCTAGGGTTCAAGTGCAGGGCTCTAGAGTAGAGTAGAGAGTAGAGTAGAGTAAAGTAGAGTAGAGTAGAGTAGAGTTTCTCACCTTGAGCAGTCCCACCAGCAGCACCACTGGTAGCTCCTCTAACACCACATCGGCCCCGGTCTCCAGCTGGTCCCTGACCTCCTGCATCTTTTTACTGTTACAGGACTTCCGGAACACTCCCTCTGTGGACGGACCTCTGTGCCGTAGCAACAGGAGGATCTCCTGCAGACACACAACTCAGTATCAGTACACACACACAGACACATACACGCACAGACATACAAACACACAGACACACACACACACACACACACACACACACACACACACACACACACACACACACACACACACACACACACACACACACACAGACACACACAGACACACACACACACATACACACACACAGACACACACACACACATACACACACACACACAGGCACACACACACACACACACACACACCTGTATCGCCTTGGGCAGTGCTCCCTCTGGACAGACTTTACTCAGGGATTTCCCGAACAGTTGTTTCTTTCTGTGGATGAAGCTGGAGCCGCTCCTGAGGCGCCGCACCACCCCCTTCCACCGGGTCTCTGCACACACACTTTAGATTTACCACAGAAGAAGAAGAAGGAGCTCGGAGTGTGACATCACCACAGTGTGACATCACCACAGTGTTAGCCTTAATGCTGAAGAACAGAGAGCGTCCAGAGGGAGAGACCAGAGAGAGAGACCAGAAAGAGACCAGAGAGTGAGACCAGAAAGAGACCAGAGAGTGAGACCAGAGAGAGAGAGACCAGAGAGAGACCAGAGAGAGACCAGAGAGAGACCAGAGAGTGAGACCAGAGAGAGAAAGACCAGAGAGAGAGACCAGAAAGAGACCAGAGAGTGAGACCAGAAAGAGACCAGAGAGTGAGACCAGAGAGAGAGAGACCAGAGTGAGACCAGAGAGAGACCAGAGAGAGACCAGAGAGTGAGACCAGAGAGAGAAAGACCAGAGAGAGACCAGAGAGAGACCAGAGAGAGACTAGAGAGAGAGAGACCAGAGAGAGACCAGAGAGAGAGAGAGACTAGAGAGAGACCAGAGAGAGACCAGAGAGAGACAAGAGAGAGATCAGAGAGAGAGAGACCAGAGAGAATCAAGAGAGAGATCAGAGAGAGATCAGAGAGAGACCAGGGAGAGACCAGAGAGAGAGAGACCAGAGAGAGACCATAGAGAGAGACCAGAGAGACCAGAGAGAGATCAGAGAGAGACCAGAGAGAGACCAGGGAGAGACCAGAGAGAGAGAGACCAGAGAGAGACCAGAGAGAGACCAGAGAGAGAGACCAGAGAGAGAGACCAGAGAGAGACCAGAGAGAGACCAGAGAGAGACCAGAGAGAGACCAGAGAGAGATTTGTGCAAACATGAAGTTGCTGCTGTTGTGATTTACGGCTTTACACAGATTCATTTATTTGAATCGAAAACCTGCGTCTTATCCTTTGGTTAAACTAAATGGTTCCAATCGTCAGAGAGGCAGGAACTCGTCTCTGGTGCAATCATTCTTTCAAATCCGTCTGAAAACGGTCAGAAACTGCTGGTGTTTTCACGTTGATGGTTTGTGGAATTGGTTCTATTGAATAAGGTTTAAACACAGAAAAGTGGAGCGTGATTTACCGCTGAGTTTCTCCTCCGCTGTGAGGGCCGGCTTCACATCTGTGGCCTGGAACCAGAGACACACACCATCAACACACACCATCAACACACACCATCAACACAACAGCATCAACACACACCATCAACACAACACCATCAACACAACAGCATCAACACAACACCATCAACACACACCTGTTACGGGCAACGACCTATGGTGCCAGTTGTGCACTAGATGGCGCTCCCGTTGCCCTTTGTGTTTGTGTGTGCGCCTTCGTGTTCTGTACAGGTGTCTGTGCGGGAGATCTATTGGAGGGACTTGAAGTGTGGGCGTGGCCGGTCTGACACCTGAGTGGCTGTAGTGGGACAAGAGCGTGGACGTCTTCCAACCCCGGGGATCCATCACTGAGGGCGTCCCCATAAAACCTCCCACTCGCCGTCAGCTCGGGGCAGCTGGACTTGTCTGTGCCAGTCTGCCATCACTGCTCCTCCTGTATTGTTCTGTTCCCTTACGTTGTCACTTTGTAATTTTGAGCTCTAGTTTTGTATAGTGACTTTTGTTTTGTATTATCAATATTATTATTATTTCTGTATTCCTCCTTCGTTTCCCAATTCATTTTATTTTCTGTCATCATTAAAAACTTACTTTAAAATGGACAAATACCAATTCCATCTGGTTTTTTGCTACGTTCTTACTCCCTAGCTGAGCTGGACGTAACACCATCAACACAACACCATCAACACAACACCATCAACACAACACCATCAACACACACCATCAATACAACACCATCAACACACACCATCAACACAACATCATCAACACACACCATCAACACAACACCATCAATACCAGACACCATCAACACAACACCATCAACACACACCAACAACACAACACCATCAACAACCACAGCATCAACACAACACCATCAACACCAGACACCATCAACACAACACCATCAACAACAACAGCATCAACACACACCATCCACACAACAGCAGACACCATCAACACAACACCAGGCACCATTAACACAACACCATCAACACACACCATCAACACAACACCATCAACACACACCATCTACACAACAGCACACACCATCAACACAATACCATCACTCTGAGCAGGACTAAAAGTAGTGAACATCCTTACATTTAAAGTGAATTTGTATTTATTTATTTCAGGTTTGTTTAGAAAAAGCGTTAATCCATTTTTTTCCTCTTACGTTTATTGGAAGCTCGATGAGATGATCCATGCCCCCTCCACTGAGAGACTTCACCTGGAGAGAGAGTCAGTGAGTGTGGGGACCAGACAGAGACCAGAGAGAGACCAGAGAGAGACCAGAGAGACCAGAGAGAGAGACCAGAGAGAGACCACAGAGAGACCAGAGAGAAACCAGAGAGAGAGACCAGAGAGAGAGAGAGAGAGACCAGAGAGAGACCAGAGAGAGAGACCATAGAGAGACCAGAGAGAGACCAGAGAGACCAGAGAGAGACCAGAGAGAGAGACCAGAGAGAGAGACCATAGAGAGACCATAGAGAGACCAGAGAGAGACCAGAGAGAGAGACCAGAAAGAGAGACCAGAGAGAGACCAGAGAGAGACCAGAGAGAGAGACCAGAGAGAGAGACCATAGAGAGACCAGAGAGAGACCAGAGAGACCAGAGAGACCAGAGAGAGACCAGAGAGAGACCAGAGAGAGACCAGAGAGCTCCGTGTCACTTACAGATGCGTTCCCGGTCAGAACCTTCATGAGTCTTTCAGACGGAGCCCACTCTGCCCCAGACCGAGCCCTGGCTTCACAGATGTTCCTACAGAGGCACACACAGAGTCATCCAGCCATCTTCAGCTACAACAGTCATGGTTAAACTCCTAATATTTTGAAACTCCAGGACTGAACCTGGACTAAACTAGGACCAAACCAAGGCCAGCTAGACTAGTTTGTCTGAGCTTTATCAGGCTTCCCAGCATCATAATTGTGTTCACTAGAGGGCACAGGAGAAATGAGTAATTCTGAAATACACAGCCTTCTTTAAATAAAAACACCAGTAACTTATCTCTGTTGTGTGAACGCCTCAACATTCACAGTCCTCCCTCCCTCCATGCAAATGAGTCTAAACCAGAACTTTCCACCTGTGCCCCCTCAGCAGCAGTGAGTCACCAGGACCAGAGCCAGGGCAAGGGCCAGGACCAGAGCCAGGACCAGAGCCAGGGCAAGGGCAAGGACCAGAGCCAGGGCAAGGGCCAGGACCAGAGCCAGGACCAGAGCCAGGGCCAGGGCCAGGACCAGAGCCAGGGCAAGGGCCAGGACCAGAGCCAGGACTAGAGCCAGGACCAGAGCCAGGACCAGAGCCAGGACCAGAGCAAGGACCAGAGCCAGGGCAAGGGCCAGGACCAGAGCCAGGACCAGAGCCAGGACCAGAGCCAGGGCAAGGGCCAGGACCAGAGCCAGGACCAGAGCCAAGACCAGAGCCAAGACCAGAGCAAGGACCAGAGCCAAGACCAGAGCCAGGACCAGAGCCAGGACCAGAGCCAGGCAAGGGCCAGGACCAGAGCCAGGACCAGAGCCAGGACCAGAGCCAGGGCAAGGGCCAGGACCAGAGCCAGGACCAGAGCCAGGGCAAGGACCAGAGCCAAGACCAGAGTCAGGACCAGGACCAGGGCCAGGACCAGGGCCAGGTGCAGGCTAAGGTTCAAGACCATGACCAGGACCAGAGCCAGGACCAGAGCCAGGGCAAGGGCCAGAGTCAGGACCAGGGCAAGGGCCAGGTGCAGACTAAGGTTCAAGACCAAGACCAGGACCAGGTGCGGGTTCAGCTGCAGGACCAGGTGCATGGCCCACGTATTGGAAACCCCAAACACAGAAAGTGCAGAAGGGAATTTACCAACGTCACCGCAGTCACACCTGCCCTTTAAGGCCAAAGGTTTCCCATGGCAACCACTGCAGGACGCCATTTCCACCTTCTCTATTTTACTCTACTGTCCTCTCTACTGTTTAATTTAGTTATGTTTTAGTCCTGATTTAGACCTGTTTTAGTCATGGTTTAGACCTGCCCTAGGCCTGCTATAGACCTGCTCTAGTCCTTTTTTAGTCCTGCTTTAGACCTGCTTTAGTCCTGCTTTAGTCCTGCTTTATTCCTGCTTTAGTCCTGCTTTAGTCCTGTTTTAGTCCTGCTTTAGACCTGCTTTAGTCCAGTTTTAGTCCTGCTTTAGTCCTGCTTTAGTCCTGTTTTAGACCTGTTTTAGTCCTGTTTTAGACCTGCTCTAGTCCTGCTTTAGTCCTGTTTTAGACCTGCTCTAGTCCTGCTTTAGTCCTGTTTTAGTCCTGTTTCAGACCTTCTTTAATACTGATGGGAGACACGCGCCAAACCCTCGTCATGTGACCGTCCTGACACATGTTCAAATATCACAGCTACAACGATACAATCAAGAGAGAACCGAGGAGAGAGATATGAAACACCACTAAATACTATCAATATTAGTAACGGTTTAGTCCTGGTTTAGTCCTGGTTTAGTCCTACTTTAGACATGCTTTAGACCTGCTTTAGACCTGCTTTAGTCCTGCTTTAGTCCTGTTTTAGACCTGCTTTAGTCCTGTTTTAGACCTGCTTTAGTCCTGTTTTAGTCCTGCTTTAGTCCTGTTTTAGACCTGCTTTAGTCCTGTTTTAGTCCTGCTTTAGCCCTGCTTTAGACCTGCTTTAGTCCTGTTTTAGTCCTGCTTTAGCCCTGCTTTAGACCTGCTTTAGTCCTGCTTTAGAACCTGTGTTAGACCTGCTTTAGACCTGCTTTAGACCTGCTTTAGTCCTGCTTTAGACCTGCTTTAGTCCTGCTTTAGTCCTGCTTTAGTCCTGCTTTAGTCCTGCTTTAGACCTGCTTTAGTCCAGTTTTAGTCCTGCTTTAGTCCTGCGTTAGTCCTGCTTTAGACCTGCTTTAGACCTGCTTTAGACCTGCTTTAGTCCTGCTTTAGACCTGCTTTAGACCTGCTTTAGACCAGCTTTAGACCTGCTTTAGACCTGCTTTAGTCCTGCTTTAGTCCTGCTTTAGTCCTGCTTTAGTCCTAGTTTAGTCCTGCTTTAGTCCTGCTTTAGACCTGCTTTAGTCCTAGTTTAGTCCTGCTTTAGTCCTGCTCTAGACCTGCTTTAGTCCTGCTTTCATCCTGCTTTAGTCCTGCTTTAGTCCTGCTTTAGTCCTGCTTTAGTCCTAGTTTAGTCCTGCTTTAGTCCTGCTTTAGACCTGCTTTAGTCCTAGTTTAGTCCTGCTTTAGTCCTGCTCTAGACCTGCTTTAGTCCTGCTTTCATCCTGCTTTAGTCCTGCTTTAGACCTGCTTTAGTCCTGCTTTAGTCACCGTTAGTCCTGCAGTATCCACACAAATGTAACTTCTGTTTAAAATGGGAACATAAAAAGAGGAATCGTCCGTGAAAGTGAAAGTAACAGAGATCACATTTAGCTTAAAAAGATGAAAAGTATCATGTTTTTACCGTTGCAGAAGCTCTAGCCAGCGTTCCTTTGGCTCAGGGGAACTGCAACGAGACCGAGGAGCATGTTATAGTCCCACTCACTTGTGAATCATAATCCAGAATGAGAGAGAGAGCACCCTACAGCACCCTACAGCACCCACACAGAGGGAAGTCTCACTCAGTCATGGGGACAGGAAGTGACATCACGGCGGGCCCCACACCACAGTTTCTCTCGGCGTTGGTGGAAAGGGAAACGTACTGTACGCGTCAGGGAGAGAGACCTCTGTACGCGTCAGGGAGAGAGACCTCGTTTGTTTCAGTGAGTGAGGTTAAAGCTGAGGTCCCTGACTTTACTCCATCATCAAGAACACGTGTAGTTTACCTGAGTCACTATGAGACTCTTTGGGCCGAGAGATTATTGGCTGAGGGGAGGTGGTGCTCTCACGCTTCTCTCTCTAAACTCTCTTTGGTCTCTCTCTGGTCTCTCTCTGGTCTCTCTCTGGTCTCTCTTGCTGGTCTCTCTATGGTCTCTACCTGGTCTCTCTCTCTGGTCTGTCTGTGGTCTATCTCTGGTCCCTCCCTGGTCTTTCTCTGATCTCTCTCTGGTCTCTCCCTGGTCTCTCTCTGGTCTCTCTCTCTGGTCTCTCCCTGGTCTCTCCCTGGTCCCTCCCTGGTCTTTCTCTGGTCTCTCCCTGGTCTCTCTCTGATCTCTCTCTCTGGTCTCTCTCTGGTCTCTCCCTGGTCTCTCCCTGGTCTCTCTCTGGTCTCTCTCTATGGTCTCTCCCTGGTCTCTCCCTGGTCTTTCTCTGGTCTCTCCCTGGTCTCTCTCTGATCTCTCTCTCTGGTCTCTCTCTGGTCTCTCCCTGGTCTCTCCCTGGTCTCTCTCTGGTCTCTCTCTCTGGTCTCTCCCTGGTCTCTCCCTGGTCTCTCCCTGATCTCTCCCTGGTCTCTCCCTGGTCTCTCCCTGGTCTTTCTCCGGTCTTTCTCCGGTCTTTCTCCGGTCTTTCTCTGGTCTTTCTCCGGTCTTTCTCTGGTCTTTCTGGTCTCTCTTCCGTCTGTAAAAGCTGACCTAAAGAACTATGAGCAGCTGTTTTCGAGTCAGAACCAGAGACACAGGTTTAATGCAGAGTTCTGTTGTCGTTTAAAAGTTACGTCCCTGAGCTTTAAGACCTCGTGTGTTTGAGCAGAGTTTTATCGTGGTCACGTCTGTCTCGTCTTTTTAGACTTCCCTTTATTTTGTAACTTTCTTTGTTATATAACTTCTGTTTTTGGACACACATCACATGAAACACACACACAAACACACAGACACACACACTATAGACCTGCTTTAGACCTACTATAGACCTGCTTTAGACCTGCTTTAGACCTGCTTTAGACCTGCTTTAGACCTGCTTTAGACCTACTTTAGACCTGCTTTAGACCTGCTCTAGTCCTGCTTTAGACCTGCTTTAGCCCCCTCTGGCCTCAGATGGATTGAGACTCACCTGAAGGTCAGCAGACACAGTTGTGGATCCAGCAGCAGACTCAGACCCAGGTCCAGGTCTGAGTCTGGGACCTGCTCCTCCAGCTCCGGATCAAAGGCCAAGACCCAGGTCTCATGCAGGTCCAGTCGGTGCTTTAGGCGATAACAGGTTGAAGATCTGAGAGAGAGACCAGAGAGAGACCAGAGAGAGACCGGAAAGAGACCAGAGAGGGACCAGAGAGAGACCAGAGAGAGACCAGAGAGAGACCGGAAAGACACCAGAGAGGGACCAGAGAGAGACCAGAGAGAGACCATAGAGAGACCAGAGAGAGACCAGAGAGAGACCAGAGAGATACCAGATAGAGACCAGAGAGAGACCAGAAAGAGACCAGAGAGAGACCAGAGAGGGACCAGAAAGAGACCAGAAAGAGACCAGATAGAGACCAGAGGGAGACCAGAGAGACAGAGAGAGAGTCACACATAGAGGGAGGAGAGAGAGACACAAAAAAACGTAGGTGGTTTTAATATTGTAGAATTGTGTGTCAGTATAGAGCGACCAGAGAGAGAGACTAGAGGGATTAGAGGGACCAGAAAGACACCAGAGTATGTATCTCCATGGAGACGGCCCTTTCTCACATGAAGACCAGACCCGTCCTTCATAAGCTGTGGAATCCTCGTCTCTCTCTGGTCTCTCTCTGGTCTCTCTCTGGTCTCTCTCTGGTCTCTCTCTGGTCTCTCTCTGGTCTCTCGCTGGTCTCTCTCTGGTCTCTCTCTGGTCTCTCTCTGGTCTCTCGCTGGTCTCTCTCTGGTCTCTCTCTGGTCTCTGAATACAAATGCATAGATTAACGTGACATCACTTACAGACCACTAACTGCTGTAAGTGGTCACTTGGCAAATGATAAGTGGCTTTCATCACTCATTCAGACGACTGTATTAAAGCTGGGGTATGTGTTTTAATGAGGACTAGTGTGTGTGTGTGTGTGTGTGTGTGTGTGTGTGTGTGTGTGTGTGTGTGTGTGTGTGTGTGTGTGTGTGTGTGTGTGTGTGTGTGTGTGTGGGTTATAGGCCTATTATTCTTCACCCTTTTTAATGCACTGTGATTATATATGATTTGAATGCCTTAGGCCATACACAAGGACCAGAGAGAGACCAGAGAGAGACCAGAGAGAGACCAGAGAGAGACCAGAGAGAGACCAGAGAGAGAGACCAGAGAGAGACCAGAGAGAGACCAGAAAGAGACCAGAGAGAGACCAGAGAGAGACCAGAGAGAGACCAGGGAGAGACCAGAGTGTGAGACCAGAGAGAGGGACTAGAGTGGGACCAAAGAGAGAGAAGAGAAGAGAAAGAGAGAGAGAGAAGAGAAAGAGAGACCAGGGTTAGAGGCCTGAATGTATGTGAATGCTTGTGTGATTGTCCCAGTGATGTTCTAGTCTCAGCACTTCCGTTCCCTGTGTATGAACTGTGCATTATATAGATCAACATTTCTTCTTCTTCTGCTGTGCTAAACAAATAAACATGGTCCTGAAAGCTCGCAGCTCACAGACACAGGAGCACATGACCTCCTGCTTTTGTTATTGGCCCAGATTCAATCTCTGATGCACTTCCTGCATTTAACCATCGAGCCGTGTGTAATAACAAATACTCATAATACTGTTTATTTGAACAGAGTGTTTGTGGGAACTCAAGGTCGCTTTAAGGGACTAATGTGAAAGAAAAACACAGATAAACATGAACTATAAAGAAAGAAGGACCCTCTGGTCTCTCTCTGGTCTCTCTGGTCTCTCTCTCTGGTCTCTCTCTGATCTTTCTCTGGTCTCTGTCTGGTCTCTCTCTGGTCTCTCTGGTCTCTCTCTGGTCTCTCTCTGATCTTTCTCTGGTCTCTGTCTGGTCTTTCTCTGGTCTCTCTCTGGTCTCCCTCAGATGTTGTGGTGTCTCACCTGAGTTTGGCGATAACCAGAACATCCCTGAAGAGGAAGAGGTGTCTTTCTCTGGTCTTGGATCCTTCTGTCACCTGCAGACTCTGCTCCAGCAGCAGAGGACCGTTCTCTGCTGTCAGACCCAGGACGAAGGGGCTCTGCTCTGGACTCACCCAACACGACTCCTCCCTGCAACACAACAGCCATCAGAGACCAGAGACCAAAGAGTGACCAGAGAGCGACCAGAGAGAGGCCAGAGAGAGCAGAGAGAGAGAGAGACCAGAGAGAGAGACCAGAGAGAGGCCAGAGAGAGCAGAGAGAGAGAGAGACCAGAGAGAGAGACCAGAGAGAGAGGCCAGAGAGACTAGAGAGAGGGACTACAAAGAGAGACCAGAGAGAGAGACCAGAGAGAGAGGCCAGAGAGTCTAGAGAGAGAGACCAGAAAGAGAGAGACCAGAGAGACAGGCCAGAGAGACTAGAGAGAGAGACACGAGAGAGAGACCAGAGAGACAGACCAGAGACAGAGGCCAGAGAGACTATAGAGAGAGACCAGAGAGAGAGGCCAGAGAGAGCAGAGAGACTAGAGAGAGAGACCAGAGAGACTATAGAGAGAGACCAGAGAGAGAGGCCAGAGAGAGCAGAGAGACTAGAGAGAGAGACTAGAGAGAGAGACCAGAGAGACTATAGAGAGAGACCAGAGAGAGAGGCCAGAGAGACTAGAGAGAGAGACTAGAGAGAGAGACCAGAGAGACTATAGAGAGAGACCAGAGAGAGAGGCCAGAGAGAGCAGAGAGACTAGAGAGAGAGACTAGAGAGAGCGACCAGAGAGAGGCCAGAGAGAGCAGAGAGAGAGAGAGACCAGAGAGAGAGACCAGAGAGAGGCCAGAGAGAGCAGAGAGAGAGAGAGCAGAGAGAGAGACCAGAGAGAGAGGCCAGAGAGACTAGAGAGAGGGACTACAAAGAGAGACCAGAGAGAGAGACCAGAGAGAGAGGCCAGAGAGACTAGAGAGAGAGACCAGAAAGAGAGAGACCAGAGAGACAGGCCAGAGAGACTAGAGAGAGAGACACGAGAGAGAGACCAGAGAGACAGACCAGAGACAGAGGCCAGAGAGACCAGAGAGAGGGGCCGGAGAGACCAGAGAGAGAGATTAGGGAAAGGCCAGAGAGACTAGAGAGAGAGACTAGAGAGAGAGACTAGAGAGAGAGACCAGAGAGAGAGACCAGAGAGAGAGACCAGAGAGAGAGGCCAGAGAGACTAGAGAGAGCGACCAGAAAGAGAGACCAGAGAGACCAGAGAGAGAGAGACCAAAGAGAGAGGCCAGAGAGACTAGAGAGAGAGACCAGAGAGAGACGCCAGAGAGACCAGAGAGAGAGACCAGAGAGAGAGGCCAGAGAGACTAGAGAGAGAGACTAGAGAGAGAGACCAGAGAGAGAGACCAGAGAGAGAGGCCAGAGAGACTAGAGAGAGAGACTAGAGCGATAGACCAGAGAGAGAGACCAGAGAGAGAGGCCAGAGAAACTAGAGAGAGAGACCAGAGAGAAAGACCAGAGAGAGAGGTCGGAGAGACCAGAGAGAGAGACCAGAGAGAGAGACCAGAGAGAAAGACCAGAGAGAGAGGCCAGAGAGGCCAGAGAGAAAGACCAGAGAGAGAGGTTGGAGAGACCAGAGAGAGAGACTAGAGAGAGAGACCAGAGAGAGAGACCAGAGAGAGAGACCAGAGAGAGACCAGAGAGAGAGGCCAGAGAGAGAGGCCAGAGAGAGAGGCCAGAGGGACCAGAGAGAGAGAGACCAGAGAGAGAGGCCATATAGATTATAGAGAGAGGCCAGAGAGAGCAGAGAGAGAGAAACCAGAGAGAGAGACCAGAGAGATTCTAGAAAGAGGCCAGAGAGAGCAGAGAGAGAGACCAGAGAGAGAGACCAGAGAGAGAGACTATAGAGAGAGACCAGAGAAAGAGACCAGAAAGAGAGGCCAGAGAGACTAGAGAGAGAGACTAGAGAGAGAGACCAGAGAGAGAACCCAGGGAGAGAGGCCAAAGAGAGAGGCCAGAGAGACTAGAGAGAGAGACCAGAGAGAGAGAGACCAGAGAGAGAGGCCAGAGAGACCAGAGAGAGAGACCAGAGAGAGAGGCCAGAGAGACCAGAGAGAGAGACCAGAGAGAGAGGCCAGAGAGAGAGGCCATATAGATTCTAGAGAGAGGCCAGAGAGAGCAGAGAGAGAGACCAGAGAGATTCTAGAAAGAGGCCAGAGAGAGCAGAGAGAGAGAGCCAGAGAGACCAGAGAGAGAGACCAGAGAGAGAGGCCGGAGAGACCAGAGAGAGAGACCAGAGAGAGAGGCCGGAGAGACTAGAGAGAGAGACCAGAGAGAGAGGCCAGAGAAACCAGAGAGAGAGACCAGAGAGAGAGGCCAGAGAGAGAGGCCATATAGATTCTAGAGAGAGGCCAGAGAGAGCAGAGAGAGAGACCAGAGAGATTCTAGAAAGAGGCCAGAGAGAGCAGAGAGAGAGAGCCAGAGAGACCAGAGAGAGAGACCAGAGAGAGAGGCCGGAGAGACCAGAGAGAGAGACCAGAGAGAGAGGCCGGAGAGACTAGAGAGAGAGACCAGAGAGAGAGACTAGAGAGAGAGACCAGAGAGAGAGGCCAGAGAAACTAGAGAGAGAGACCAGAGAGAGAGACCAGAGAGAGAGGCCGGAGAGACCAGAGAGAAAGACCAGAGAGAGAGGCCAGAGAGACTAGAGAGAGAGACTAGAGAGAGAGACCAGAGAGAGAGACCAGAGAGAGAGACCAGAGAGAGAGGCCAGAGAGACTAGAGAGAGAGACCAGAGAGAGAGACCAGAGAGAGAGGCCAGAGAGACCAGAGAGAGAGACAAGAGAGAGAGGCCAGAGAGAGAGACCAGAGAGAGAGGCCAGAGAGACCAGAGAGAGAGACCAGAGAGAGAGGCCATATAGATTATAGAGAGAGGCCAGAGAGAGCAGAGAGAGAGAGACCAGAGAGATTCTAGAAAGAGGCCAGAGAGAGCAGAGAGAGAGAGAGAGAGACTATAGAGAGAGACCAGAGAGAGAGACTATAGAGAGAGACCAGAGAGAGAGACCAGAGACACCAGAAAGAGAGGCCAGAGAGACTAGAGAGAGAGACTAGAGAGAGAGACCAGAGAGAGAGACCAGAGAGAGAGACCAGAGAGAGAGACCAGAGAGAGAGGCCAGAGAGAGAGGCCAGAGAGACTAGAGAGAGAGACCAGAGAGAGAGACCAGAGAGAGAGGCCAGAGAGACCAAGAGAGAGAGACAAGAGAGAGAGGCCAGAGAGAGAGACCAGAGAGAGAGGCCAGAGAGACCAGAGAGAGAGACCAGAGAGAGAGGCCATATAGATTATAGAGAGAGGCCAGAGAGAGCAGAGAGAGAGAGACCAGAGAGATTCTAGAAAGAGGCCAGAGAGAGCAGAGAGAGAGAGAGAGAGAGACTATAGAGAGAGACCAGAGAGAGAGACTATAGAGAGAGACCAGAGAGAGAGACCAGAGACACCAGAAAGAGAGGCCAGAGAGACTAGAGAGAGAGACTAGAGAGAGAGACCAGAGAGAGAGACCAGAGAGAGAGACCAGAGAGAGAGACCAGAGAGAGAGGCCAGAGAGACTAGAGAGAGAGACCAGAGAGAGAGACCAGAGAGAGAGGCCAGAGAGAGAGGCCATATATATTCTAGAGAGAGGCCAGAGAGAGCAGAGAGAGAGAGACCAGAGAGAGAGACCAGAGAGATTCTAGAAAGAGGCCAGAGAGAGCAGAGAGAGAGAGCCAGAGAGAGCAGAGAGAGAGGCCGGAGAGACCAGAGAGAGATACCAGAGAGAGAGGCCAGAGAGACTAGAGAGAGAGACTAGAGAGAGAGACCAGAGAGAGAGGCCAGAGAGACTAGAGAGAGAGACTAGAGAGAGAGACCAGAGAGATAGACTAGAGAGAGAGACCAGAGAGAGAGACCAGAGAGAGAGGCCGGAGAGACCAGAGAGAGAGACCAGAGAGAGGCCAGAGAGACTAGAGAGAGAGACTAGAGAGAGAGACCAGAGAGAGAGACCAGAGAGAGAGGCCAGAGAGACTAGAGAGAGAGACCAGAGAGAGAGGCCAGAGAGAGAGGCCAGAGAGACTAGAGAGAGAGACCAGAGAGAGAGACCATATAGATTATAGAGAGAGGCCAGAGAGAGCAGAGAGAGAGAGACCAGAGAGAGAGAGAGACCAGAGAGATTCTAGAAAGAGGCCAGAGAGAGCAGAGAGAGAGAGAGACTATAGAGAGAGACCAGAGAGAGAGCCCAGAGAGAGAGACTATAGAGAGAGACCAGATAGAGAGACCAGAGAGAGAGGCCAGAGAGACTAGAGAGAGAGACCAGAGAGAGAGGCCAGAGAGACCAGAGAGAGAGACCAGAGAGAGAGGCCGGAGAGACCAGAGAGAGAGACCAGAGAGAGAGGCCAGAGAGACTAGAGAGAGAGACCAGAGAGAGAGGCCAGAGAGAGAGGCCAGAGAGAGCAGAGAGAGAGAGACCAGAGAGAGAGACCAGAGAGATTCTAGAAAGAGGCCAGAGAGAGCAGAGAGAGAGAGAGAGAACAGAAAAAACAGAGAAAGATCAAAGAGAGACACCATTTAACTGACTACTGTTGCCTGTATCTTGTGTCGTATATGTCCATAACAGAAATACCTGATGGGAGACCAGGGCATTCCCAGAGTTTTCCCGAAGACCAGAGAGGGAGCCGACCGCCGCCTCTGAGCCAGGTTACGGAAGTTCTGCCAGAAAAAGACATTAAACACTTTACAAATGTGTCCGGGTGATATCAGTGTGTTCCAGAGAGCGATAGTTTCACATTGTGGCTGAGAGAAGCTGAAACTAGTAACTCTGGTAACTATGGTAACTCTCTCTGGTCCCTCTCTGGTCTCTCTCTGCTCCCTCTCTGGTCTGTCTCTGGTCTCCCTGGTCTCCCTGGTCTCCCTGGTCTCTCTGCTCCCTCTCTGGTCTCTCTCTGCTCCCTCTCTGGTCTGTCTCTGGTCTCCCTGGTCTCCCTGGTCTCTCTGCTCCCTCTCTGGTCTCTCTCTGCTCCCTCTCTGGTCTGTCTCTGGTCTCCCTGGTCTCCCTGGTCTCTCTGCTCCCTCTCTGGTCTCTCTCTGGTCTCCCTGGTCTCTGGGCTCCCTCTCTGGTCTCTCTCTGGTCTCTTTATCGTGATTGTCCAAATGTACACATTGTTAAACAATAATGAATCATATTTTCTGCAGGAGCCTGAGTCCTTGTGAAAGAAAAACAAAATTCCGCTTTTTTCCCCAGATCATTATGAGTCATCAGAGAGAGCTCTGATTACAGTCAACAAAGAAACTGAGTCGAGCTGAAAACAGGACAGGCATGAGAGAGATCCTATCCTCTCCATTAAAGTTCGGGGACCTAACTTTCAAACAACAATAGAACTCTGTATTAAACCCATGTCTCTGGTTCTGAGACATCTCTGGTTCTGTGTGTATTTCTGTCTCTGTCACAACTTTTACAGAGAGAGAACAGAGAGAGACCGGAGAGAGGCAAGAGAGAGACCAGAGAGAGACCGGAGAGAGGCCAGAGAGAGACCAGAGAGAGACCAGAGAGAGACCAGAGAGAGAACAGAGAGAGACCGGAGAGAGGCCAGAGAGAAACCAGAGAGAGACCAGAGAGAGACCAGAGAGAGAACAGAGAGAGACCGGAGAGAGGCCAGAGAGAGACCAGAGAGAGACCGGAGAGAGGCCAGAGAGAGACCAGAGAGAGACCAGAGAGAGACCGGCGAGAGACCAGAGAGAGACCAGAGAGAGACCGGAGAGAGACCAGAGAGAGACCAGAGAGAGACCGGAGAGAGGCCAGAGAGAGACCCAGGGACATACTAGATTGAGACCACAACTTTTTCAGTCAGAACATTTTTTTGTTCTAAATCTGTTTTAAGTTGTGTATATTTCTTCTCACCGGTCGCAGAGACACCGCAGCGTCGTCGTAGCTCCCTCTCCTCATCATCATCCCAGCTTTAGGACCAGCAGCTCCAGCCATGTCCTCCTCTCTGGTCCTGGTTTCTCTTTCACTGTCCACTCTCTCTGGTCTTTCTCTGGTCTCTCTGTGGTCTCTCTCTCTCTGGTCTCTCTCTGGTCTCTCTGTGGTCTCTCTGTGGCCTCTATCTGGTCTCTCTCTGGTCTCTCTGTGGTCTCTCTGTGGCCTCTATCTGGTCTCTCTCTGGTCTCTCTGTGGTCTCTCTGTGGCCTCTATCTGGTCTCTCTCTGGTCTCTCTGTGGTCTCTCTCTGGTCTCTCTGTGGTCTTTCCCTGGTCTCTCTGGTGTCTGTCTGGTCTCTCTCTGGTCTCTCTCTGGTCTCTCTCTGTGGTCTCTGTCTGGTCTCTCTGTGGTCTCTCTCTGGCCTCTCTCTGGTCTTTCCCAGGTCTCTCTCGCTGTGCCTCCTCTGTGGTAATGAGGCTACGGGAACAATGCTCTCCCCCCAAACACATGCATATTCTGGGGGAGTGCACCTCTCTCTCTCCCCTCTCCCCCCTCTCCCTGTCCAAACCCTCTCCTCCTCCTCCTCCTCCTCCCTGGTCTCGTTCTGCTCCAGTGGAAACACATACATAATGAGATAGGTCCATCCAGGATAATGAGCAGGACGTGCCTCCACAGGGATGACTGGACCATTGTGCGACATCACAGAGTCTGATGCTGTATGTGTGTTATTAATACAATTATATAGACACAGGACCGAGGGGGACAGAGAGAGAGACCAGAGAGAGACCTGCAGCTCCAGCCATGTCCTCCTCTCTGGTCTCTCTCTTCCTGGTCTAGGTTTCTCTGTTTCTGGTCTCTCTCTGGTCTTCCTGTCTCTGGCCTCTTTCTGGTCTCTCTCTGGTCTCTCTCTGGTCTCTCTGGTCTCTCTCGCTCTCTGGTCTCTCTGGTATTTCTCTGGTCTCTCTCTGGTCTCTCTCTGGTCTCTCTTTCTCTCTGGCCTCTTTCTGGTCTATCTGGTCTCTCTCTGGTCTCTCTCTCTGGTCTCTCTCTCTCTGTTCTCTCTCTGGTCTCTCTCTCTCTGTTCTCTCTCTGGTGTCTCTCTCTGGTCTCTCTTTCTCTCTGGCCTTTTTCTGGTCTCTCTGGACTCTCTCTGGTCTCTCTCTGGTCTCCCTCTGGACTCTCTCTGGTCTCTCTCTGGACTCTCTCTGGTCTCTCTGTGGTCTCTCTCACAGGGGATGGAGGGGGACAGAGACACAGAGGACGTCTGTGTAGGACGAGTCGGCCATCTTTCTGTCCCCATACGACTAAGGCCCTGAGACTCTACACAGCAATCATCAAAAAATGACCAGGCTCCGTATTCAAGTGCACAGCGTTTCCATGACAACGTACAACAATGTAGTTCTCACGCCCGGCCTGTAGGGGGCAGTAGAACTTTACAACACAACACACATGACCTCCAGCAGTAGAACCAATTCCTCAACAACATGCTCCTCAGGCCGAGGCAAAGACGGGAAAGAACCAACATCATTCTGCATTTAACAGCAGCAGTGGAAATGGAAAGTGAAACTACAGCTGTGGTTTGGTTTGGACGAAGGAGCAGAATCCTCCGTTAGCGAAGCAGCGTCTCTGTTCTGTTCCACTCTGGAGGCTGTTTCCCAAAGCTTGCGTCTTCCCCTGAAACACTGTCTCCGTGGAAACAGGACGCCAAACCGATTTACACTGTAACGTTTTACTGTCGCAGCGTCTCCGTCTAAACAGGGTTTCATTGGGTTAGCATTGTCCATCTGTAAACAGTCTGTTAGACAAGAGAGAGACCAGAGAGAGAGACCAGAGAGAGAGAGACCAGAGAGAGACCAGAGAGAGACCAGAGAGAGAGACCAGAGAGAGACCAGAAAGAGAGAGACCAGAGAGAGAGACCAGAGAGAGACCAGAGAGAGAGTCTGATATCATTGACCATCAGTATTGAGTCTGTGGGAAAAAAAAATGTAATTGTTTGTTTCATTTGTCTTTATTTACACAACAGAACAACACAAACTAAAGCACAAGAATAAATAAGTTTTACACAGTCAACACAAGAAAGTGTCAGATTTTGCACAAGTTGGAAAACATTGTGCTGTATAAATAAATACGATCCGATGTTCTCACAGACAGAGACCGGTGTTTGTCCGAGTCTAGATGAGGCTCCTTTTGACTTACATGGAAAAGAACACACACATTAGTGTTGGTCATGTCTCTGGTTAAATGTGTTTTTTTTAAATAAAAGATCTCTCTTTCTAGTCTTTCTCTCTGGTCTCTCTCTAGTCTCTCTCTCTGGTCTCTCTCTAGTCTCTCTCTCTGGTCTCTCTCTAGTCTCTCTCTCTGGTCTCTCTCTAGTCTCTCTCTCTGGTCTCTCTCTAGTCTCTCTCTCTCTAGTCTCTCTCTCTGGTGTCTCTCTCTCTGGTCTCTCTCTAGTCTCTCTCTCTGGTGTCTCTCTCTCTGGTCTCTCTCTAGTCTCTCTCTCTGGTCTCTCTCTCTAGTCTCTCTCTCTGGTGTCTCTCTCTTTGGTCTCTCTCTAGTCTCTCTCTCTGGTCTCTCTCTCTCTGGTCCCTCTCTGGTCTCTCTCTAGTCTCTCTCTCTAGTCTCTCTCTCTGGTGTCTCTCTCTCTGGTCTCTCTCTAGTCTCTCTCTCTGGTGTCTCTCTCTCTGGTCTCTCTCTAGTCTCTCTCTCTGGTCTCTCTCTCTCTAGTCTCTCTCTGGTGTCTCTCTCTTTGGTCTCTCTCTAGTCTCTCTCTCTGGTCTCTCTCTCTCTAGTCTCTCTCTCTGGTCTCTCTCTCTCTGGTCCCTCTCTGGTCTCTCTCTGGTTTCTCTCTCTGGTCTCTCTCTAGTCTCTCTCTCTAGTCTCTCTCTCTGGTCTCTCTCTGGTCTCTCTCTTCATGGTTTATATGGAGCCGTGTTTAGGGGCCCCTGGTCCTTCCTGGTGTCCTTGCACCTGGTCAGACCCCCAGCAGACACACACAGGCCTGGGCTCTTCAGGAGCCTCCTTCCTCTGGTGGCTCTCCTGGTCCCGGGTCTTCCTGTTCTTCTCCACCAGCTGGATGTGTATGTGTGGGGGCCCGGGGCGGGTACCAGGTGGGGCCCCCACACGGTTTCCTCGCAGCAGCACGGCGGCGGGGCCCAGCAGGCACCGCAGCTCGCGCTGGAACGTCTTGTTGAAGTAGAAGTAGATGAACGGGTTGTAGATGTGAGAACTCTTCGCAAACAGAGCCGGGAACACGAAGCCCTCAGGGGCCATGTACTGGGGGCCCCTGTGGAAGATGAACAGGAAGGAGACCACAGCGTACGGGGACCAGGCCATGATGAAGCCCAGACTGATGCAGAGGAACATCTGAGGAGGAGAGGAGGAACATGTGAGGAGGAGGGGAGGAGGAGAGGATCATGTGAGGAGGAGGAGGAGAGGATCAGGAGGAGAGGAGAGGAGGAGGAGAGGATCATGTGAGGAGGAGGAGAGGAGAGGATCAGGAGGAGAGGAGAGGAGGAGGAGAGGATCATGTGAGGAGGAGGAGAGGAGAGGATCATGTGAGGAGGAGAGGATCAGGAGGAGAGGAGAGGAGGAGGAGAGGATCATGTGAGGAGGAGGAGAGGAGAGGATCATGTGAGGAGGAGGAGAGGAGAGGAGCAGAGGATCATGTGAGGAGGAGGAGAGGAGAGGATCATGTGAGGAGGAGGAGAGGAGAGGATCAGGAGGAGAGGAGAGGAGGAGGAGAGGAGAGGATCATGTGAGGAGGAGGAGAGGAGAGGAGAGGATCATGTGAGGAGGAGGAGAGGAGAGGATCATGTGAGGAGGAGGAGAGGAGAGGAGCAGAGGATCATGTGAGGAGGAGGAGAGGAGAGGATCATGTGAGGAGGAGGAGAGGAGAGGAGCAGAGGATCATGTGAGGAGGAGGAGAGGAGAGGATCATGTGAGGAGGAGGAGAGGAGAGGATCAGGAGGAGAGGAGAGGAGGAGGAGAGGAGAGAGGATCATGTGAGGAGGAGGAGAGGAGAGGAGAGGATCATGTGAGGAGGAGGAGAGGAGAGGATCATGTGAGGAGGAGGAGAGGAGAGGATCATGTGAGGAGGAGGAGAGGAGAGGATCATGTGAGGAGGAGGAGAGGAGAGGATCATGTGAGGAGGAGGCGGAGAGGATCAGGAGGAGAGGATCATGTGAGGAGGAGGAGAGGAGAGGGTCATGTGAGGAGGAGGCGGAGAGGATCAGGAGGAGAGGATCATGTGAGGAGGAGGAGAGGAGCAGAGGATCATGTGAGGAGGAGAGGATCAGGAGGAGAGAAGGAGGAGGAGAGGAGAGAGACACACACACACTGAGACACATGTCTCAGTGTGTGTGTGTCTCTCTGTGTCTCAGTGTGTGTGTGTGTGTGTGTCACCATGCTCAGCCTCCTCTCCGTGTGTCTCAGTGTGTGTGTGTGTCTCTCTGTGTCTCAGTGTGTGTGTGTGTGTGTGTCACCATGCTCAGCCTCCTCTCCGTGTGTCTCAGTGTGTGTGTGTGTCTCTCTGTGTCTCAGTGTGTGTGTGTGTGTGTGTGTGTCACCATGCTCAGCCTCCTCTCCGTGTGTCTCAGTGTGTGTGTGTGTCTCTCTGTGTCTCAGTGCTCAGTGTGTGTGTGTGTGTGTGTGTCACCATGCTCAGCCTCCTCTCCGTGTGTCTCAGGTTGTTGTAGATGCCCCTCGCAGACAGAGTGCAGGAGAACCTGGAGACCTCCCACAGGATGAGGCCCTGCGTGACCACGATGAGCAGCACGGGGAGCAGAGTGAAGCAGAGGAAGGAGCAGAGGACGTAGACGGCGTCCTTGGTGGAGGTGTGGTATCCCCTCCAGGCCACCGTACACGACAGACCGTACGGCTCCAGGACATACTCCCCCCAACCGACCAGAGGGAAGCAGGACCAGAGAGCAGCCACCATCCAGATCCCAGCACACAGGTACTGCACCCGCACCTCGTCCAGCCACACTGAGGACAGAGGACACAGGTCTCTCTCTGGTCTCACTCTGGTCTCTCTCTGGTCTCACTCTGGTCTCTCTCTGGTCTCTCTCTAGCCTCTCTCTAGTCTCTTCTCTCTAGTCTCTTCTCTCTAGTCTCTCTCTGGCCTCTCTCGAGTCTCTCTTTAGTCTCTTTTCTCTAGTCTCTCTCTGGCCTCTCTCTGGTCTCACTCTGGTCTCTCTCTGGTCTCTCTCTGGTCTCTCTCTGGTCTCTCTCTAGTCTCTCTCTAGTCTCTCTCTGGTCTCTCTAGTCTCTCTCTGGCCTCTCTCTGGTCTCTCTCTAGTCTCTCTCTAGTCTCCCTCTGGTCTCTCTCTAGTCTCTCTCTAGTCTCTCTCTGGTCTCTCTCTAGTCTCTCTCTAGTCTCTCTCTGGTCTCTCTCTAGTCTCTCTCTGGTCTCTCTAGTCTCTCTCTGGCCTCTCTCTGGTCTCTCTCTAGTCTCTCTCTAGTCTCCCTCTGGTCTCTCTCTAGTCTCTCTCTAGTCTCTCTCTGGTCTCTCTCTAGTCTCTCTCTAGTCTCTCTCTGGTCTCGCTCTAGTCTCTCTCTAGTCTCTCTCTAGTCTCTCTCTAGTCTCTCTCTGGTCTCTCTCTAGTCTCTCTCTAGTCTCTCTCTGGTCTCGCTCTAGTCTCTCTCTGGCCTCTCTCTAGTCCCTCTTTAGCCTCTTTCTAGTCTCTCTCTGGCCTCTCTCTGGTCTCTCTCTGGTCTCTCTCTGGCCTCTCTCTGGTCTCTGAACCATGTGTGTCGCACCATAGAGCAGGCTGCAGCAGGTCTTGAGGTAGCGCATGACGCTGATGGCGGTGATGGTGAACATGGCGCAGAGGCCGAAGATGAAGCAGCCCAGGCCGTAGTAGACGCAGGTGTAGCTGTGTCCCCACCAGGTGTGTGTGAAGGAGGAGGTGATGGACAGAGGGTAGAAGAACACGCAGCAGAAGAAGTCCACCGCCGCCAGGTTCACACACAGCAGCTCCGCACCAGCAAGGACCCTGCGGCGCCGGTAACACACCAGCAACACCAGGCCGTTCCCCACCAGCGACAGCAGCACTGGCGCAACACAGACACACAAGTCTGTTAATACAGTCTGGTCTCTCACTGGTCTCTCTCTGGTCCCTCTCTCTGGTCTCTTTCTCTCTGGTCTCTCTCTCTCTGGTCTCTCTCGCTCTGGTCTCTCTGGTCTCTCTCTTTCTCTGGTCTCTCTTTCTGGTCTCTCTCTCTGGTCTCTCTCTCTGGTCTCTCTCTCTGGTCTCTCTGGTCTCTCTCTTTCTCTGGTCTCTCTTTCTGGTCTCTCTCTCTGGTCTCTCTCTCTGGTCTCTCTGGTCTCTCTCTCTCAGGTCTCTTTCTGGTCTCTCTCTCTCTGGTCTCTCTCTGGTCTCTCTCTCACTGGTCTCTTTCTGGTCTCTCTGGTCTCTCTCTCTCTCTGGTCTTTCTCTCTGGTCTCCCTCTGGTCTCTCTCTCTCTGGTCTCTCTCTCTCTCTCTGGTCTCTCTCTCTCTGGTCTCTCTCTCTTCTCTGTGGCTGGACCAAACCCAGCTCCTCGTTGGAATGTTTTGAGTCTCGTCTTTGGTTTCACTCTGTGAGTTTCTGTTCCTCTGTTTATCTGTTTATCAATTTTATTGTTTTGATTTTTTATTTTTAAACTGGATAACTGTTACTGTATTATTTGTACTTCTTTTATGTTTGTTAAACATTTAAAGCTGACAAACCTGTATATTTAAATGTATTATGTATATCTCTGTGCAAGACTTTAGAAAATTGTTTTAGAAAATGTGCTTTTTTAATAAAGTGGCTTGGATTGGTCTCTCATGGTCGGTCTCTAGTCTTTCTCTGGTCTTTTTCCGGTCTCTCTCTCTGGTCTCTCTCTCTCTTCGGTTTCTCTCTCTGGTCTCTCTCTCTCCGGTCTCTCTCTCTTCGGTCTCTCTCTCTGGTCTCTCTCTCTCCGGCCTCTCTCCCTCTCTGGTCTCTCTCTCTCCGGTCTCTCTCTCTTCGGTCTCTCTCTCTGGTCTCTCTCTCTCTCTGGTCTCTCTCTCTCTCTGGTCTCTCTCTCTCTGGTCTCTCTTTTTCACATATACAGTAGCTCCAGCTTCTGTCACATCTTTAGATCAAATCTCTCTCTCTCTGACATAAAACACGTTTACTCACGAGATGTTTTACTTTTAGAAACATATTTTTGTTGGAGAAACTATACGTGTTGTTTATGGAAAGTTACGTACCCCAGCTTTAACACAGAAAAGCGTCATACCCGTGCAGAGGATGGCGAGTCCCACCGTGATGTCCGCCGCGGGGGACAGTTTGGAGGTGAACCCTGAGTACGGGTCTCTGTCCTGGGTGTAGTTCCCGTCCATGTCCCGCTGACGCACCGCTGTCCTGGCGGAGGTATGTGGGCTCCGAGATAGAGGTATGTGTGCTCCTGTCAGAAGTATGTGAGCTCCTGGCAGAAGTATGTGAGCTCCTGGCAGAAGTATGTGCGCTCCTGGCAGAAGTATGTGCGCTCCTGGCAGAAGTATGTGCGCTCCTGGCAGAAGTATGCGCGCTCCTGGAGATTACCTCCGTGGGGTTGGTCCCTGATGGATCGCGCAGGCGCACAAAGACCAGCAGTGGTTCGTTCTCGTCTGTGCTGCTTTAGTTTAGACCCTCTCTCTGGTCTCTCTCTGGTCTCTTTCTGGTCTCTCTCTCTGGTCTCTCTCTCTGGTCTCTCTCTGGTCTCTCTCTGGTCTTGCTCTGCGCTCTCTCTCTGGTCTCTCCCTCTAGTCTCTCTGGTGTCTCTCTCTGGTCTCTCTCTGGTCTCTCTCTGATCTCTCTCCGGTCTCTCTTTGGTCTCTCCCTCTGGTCTCTCTCTGGTCTCTCCCTATGATCTATCGCTGGTCTCTCTCTGGTCTCTCTCTGGTCTCTCCCTCTGGTCTCGCTCTGGTCTCTCTCTGGTCTCTCCCTCTGGTCTCTCTCTGGTCTTTCTCTGGTCTCTCCCTTTGGTCTCTCTCTGGTCTCTCTCTTGTCTTTCTCTGGTCTCTCCCTTTGGTCTCTCTCTGGTCTCTCTCTAGTCTCTCTCTGGTCTCTCTCTGGTCTTTCTCTGGTCTCTCCCTATGGTGTCTCTCTCTGGTCCCTCTTTGGTCTCGCTCTGGTCTCGCTCTGGTCTCTCTCTGGTCTCTCTCTGGTCTCTCTCTGGTCTCTCTCTGGTCTTTCTCTGGTCTCTCCCTTTGGTCTCTCTCTGGTCTCTCTCTGGTCTCTCTCTGGTCTCTCTCTGGTCTTTCTCTGGTCTCTCCCTTTGGTCTCTCTCTCTCTCTCTCTGGTCTCTCTCTGGTCTCTCTCTGGTCTTTCTCTGGTCTCTCCCTATGGTGTCTCTCTCTGGTCCCTCTTTGGTCTCGCTCTGGTCTCTCTCTGGTATCTCTTTGGTCTCGCTCTGGTCTCGCTCTGGTCTCTCTTTAGTCTCGCTCTGGTCTCTCTCTGGTCGCTCTGGTCCCTTCATTAAAAGCAGATCAGTATAAATGTCATCAGTGATCGATGTAAAAGCAGCAGAAGTCATGAGTCACGTGTGAAGAACTGATCACCTCTGAGTGAGTCACATTCAGGCCCGTCCCAAGGGGGGTGCGAGGCCCTGTGCGAACTCGAAACGCGAGGCCCTGCCCTGACACTTTTTTCCCAGATCTGAGGAAAGTTTTTCCTGTTATAATCTTTGACATGAATTCAGCACCACCTCGCGCGGTGCTTGACGAGATCAGCACGCGTGTAACCGAGTGTCTTCGCTCCTATGCAGCGTTTGGCGCGCGCACGTACACACGCACACACACTCTACGTGCAATATTGGTCGCGGTCTTTTTAGCTGACATGTCTCTTTCGTCCTGTGGCAAAATGGTAGAGCAACTCAAAAGATTGAACCAAAAGGAGTCTTTTTCTTCTAATAGTTAGATTTGGGCAAAATGCGCCAAAATGGCTATGAGGCGGAGTCAATATTATTATTTTCTCATCAAATAACGTTTTTGCCATGCCTCCACACACTCTGACAACATACACTCCTCCTCCTCCACACTGACAACAACAAAATACTCTTCACCTCCTCCTCCACACACTCTGACCACAACAAAAACACTCCAGCTAGCTAAAGCTAGACATACAGTGTGTTTGCTAATGCTTTTAAAAATATGTTTTTGATGTGGATATTCGGACTAAACATTGGCAATAGCAGCGCTCACACACCTGTCACACCGCTGATCCTCCTCCTCCTCCTCTGCTCACACAAAGGGGTCTGCTCCTCTGCTCACACCTGTCTCACTGCTCCTCCTCCGCGAGTATCCATCTCTCCTACACTGCGATCATTCCCGTTACTTTCTTTGTATCTCACTCAGACACTGCTAAAGTTATCTGACAGTTTTTTCGGAGGACCCGTTGCATACATAGCTGCCCGCGCGCCTGCCTGTTTACAAATCGCTTTTGGTGAAAATTTGACTTTACTTGTAAAAATGTTCTTTTGATCAAACGAAATCAAAGAGGTCCAGAGAAAGGGGTTTAGGGTTCCAAATTTGGAGTGCAGTCTGCCCTTTGGGGACCCTTGAACTAGTGTATTTTATATAAAATAAAATAAAAGGAAGGAAGATTGCGAGGCCCCTGTGTGGTGCGAGGCCCTGTGCGACGGCACAGGTCGCACAGCCCTTAGGACGGGCCTGGTCACATTTATTTATATAGCGCCTCTGACCGACTTTATCTGAGGACCTTTGTTCCTCACTCAGTAAAGTTTGGGTTCGTAACTTTCAAACCACAACAATAGAACCTTCTAGTTCCACATATTGGCCTCTGTCACATCATTTTCAGACAGAAAAGTGAAAGAGTGAGAGACCAATGAGCGAGACCCGTAAGAGAGAGACCAGAGAGAGAAAGACCAGAGAGAGACCAAACCAGAGAGACAAAAGATACACCAGAGAGAGATCAGAGAAATACCAGTGTGAGAGAGCAGAGAGAGAGAGAGACCAGAGAGGACCACTATCACTCAGCCCAAAGGGTCAAGATCTCTGATCTCTGGTCCAAAGATCCTGTCAAACCTTTGAAGGCTAAGCAGGGTAGGGTCTGGTTAGTACTGTGATGTGAGACCTTTGAGAATACCATGTGCCACAGTGGGTTTCCCCGTGTGTGTGTGTGTGTGTGTGTGGAGCCGATGGCACAGACTTGTTGGCCTTTCTTCAGTCAGAGTGCCCTAGGGCAGCTGTGTATGGAGTGAATGAATGACACGGGAAAAGTGTTTGAGTGTCCTGAAAAGTGATGCTGCATTTTATTAATGAAAAAAGTGACATTTTTGTGTTGAATAAATAATATATTAATTTGAGACATTATACTGTTGCGTATAGAATCAGAATAATTTTTATTGCCACGTAAGTGGAAATTAGAAGCACAGCTACACGGGGCTGTGGCGCCCTCTGCTGGCTGCTGTGGATCAGGGAGGAGTCACAGGAGATTTTTCCTTTTGATATTTTCAGATATTTGTTCGCCTTAAGTTGAGTTACTTTAAAATATATCGGGAAAAATCATAATAAAAACTACACTATGTTTTCTTCATAATCTACACACTATAAAGTAACAAACATGATGTTCTCGCACACACGTCCTGCTGACAGCAGAGGGCAGTGTTGGTCCATGTGCTGCAGTGAGGAGGCTCTAAAGCAGCTCTATGAAGCCAACTCTACACTCAGTCATGAAGGAGGTGGAAATAAAGAGCAGGAGCAGTTTGTGAACAAGTACTGAATAAAGCAGCTTCCACCAACTCTACTGTGCGGAGAGAAAGAAAAACACAAATGTAAAGTGCTTTGTGACTCTGGTCTGGAAACGGTGCTATACAAATAAAGGTTACTTTCTTTCTCACGTGTAGCTCAGAGCACACACACACATACACTAAAGCTGAGGTATGTAACTTTTCCTTCATACATTTGGCACCTTGCTTCTCCAAGAGAGCACAACTGATCTGTGTAAAAGGAGAGGGTGAAAGGGAAAGGAAGAGAGAGGGGGGGGGTAGAGGGGGAGCGATGGATGGAGAGAGGGTGAGAGGTAAAAAGAGAGAGAGGAAGAGAGAGGGGGAGCGATAGATGGAGAGAGAGGGTGAGAGGTAGAGAGGAAGAGAGAGGGTGAGAGGGAGAAATAGGGTGAGAGGTAGAGGAAGAGAGAGGGGGAGCGATGGATGGAGCGAGGGAGAAAGAGGGTGAGAGGTAGAGACATCTCTAGATCAGAGAGAGGACCAGCCTCATCGGCCAATCAGCTCTCAGCCCAAAGAGTCAGACAGGCTCCGCCCACATTCCGCTCAGAGGCCGCGGGTCACAGATAACGATCACAAATGCAGCCAGATTACGTAATGACTTTGTAATTATATTTATTACATAATGAACAAGAGACAGTGAAAACCAGAGGTCGACCCTCACAGACCATCACCCACACGTGATCAAGAGACCGATAGTTTTACTTTCTCCTGGTAACTATGGCAACGGTTGAGAGTAAAGATTCTAGTCTGAGTTTAGAGCTGATTTCTCCTGTGATGCAGATCAACCAACAAACTGTCACAAACTGTTAACTCTGGTCTCTCTCTCTGGTCTCTCTTTGGTCTACCTCTCTCTTGCTGGTCTCTCCTTCTCCCTGGTCTCTCTCTCTGTGAAAATAGTAAATACAAATCTGATAAGTTTAAAAGAAACTTAAAAAACCAAATCAGAATAACCTAAAACCATGTGGAGAATGCTCTGATGGTCTGTTGATGGTCTGTTTTGTTTTGGGCTCCAGCAGATGATTGGGTCGATCGTCAGTGACACATTTGAACATTGCTCTGTCAGATTTATGGATCCTAAACACAACTCATTTCATCACATACAAAAATAAATACAACTGGAATCATTTATTTTCCACATTCTGCTGTACATTCTCCTGTGCGCTCTCTGGTCCCTGTGCGCTCTCTGGTCCCTGTGCGCTCTCTGGTCCCTGTGCGCTCTCTGGTCCCTGTGCGCTCTCTGGTCCCTGTGCGCTCTCTGGTCCCTGTGCGCTCTCTGGTCCCTGTGCGCTCTCTGGTCCCTGTGCGCTCTCTGGTCCCTGTGCGCTCTCTGGTCCCTGTGCGCTCTCTGGTCCCTGTGCGCTCTCTGGTCCCTGTGCTCCTCCTCCTTAAGGTTTTATTCACAGCATCCCACCCAGAACCAGCAAAGCTCTCTCTGGTCTCGCTCTCTCTGGTCTCGCTCTCTCTGGTCTCGCTCTCTCTGGTCTCGCTCTCTCTGGTCTCGCTCTCTCTGGTCTCGCTCTCTCTGGTCTCGCTCTCTCTGGTCTCGCTCTCTCTGGTCTCGCTCTCTCTGGTCTCGCTCTCTCTGGTCTCGCTCTCTCTGGACCTTCCCAAACCAGCGCAGACAACAAGGGTTTAACAGCCACGACTTGTGACACATGTGGAACCATGTGGAACCATGGTGCCAGACACAGACAGGTGAGTGGTTTGTCCACGCCAACACTTCCACACTGAAAACGGTAACATAACACGGCCACAGCTCCCCCTACTGTTCAGGAGGGGGATCTTCTACAGGGGCCTCAGATGTGGCCACATCAGCCAAGACCAGAGAAAGACCAGAAAGGCCAGAGAGAGAGAGACCAGAGAGAGAGAGAGAGAGAGACCAGAGAGACAGGCCACAGAGAGAGACCAGAGAGAGACCAGAGAGAAGCCAGAGAGAGACCAGAGAGAGACCAGAGAGAGACCAAAAAGAGACCAGAGAGAGACCAGAGAGAGACCAGAGAGAGACCAGAGAGACAGGCCACAGAGAGACCAGAGAGAGACCAGAGAGAGACCAGAGAGAGACCAGAGACAGGCCACAGAGAGAGACCAGAGAGAGACCAGAGAGAGACAGACGCGCCATAGAAAGAGGCCTTTGTAGTCGTCCAAGACAACTGCTGTTGTGGTTTAGGGCGATACAAAAATACATTGAATTTAATTACACCCCCCCCCCCCCTCCCCTCACCGTTGGCGTGGACAGACCCTGTACCCCTCTCTCAGGACCCTCACATGGTCACTGTGCCCTGGGGTCACTGCGGTCATTGAGGTCACACAGTGGTGCGAGTCCAGAACAGTCCGGCTCCTTCTCTCTGTGCTCCGAGCCGCCGGGAGCAGGGCAGGTGCGGCTGCTGTTGTTGTTGTTGTTGTTGTTGTTGTTGTTGTGGGGGAGGAGCATGTTGTTGGGGCCATAGTGGTTCAGCTGCAGCTCGTCCAGTTTCCTCCACAGCTCGTCTCGCTCCTGCTCACGTTTCTTCTCCCTGAAAAACGCCACAGTGACCTCAGCGTGCTCCAGAGAGCGACAGTTTCACAGCAGACCTTCTACCTCTGTCGCTCCGTCTTGTAGGACGTGGTGAGCTCGTCGAACAGAGGCCCGTTCATCTCCATCAGGGTCTTCAGGACGTTATAGACCAGAGCCACGATGGTCCTGCAACCATCAGAGGGAACCATGAGGGAGGGGCATTATGAGGGAGGGGCACCATGAGGGAGGGGCATCATGAGGGAGGGGCATCATGAGAGAGGGGCACATATGCTCCAAATACACACATTTCTGATGTTTCTGTGCTCTTAGACCTCTTAGCCTTGAACACGATACAATACTACCAGACGTCTAAAGCAGGACTAAAGCAGGACTAAAGCAGGTCTAAAGCAGGTCTAAAGCAGGACTAAAGCAGGACTAAAGCAGGACTAAAGCAGGACTAAAGCAAGACTAAAGCAGGTCTAAAGCAGGACTAAAGCAGGTCTAAAGCAGGTCTAAAGCAGGACTAAAGCAGGTCTAAAGCAGGACTAAAGCAGGTCTAAAGCAGGTCTAAAGCAGGTCTAAAGCAGGTCTAAAGCAGGTCTAAAGCAGGTCTAAAGCAGGACTAAAGCAGGACTAAAGCAGGTCTAAAGCAGGTCTAAAGCAGGTCTAAAGCAGGACTAAAGCAGGTCTAAAGCAGGTCTAAAGCAGGACTAAACCTTGAAAACACCGTTAATGAGATGCAGAGAATTTCTTAATTTATCTCAAACAGCTTGGCTCATTGTTTTCGTTCTGAAGAAGAGAAAGTAGCAGCAACACTTTATAATGGGTCCTTGGTGTCCCAGGCAACTCCTGCGACATCGCCCACATGTGGTTGGGTGTGGAACTACAGCATCTCTTCATAACTACACACACAGACGCCCGAGTACACACAGGCCGTACAGCAGGAATACATGACACTACTGTTTTAAAGACAGAACTAGAGACATGGGTTTGTCAGAGTTCTGTTGTGGTGTGAAAGTTACGTTCCCCAGCTTTAAAGACCAGTTACATTAGTTAGAGATGCAGACTCACGCGTTCCAGTGCTCCTTGGAGATGCGGTACAGGCTCCCGAACATGATGGGCAGGATCTTGTCGATGTTCTCCTCGATCAGACTCAGGATGTACTCGTTGTTCCAGAAGTACAGCGCCCTCTCTGCCACCTGTGAGCGACGCACATTTATTTGTATAGAGCAGTCTCACGTGTGTCATGGTTTATAGCAGACTGTCTCCTGCAGTTCATGTGTTTGTCCAGCAGAGGTCACTGTGTGTCTGAGGCGGATGTGTGACTCTCCACATAGACTAAAGGCCATCCGCGGTACTGCAGCCTAAATCCACCTGGACAGTGGTCTCTGGCGGTCTCTCTCGCGCACACTCTGGCGGTCTCTCTCGCGCACACTCTGGCGGTCTCTCTCGCGCACACTCTGGCGGTCTCTCTCGCGCACACTCTGGCGGTCTCTCTCGCGCACACTCTGGCGGTCTCTCTCGCGCACACTCTGGCGGTCTCTCTCGCGCACACTCTGGCGGTCTCTCTCGCGCACACTCTGGCGGTCTCTCTCGCGCACACTCTGGCGGTCTCTCTCGCGCACACTCTGGCGGTCTCTCTCGCGCACACTCTGGCGGTCTCTCTCGCGCACACTCTGGCGGTCTCTCTCGCGCACACTCTGGCGGTCTCTCTCGCGCACACTCTGGCGGTCTCTCTCGCGCACACTCTGGCGGTCTCTCTCGCGCACACTCTGGCGGTCTCTCTCGCGCACACTCTGGCGGTCTCTCTCGCGCACACTCTGGCGGTCTCTCTCGCGCACACACTCTGGCGGCGGTCTCTCTCGCGCACACTCTGGCGGTCTCTCTCGCGCACACTCTGGCGGTCTCTCTCGCGCACACTCTGGCGGTCTCTCTCGCGCACACTCTGGCGGTCTCTCTCGCGCACACTCTGGCGGTCTCTCTCGCGCACACTCTGGCGGTCTCTCTCGCGCACACTCTGGCGGTCTCTCTCGCGCACACTCTGGCGGTCTCTCTCGCGCACACTCTGGCGGTCTCTCTCGCGCACACTCTGGCGGTCTCTCTCGCGCACACTCTGGCGGTCTCTCTCGCGCACACTCTGGCGGTCTCTCTCGCGCACACTCTGGCGGTCTCTCTCGCGCACACTCTGGCGGTCTCTCTCGCGCACACTCTGGCGGTCTCTCTCGCGCACACTCTGGCGGTCTCTCTCGCGCACACTCTGGCGGTCTCTCTCGCGCACACTCTGGCGGTCTCTCTCGCGCACACTCTGGCGGTCTCTCTCGCGCACACTCTGGCGGTCTCTCTCGCGCACACTCTGGCGGTCTCTCTCGCGCACACTCTGGCGGTCTCTCTCGCGCACACTCTGGCGGTCTCTCTCGCGCACACTCTGGCGGTCTCTCTCGCGCACACTCTGGCGGTCTCTCTCGCGCACACTCTGGCGGTCTCTCTCGCGCACACTCTGGCGGTCTCTCTCGCGCACACTCTGGCGGTCTCTCTCGCGCACACTCTGGCGGTCTCTCTCGCGCACACTCTGGCGGTCTCTCTCGCGCACACTCTGGCGGTCTCTCTCGCGCACACTCTGGCGGTCTCTCTCGCGCACACTCTGGCGGTCTCTCTCGCGCACACTCTGGCGGTCTCTCTCGCGCACACTCTGGCGGTCTCTCTCGCGCACACTCTGGCGGTCTCTCTCGCGCACACTCTGGCGGTCTCTCTCGCGCACACTCTGGCGGTCTCTCTCGCGCACACTCTGGCGGTCTCTCTCGCGCACACTCTGGCGGTCTCTCTCGCGCACACTCTGGCGGTCTCTCTCGCGCACACTCTGGCGGTCTCTCTCGCGCACACTCTGGCGGTCTCTCTCGCGCACACTCTGGCGGTCTCTCTCGCGCACACTCTGGCGGTCTCTCTCGCGCACACTCTGGCGGTCTCTCTCGCGCACACTCTGGCGGTCTCTCTCGCGCACACTCTGGCGGTCTCTCTCGCGCACACTCTGGCGGTCTCTCTCGCGCACACTCTGGCGGTCTCTCTCTGCGCACACTCTGGCGGTCTCTCTCGCGCACACTCTGGCGGTCTCTCTCGCGCACACTCTGGCGGTCTCTCTCGCGCACACTCTGGCGGTCTCTCTCGCGCACACTCTGGCGGTCTCTCTCGCGCACACTCTGGCGGTCTCTCTCGCGCACACTCTGGCGGTCTCTCTCGCGCACACTCTGGCGGTCTCTCTCGCGCACACTCTGGCGGTCTCTCTCGCGCACACTCTGGCGGTCTCTCTCGCGCACACTCTGGCGGTCTCTCTCGCGCACACTCTGGCGGTCTCTCTCGCGCACACTCTGGCGGTCTCTCTCGCGCACACTCTGGCGGTCTCTCTCGCGCACACTCTGGCGGTCTCTCTCGCGCACACTCTGGCGGTCTCTCTCGCGCACACTCTGGCGGTCTCTCTCGCGCACACTCTGGCGGTCTCTCTCGCGCACACTCTGGCGGTCTCTCTCGCGCACACTCTGGCGGTCTCTCTCGCGCACACTCTGGCGGTCTCTCTCGCGCACACTCTGGCGGTCTCTCTCGCGCACACTCTGGCGGTCTCTCTCGCGCACACTCTGGCGGTCTCTCTCGCGCACACTCTGGCGGTCTCTCTCGCGCACACTCTGGCGGTCTCTCTCGCGCACACTCTGGCGGTCTCTCTCGCGCACACTCTGGCGGTCTCTCTCGCGCACACTCTGGCGGTCTCTCTCGCGCACACTCTGGCGGTCTCTCTCGCGCACACTCTGGCGGTCTCTCTCGCGCACACTCTGGCGGTCTCTCTCGCGCACACTCTGGCGGTCTCTCTCGCGCACACTCTGGCGGTCTCTCTCGCGCACACTCTGGCGGTCTCTCTCGCGCACACTCTGGCGGTCTCTCTCGCGCACACTCTGGCGGTCTCTCTCGCGCACACTCTGGCGGTCTCTCTCGCGCACACTCTGGCGGTCTCTCTCTCGCGCACACTCTGGCGGTCTCTCTCGCGCACACTCTGGCGGTCTCTCTCGCGCACACTCTGGCGGTCTCTCTCGCGCACACTCTGGCGGTCTCTCTCGCGCACACTCTGGCGGTCTCTCTCGCGCACACTCTGGCGGTCTCTCTCGCGCACACTCTGGCGGTCTCTCTCGCGCACACTCTGGCGGTCTCTCTCGCGCACACTCTGGCGGTCTCTCTCGCACACTCTGGCGGTCTCTCTCGCACACTCTGGCGGTCTCTCTCGCACACTCTGGCGGTCTCTCTCGCACACTCTGGCGGTCTCTCTCGCACACTCTGGCGGTCTCTCTCGCACACTCTGGCGGTCTCTCTCGCACACTCTGGCGGTCTCTCTCGCACACTCTGGCGGTCTCTCTCGCACACTCTGGCGGTCTCTCTCGCACACTCTGGCGGTCTCTCTCGCACACTCTGGCGGTCTCTCTCGCACACTCTGGCGGTCTCTCTCACTCTGCGGTCTCTCTCTCTGGCGGTCTCTCTCGCACACTCTGGCGGTCTCTCTCGCACACTCTGGCGGTCTCTCTCGCACACTCTGGCGGTCTCTCTCGCACACTCTGGCGGTCTCTCTCGCACACTCTGGCGGTCTCTCTCGCACACTCTGGCGGTCTCTCTCGCACACTCTGGCGGTCTCTCTCGCACACTCTGGCGGTCTCTCTCGCACACTCTGGCGGTCTCTCTCGCACACTCTGGCGGTCTCTCTCGCACACTCTGGCGGTCTCTCTCGCACACTCTGGCGGTCTCTCTCGCACACTCTGGCGGTCTCTCTCGCACACTCTGGCGGTCTCTCTCGCACACTCTGGCGGTCTCTCTCGCACACTCTGGCGGTCTCTCTCGCACACTCTGGCGGTCTCTCTCGCACACTCTGGCGGTCTCTCTCGCACACTCTGGCGGTCTCTCTCGCACACTCTGGCGGTCTCTCTCGCACACTCTGGCGGTCTCTCTCGCACACTCTGGCGGTCTCTCTCGCACACTCTGGCGGTCTCTCTCGCACACTCTGGCGGTCTCTCTCGCACACTCTGGCGGTCTCTCGCGCACACTCTGGCGGTCTCTCGCGCACACTCTGGCGGTCTCTCGCGCACACTCTGGCGGTCTCTCGCGCACACTCTGGCGGTCTCTCGCGCACACTCTGGTGGTCTCTCTCGCACACTCTGGTGGTCTCTCGCGCACACACTCTGGTGGTCTCCCGCGCACTCTGGTCTCTCACCTGGAAATGTGGGTTGGAGACACATCTGGAGATCTGTTTAAAGAGCAGCTCCTGGATCTTCTTGAACTGTGTCGGCTCGATGACGTCCAGGATCTCCTCTATCTCCCCCAAAAACATGACCTACAGGGACCAGGGACACAGGGACGAGAGTGAGACACAGACACAGACACAGAGACAGACACAGAGACAGACACAGAGACAGACACAGAGACAGACACAGAGACAGACACAAACACAGAGACAGACACAGAGACAGACACAGACACAGAGACAGACACAGACACAGAGACAGACACAGAGACAGACACAGACACAAACACAGACACAGACACAGACACAGAGACAGAGACAGAGACAGACACAGAGACAGACACAAACACAGAGACAGACACAAACACAGAGACAGACACAGAGACAGACACAGAAACAGACACAAACACAGACACAGACACAGAGACAGACACAGAGACAGACACAGAGACAGACACAGAGACAGAGACAGAGACAGACACAGAGACAGACACAAACACAGAGACAGACACAGACACAAACACAGAGACAGACACAGAGACAGACACAGAGACAGACACAGACACAGAGACAGACACAGAGACAGACACAAACACAGACACAGACACAAACACAGACACAGACACAGACACAGAGACAGAGACAGACACAGAGACAGACACAAACACAGAGACAGACACAGAGACAGACACAAACACAGACACAGACACAGAGACAGACACAGAGACAGACACAGAGACAGACACAAACACAGAGACAGACACAGAGACAGACACAGAGACAGACACAAACACAGAGACAGACACAGAGACAGACACAGAGACAGACACAGACACAGAGACAGACACAGAGACAGACACAAACACAGACACAGACACAGACACAGAGACAGACACAGAGACAGACACAAACACAGAGACAGACACAGAGACAGACACAAACACAGAGACAGAGACAGACAGACCCTCTCCTCTTACCTCCTTCTGGCTGCACGTCTTGGGCCAGAATTTCAACAGACCACGGATGACCTGCAGAATGTGAGAACTGTTTTATACCACTGTTTAGAAGCAGGTCTAAAGCAGGACTAAAGCAGGTCTATATCAGGACTAAAGCAGGACTAAAGCAGGTCTATATCAGGACTAAAGCAGGACTAAAGCAGGACTAAAGCAGGTCTATATCAGGACTAAAGCAGGTCTATATCAGGACTAAAGCAGGACTACATTAGGACTAAACCAGGTCTAAATCAGGTCTAAAGCAGGACTAAAGCAGGACTAAAGCAAGACTACATTAGGACTAAACCAGGTCTAAAGCAGGACTAAAGCAGGATTAAACCAGGTCTAAAGCAGGACTAAAGCAGGACTAAACCAGGTCTAAAGCAGGACTAAATCAGGACTAAACCAGGTCTAAAGCAGGACTAAAGCAGGACTAAAGCAGATCTATAGCAGGACTAAACCAGGTCTAAAGCAGGTCTATATCAGGACTAAACCATGCAGAAATGGTGGGAGGTAGTAGTGGATTCATTCAGCTGTTTTTAGAATGATGTGGGCAGAAATGGAAGAGAGAAAAACAAATGTAAAATACCGGTTCTGTGAGCGTGGGATCCTTCTCCAGGAACTGGACCACGCAGTACGCCAGCTGTGAGCACAGGTACAGTTTATTACAACTGAGGACGACTCTAAAGCACAGGTACGTAACTTTAGTCTCAAAAGTAACATGGAGTTTGAACTGAAAACATGTCTCTTCTGTGTCAGAAACATCCCTGTGAGTCACTTTTTGACTCTTTGGGCTGAGTTTTGGGCTGAGTTTGGCTGAGTCCTCTCTTTGTCACTTTTCTGTCTGAAAAAAATTATCTAAAATGTTAAGAGAGATATAGAAAACGAGTCACAGAATCAACTGTTTCAGAGCAGGGGAGACCAGACCTGGACCAAGACCAGTCCATGATCAAGACCAGGACCAATCAAAGGCAAATTTATTTTAAGAGCAGCTTTCATACAGAAGCAGCCCAGAGAGTGCTCCACAGGCAAGAACAAAACATTACAGGAATAAATACTAGACCAAAACCAGGACCTGTCCCAGACCACGACTAGATCCAGACAAGACCAAAACCAAGACCCAGTCAAGACCAAGACCCAGTCAAGACCAAGACCCAGTCAAGACCAAGACCAGGCCAGAATAGGTCAGGACAACTAGTGCTAGAAGTAACAGATCCAGGAACTAGAGACATAGGTTAAATACAGAGTGTGGTCTAAAAGTTAAGTCCCTGAGCTTTAAAGCCTCTATAACAGCAGTAGGAAGGATGTGTTCTCTCTCTCTGTGAGGTGTTCTCTCTCTCTGTGAGGTGTTCTCTCTCTCTGTGAGGTGTTCTCTCTCTCTGTGAGGTGTTCTCTCTCTCTGTGAGGTGTTCTCACCTGAGCGTGGAACAGGACGAGGGCTTTGGCCGTGTGCAGCGGGATCAGAACCTTCATCAGGAACTGTTTATGTTCAGCTTTCAACGGGAGAGCGAAGCCATTGATGATACTGAGAGTGAGAGAGGAGAGAGAGATAGAGCGAGAGAGAGAGAGAGAGGAGACAGGGGGCAAGGAAAAGACAAAAGAGAAGAGATTTTAGAGCAGGCAGAGCATCACCCACAGCCTGTTTACAGATGGACAATGCTAACCCGCTAGCTCGATGAAGCCCAATAGGGAAGTGCTCATGGTGAAGTTTGGCTCCTCTCTCTGGCTCCTATTGACTTCTATGTAAAAGTAAACTCCTCTATCTCAGTAACGTTTGTGTGACATCAACATTTTGGGCTTTAGTCTGTGGTTTCTCTCTCTGTGATACTGTCTCTGTAGATCCAGATATGAGTCATAAGGATCAACCAATCAGAGGCCTTCATTGCCTTAGCAACATGTCTGCCCCCGTTACAGCACAAAGCTAATGCTGTCAGAACAAATGCTCATATAAGGAAAGTGGCTCCAGCTTATTTTCAAATCATCTTCTTCCGCATTACAGCTAACACTGTGGTGATGTCACACTGTGGTGATGTCACACCCTGTCCACTAGAATGCAGTCTACGTAAAGGTCTCCACGGTGTGTGACATCACTCACCTCCCCAGGATCTCCAGGAGCTCAGCCACACCATTGAAGCGCTCCGACTCGTAAATGAACCTGCAGAAAAACACACATACAGTGTTAGAGAGAGACCAGAAAGAGACCAGAGAGAGACCAGAGAGAGACCAGAGAGACCAGAGAGAGACCAGAGAGAGACCAGAGAGAGACCAGAGAGAGACCAGAGAGAGAGAGACCAGAGAGTGAGCTTAAGTCAGGGGTTAAAGCAAAAAAAAAAAATTTGACTGAACATTTTTGCATGGAAATTTATCACATGTAAATCACAGTAATATGCAAGACCAAGTTATATTTTTAATTACAATATATTATTGTATAATAGATTGTATATTGCAGCCATTCCCAAACTCAGTAACACCGAGGCCCCCTTAAAAATCTGACGGGTTTGCGTGGCCCCCCAAAATAATAACCAAGAAGACAACATTAAGAATAGGCTCTTCTGGTTATTTTATTTTGGGGAAATAGCCTCTGCTACAAACATTGTAATACAAAAATGATTACAGTGGATTATTCAAGTCAAATAATTAATACAAATATTTTAATATTACAAACAAAACATTATAAATTGAACATTAAATAATTATATTATTTTTTTTATGACCTCCCGCGGCCCCCCTGCAGTACCCACTTTGGGAGACACTGGTATATTGAATACAGCTCAAATGAATTCTTCAAAGATATACAGTGTATTTTGATGTGAAATATAAGTGGATCAAGCAACGAGTAAACTTTTTGACAGAATATTAGTGAGAGTAGCTTTACTTGAGGCGATATGGAGCGTCAACACTTTGGCTCTGTCCTCGTCAAAATATTGCAAAAGGACGATAAAATTCTGTCCACATTTGTTTGTGGACACGTCAATATTTAAGAAAAAGGTTTCCCTATCAAGTTTGAGTGCACAGTGCACTTCGATCAACTGCAAATGATTTAAATAAATCGACCAGCGGTAGTGATATTCTAAACGTTATTTTCTGCGATAAAGCCATAGCAAGCCTAGTGTTAGTTGTTGCTGATGCACCAGGTAAAGATGAAGTGTGGGAAAGTGCACAAACAGCTGCCTTGTGCGCAGTTTTGAGCTGGTGGCGAATCAAAACTTTTCTCCCATACATGCAATTTTTTATGGCAAAGTACGCACAAGCACCGGCCACTTTCATCTTTTCGCACCATGACTCGTTGATTGGCTCTTTTACATCACGCTGAGTTTTGCAAGAAGATCGCAAACAAGACAATATCAAAAGCTCACCAAGAAATGTTTGTCCCCATTCCCAGTTGCAGCAAAGTCCGTTTTGTACATTCCGTTAAGTAAACTAGCATTGCGTTTGGTAAACGTTAATTACCTTTCGTCTATTACGCGCCCAGCTTACCAGTCCGCGGATCTGCTGCTGTTATTGCTCCGTTCGAGATTCAATTTTCCTCCTCTTCTCCTTTTCAAAAGCTCCGTGCAGTTTCCAGAAACTTTCACCTCCGTGTTACCTTCATGCTAACTTCATCGCGTCTTCATTTGCGCGTGAGCTCAGCTACGTCCCATTGCCTTGATTCATTTGCGGAGCGCTCATGTGGCCACGGCACGTTCAAGGCCCCACTCGTTATTATATTACTTATTATTTCTATATACATATAAATACAATTATATTCAAATCGATATATATATATATATAAACAGATTCACACGTATATGTATTACTATATTTTATTTTTATAATCAATCATTTCATTGTGTGTATTATTATCATTATATATATATATTTTTTTTTTCCAGACCAATTTCATTTGACGGAAATCCGTTACCTAAACGGAACTCTTTAATCCCTGGCTTAAGTGGACTCACCGGAGGAAGATGTTGTTGATCTGTTTGCGGATGAAAGCGCGGAGACCCAGGAATTTCCCGTAGATCCGGTGCAGGATGGTCTTCAGGACGTCCCTCTCTCTCGGATCTTCACTGTCGAATGACTCCAACAACTGAAGAGAACAGTTCAACATGTGACATCAGCACGATCCGGAGAGTGATAGTTTCAGTGTGATGGAGCTCAGCAGTAAAACACCACATTCACCCACACTGTCAAAGGGCTCAGTTGGTAGAGCATTGGCCTTCGAGCCTGAAGGTCGTGGGTTCGAGCCCACCATGAGACCTACTTCACGACTCCCACTGATGACTGCTGTCATTGTGTCCTTGGGCAAGACACTTAACCCAACTTTGCCTGAAGCCCCCACTGAAAGATCTCAGCTCCTGTGGACTCAGCACCTGCAGGAGGATCAGTGAGGGGCTGGTGCTCTGTGGACACCCCGCCGATCAAGAGGAAGAAAATGGATGGACGTCAAAAAGTTCTCTCTCCTCTTTCTCCTTTCTCAGGGAGAGAGGGGCCAGGACAGACAGAGAGACCAGAAAGAGAGCGACCAGAGGGAAAGACCAGAAAGATTGAGACCAGAAAGAGAGCGAGAGAGAAAATTACATTATAATGCACTAAGACAAGTTTCTCATCCTCATGGAGCAACAAGAAATAGTGTGTGTCTCTCTGTGAGTGTCGCTTTGTGTGTCTCTCTGTGTGTGTCGCTTTGTGTGTCTCTCTGGGACAGGAACACACATGTCAGTTCTCGCCTCAGGATCAGTCACATGTTCAGGTCCATGTCGCAACAACAGACGCTCCAAAGGTCGTCCACGTTATTGTCTAAAAATCAGGAGTTCAACAGTCGACATCAGAGGTGATTTATTCAACAGTTGGGAACAGAACCACAACTCAACAAGTACCATCACATTAGTCCAGACGGTTGCTATGGCGAGGTGATGTGTTGTGTGCGTTTGCTTCTGCCTCCTTCTTGGAAAACAGTCTAACAAACCTTTATAATTGTGTGCAGACAGTTAGAAGCACTAAAGTTTAGACTAGCAGGGGGTGTGGCCTTTTTGTGGATTTGAATTGGTCCAATCAGAAAGCAGCGTGAGCGTCACATGGGTCTAAACTACACATTCCAATAACAACAACAAGATCAAACACATTCTGAGGACACAAGAGATCCAAACCAGAAATACTACAAGAGAGCAGAGAGAGAGCAGAGAGAGAGCAGAGAAAGAGAGCAGAGAGAGAGAGCAGAGAGAGAGAGCAGAGAGGGGGCAGAGAAAGAGAGCAGAGAGAGAGCAGAGAGAGAGAGCAGAGTGAGAGCAGAGAGAAGAGAGACCAGGGAAAGAGCAGAGAGAGAGCAGAGAGAGACCAGAGAGAGAGACCAGAGAGAGAGCAGAGACCAGGGAGAGACCAGGGAGAGAGCAGAGAGAGAGCAGAGAGAGAGCAGAGAGAGAGCAGAGAGAGAGCAGAGAGAGACCAGAGAGAGACCAGAGAGAGAGACCAGAGAGAGAGCAGAGACCAGGGAGAGACCAGGGAGAGAGCAGAGAGAGAGCAGAGAGAGAGCAGAGAGAGAGCAGAGAGAGACCAGAGAGAGACCAGAGAGAGACCAGAGAGAGACCAGAGAGAGACCAGAGAGAGACCAGAGAGAGACCAGAGAGAGAGAGCAGAGAGAGAGACCAGAGAGAGAGAGAGCAGAGAGAGAGAGCAGAGAGAGAGAGCAGAGAGAGAGAGCAGAGAGAGAGAGACAGAGAGAGAGAGACAGAGAGAGAGAGACAGAGAGAGAGAGCAGAGAGAGACCAGAGAGAGAGAGCAGAGAGAGACCAGGGAGTGAGCAGAGAGAGAGAGCAGAGAGACCAGGGAGAGAGCAGAGAGAGAGAGAGAGAGCAGAGAGAGACCAGAGAGAGAGAGCAGAGAGAGACCAGAGAGAGCAGAGAGAGAGAGAGAGAGAGAGAGAGCAGAGAGAGACCAGAGAGAGAGAGAGAGAGCAGAGAGAGAGAGCAGAGAGCAGAGAGAGAGACCAGCTTTAAGCTCAAGCATCCATTTACAAAGATATTTCTATCGTCACATGTTTTCTACCTTTCAGTCAAAAACCTGATCACAAAACATTTGACATAAACAGAGTGTATTTATTTGTGTGGCACAGACCTGCAGCACAAATCTCTGGTCGATGTAGCGTTTAGCGATGCTCGGCTGGAAGTCAGGGTTCTCCAGGAAACGCAGGAGGAACTCGTACACCAGCTGAGGAGAGACAGGTGTTAGAGAGAGTGTGTGTGTCTCCCTCTCTCTCTCCATCTCCCACCCTCTCCCTTTCCCTCTCCTCCCACCTGTGTGTGTCTCCATCTCCCCTCTCTCTCTCTCTCTGCGTCCCTGTGTCCCTCCCTCCTCTCCCTCTCCCCTTACCCCTCTCTTTCTCTCTCTCCCCTTACCCCTCTCTCCATCATCTCCCTCTCCCCTACCCCTCTACCTCTCTCCCTCTTCCCCCTCTCCCCCTCCTCTCCCTCTCCCCTTATCTCTCTCTTTCTCTCCATCATCTCCCTCTCTCCCTCTTCCCCTTCTCCCCCTCCTCTCCCTCTCCCCTTACCCCTCTCTTTCTCTCCATCATCTCCCTCTCCCTCTCTCTCCCTCTTCCCCCTCTCCCTCCATCTTCCCCCTCTCCCTTCTTCCCCCTCTCCCCCTCTCCATCATCTCCCTCTCCCTCCCTCTTCCCCCTCTCCCTCCATCTTCCCCCTCTCCCTTCTTCCCCCTCTCCCCCTCTCCCTCCTCTCCCCCTCTCTCACCTGCATGTGGGGCCAGGATGCCTCCAGAGTGGGCTCGTCTTCCTCTGGGTCAAAGTCTGGGTTCTCACTCGGAGGAAGCGTCCGGAACAAGTTTGTGCAGATCTGAAACATATGAAGAAAATGGTTACGCTTAGTTAGAGATGGTTTGAATGTTTTGAATGTTTCAGACGTCCACAGACTCAGGAGGAGAGAGAGAGAGGTGGGACCACAGACTCAGGGGGAGAGAGAGAGAGAGGTGGGACCACAGACTCAGGGGGGAGAGAGAGAGGTGGGACCACAGACTCAGGGGGAGAGAGAGAGAGAGGTGGGACCACAGACTCAGGGGGGGAGAGAGAGAGGTGGGACCACAGACTCAGGGGGAGGGAGAGAGAGAGGTGGGACCACAGACTCAGGGGGGGAGAGAGAGAGAGGTGGGACCACAGACTCAGGGGGGGAGAGAGAGAGAGGTGGGACCACAGACTCAGGGGGGGAGAGAGAGAGGTGGGACCACAGACTCAGGGGGGGAGAGAGAGAGGTGGGACCACAGACTCAGGGGGAGGGAGAGAGAGAGGTGGGACCACAGACTCAGGGGGGGAGAGAGAGAGGTGGGACCACAGACTCAGGGGGGGAGAGAGAGAGAGGTGGGACCACAGACTCAGGGGGGGAGAGAGAGAGGTGGGACCACAGACTCAGGGGGGGAGAGAGAGAGAGGTGGGACCACAGACTCAGGGGGGGAGAGAGAGAGGTGGGACCACAGACTCAGGGGGGGAGAGAGAGAGGTGGGACCACAGACTCAGGGGGGGAGAGAGAGAGGTGGGACCACAGACTCAGGGGGGGAGAGAGAGAGAGGTGGGACCACAGACTCAGGGGGGGAGAGAGAGAGGTGGGACCACAGACTCAGGGGGGGGGAGAGAGAGAGAGAGGTGGGACCACAGACTCAGGGGGGGGGAGAGAGAGGTGGGACCACAGACTCAGGGGGGGAGAGAGAGAGGTGGGACCACAGACTCAGGGGGGGGGGGGAGAGAGAGGTGGGACCACAGACTCAGGGGGGGGGGGGGGGGGGAGAGAGAGAGGTGGGACCACAGACTCAGGGGGGGGGGGGGAGGGGGAGAGAGGTGGGACCACAGACTCAGGGGGGGGGAGAGGAGAGTGGGACCACAGACTCAGGGGGGGAGGTGGGACCACAGACTCAGGGGGGAGGGGAGACTCAGGGGAGAGAGGTGGGACCACAGACTCAGGGGGGGAGGTGGGAGAGGGGAGAGAGGTGGGACCACAGACTCAGGGGGGGGGGGGGGGACTGGGGGAGAGAGGTGGGACCACAGACTCAGGGGGGGGAGAGAGAGAGGTGGGACCACAGACTCAGGGGGGGAGAGAGAGAGGTGGGACCACAGACTCAGGGGGGGGAGGGGGGGGGGAGAGAGGTGGGACCACAGACTCAGGGGGAGAGAGGTGGGACCACAGACTCAGGGGGAGAGAGGTGGGACCACAGACTCAGGGGGAGAGAGGTGGGACCACAGACTCAGGGGGAGAGAGGTGGGACCACAGACTCAGGGGGAGAGAGGTGGGACCACAGACTCAGGGGGAGAGAGGTGGGACCACAGACTCAGGGGGGGGAGAGAGAGGGGAGAGAGGTGGGACCACAGACTCAGGGGGGAGAGAGAGGGTGGGACCACAGACTCAGGGGGGGAGAGGTGGGAAGTGGGACCCACAGACTCAGGGGGAGAGAGGTGGGACCACAGACTCAGGGGGAGAGAGGTGGGGGACCACAGACTCAGGGGGAGAGAGGTGGGACCACAGACTCAGGGGGAGAGAGGTGGGGACCACAGACTCAGGGGGAGAGAGGTGGGACCACAGACTCAGGGGGAGAGAGGTGGGACCACAGACTCAGGGGGAGAGAGGTGGGACCACAGACTCAGGGGGAGAGAGGTGGGACCACAGACTCAGGGGGAGAGAGGTGGGACCACAGACTCAGGGGGGGAGGTGGACCACAGAGGGGGAGGGTGGGACCACAGACTCAGGGGGAGAGAGGTGGGACCACAGACTCAGGGGGAGAGAGGTGGGACCACAGACTCAGGGGGGAGAGAGAGAGGTGGGACCACAGACTCAGGGGGGGAGAGAGAGGTGGGACCACAGACTCAGGGGGAGAGAGGTGGGACCACAGACTCAGGGGGAGAGAGGTGGGACCACAGACTCAGGGGGAGAGAGGTGGGGACCACAGACTCAGGGGGAGAGAGGTGGGACCACAGACTCAGGGGGAGAGAGGTGGGACCACAGACTCAGGGGGAGAGAGGTGGGACCACAGACTCAGGGGGAGAGAGGTGGGACCACAGACTCAGGGGGAGAGAGGTGGGACCACAGACTCAGGGGGAGAGAGGTGGGACCACAGACTCAGGGGGAGAGAGGTGGGACCACAGACTCAGGGGGAGGGGGGGAGACAGGGGGAGAGAGTGGGACCACAGACTCAGGGGGAGAGAGGTGGGACCACAGACTCAGGGGGGAGAGAGGTGGGACCACAGACTCAGGGGGAGAGAGGAGGTGGGACCACAGACTCAGGGGGGGAGAGAGGAGGTGGGACCACAGACTCAGGGGGAGAGAGGTGGGACCACAGACTCAGGGGGGGGAGGTGGGACCACAGACTCAGGGGGAGAGAGGTGGGACCACAGACTCAGGGGGAGAGAGGTGGGACCACAGACTCAGGGGGAGAGAGAGGTGGGACCACAGACTCAGGGGGAGAGAGGGTGGGACCACAGACTCAGGGGGGAGAGTGGAGAGGGGGAGAGAGGTGGGACCACAGACTCAGGGGGAGAGAGGTGGGACCACAGACTCAGGGGGACATTTATTGCACAGTTTTGAATTACAATAACAAACGTCTGAAGAATCGAGATCTGCTTTTACTGACGTGAGACTCATCACGACCAGTGTGGACGGGTCCCGGCTCAAAAGTGGCCAAAATGACGTGCACTGACATGCTGCAATACCACCCCGGGCCGATGGGGGTGCACCCAGAATAAGAATTAGCCAATGCTAACATATAGCATCTTCTGACCTCTCGAAAACGTCTTTACAGGATGGTCCAAAGTTGGCTCTTGGCCCAAAGCTCCGGTCCACATGTGTGCCAATGTTGAGGGGGTGTTTTGGACCAGTCTAGTTTAGTCGCTGTGAATTTTTGAAGTCACTCGTTCAAATGAATGGGGCTCGTGCAGCTGACACCTGCGCAGATGCGTTTCTTCACATTTTCCAGCGCCTGCGGCCATTTTGAATCACTCCATGAGAGCCCAATTTTTGGCCCATTAGTTAGAACGGCAGAGATAGGCGTGAGTATGTCAGTAAATATATACAGTCTATGATCACGACCACAGCTAATGATCCACCTGCAGCTGGGACATGCTGATGACAGAGGAGCAGGGGGAGGAGAGGCGGGGAGAGGGGAAAGGAGAGAGTGGAGTCCTGGGTCTCACCATGGTGATGATCTGAGGATACGCCGCCTCCACCAGGACGCCACGGTTTGTCGACACATAGTCCACGAGCTCGTTCAGCGCCGCTCTCTTGATCTCTTTACTTTTCAGATCGATGACGGAGTCGAAGAAGTCGAACAGAACACAGCACTGCTGCAACTTCTGCTGGAACAGCTCCGTCTGCTCTGAGCTGGGCGCATCTGCAAGGACCAGGAAGTTAAGAGACCAGAGAGAGACCAGAGAGAGACCAGAGAGAGACCAGAGAGAGACCAGAGAGAGAGACCAGAGAGAGATTAGAGAGAGATCAGAGAGAGACCAGAGAGAGACCAGAGAGGGACCAGAGAGAGACCACAGAGGGACCAGAGAGGGACCAGAGAGAGACCAGAGAGAGACCAGAGAGAGACCAGAGAGAGACCAAAGAGAGACCAGAGAGAGACCAGAGAGAGACCAGAGAGGGACCAGAGAGAGACCACAGAGGGACCAGAGAGGGACCAGAGAGAGACCAGAGAGAGACCAGAGAGAGACCAGAGAGGGACCAGAGAGAGACCACAGAGGGACCAGAGAGAGACCAGAGAGAGACCAGAGAGAGACCAGAGAGAGACCAAAGAGAGACCAGAGAGAGACCAGAGAGAGACCAGAGAGAGACCAGAGAGAGACCAGAGAGAGACCAGAGAGAGATCAGAGAGAAACCAGAGAGAGACCAGAGAGGGACCAGAGAGGGACCAGAGAGGGACCACAGAGGGACCAGAGAGAGACCACAGAGGGACCACAGAGGGACCAGAGAGGGACCAGAGAGAGACCAGAGAGAGACCAGAGAGAGACCAGAGAGAGACCAAAAAGAGGCCAGAGAGAGAGAGAAACCAGAGGGACCAGAGAGGGACCAGAGAGAGACCAGAGAGAGACCAGAGAGAGACCAGAGAGAGACCAGAAACAGAGAGAGAGAGAGAGAGAGAGAGAGAGAGATATAGAAAGAGAGAAAGAGAGAGAGAGAGAGAGAGAGATAGAAAGAGAGAAAGAGAGAGAGAGAGAGAGAGAGAGAGAGAGAGAGAGGCAGAAAGAGGGGAGAAGAGACCAGAGTGAGTATGAGAGATGTCATGTTACAGCCACAAAGATTTAGAAGACCACAACAGTGTAACAGAACACTGGTTGTGTCTGTGTATGTGTAACTCGTGTGTGTTTGTCTGTGTGTGGGTGCGTCTGTGTGCGTCTGTGTGTGTGTGCGTATCGTTGTGAATATCTCCAAAATGCAGTGTCCTTGAAGCAGAGCGACAGATTAAACTGGACTTAGAGCTGTGTCACCTGTGTCAGCTTTTCACAGCCTCATCTGCTAATGCTAACACTGTATACAGAGGGACAGGTCTCTCTCGCTGGTCTCTGGTCTCCCCCTCTCTGGTCTCCCCCTCTCTGGTCTCCCCCTCTCTGGTCTCCCCCTCTCTGGTCTCCCCCTCTCTGGTCTCCCCCTCTCTGGTCTCCCTCTCTGGTCTCCCTCTCTGGTCTCGCCCTCTGGTCTCCCTCTCTGGTCTCCCTCTCTGGTCTCTCTCTCTGGTCTCTCTCTCTGGTCTCTCTCTCTGGTCTCTCTCTCTGGTCTCTCTCTCTGGTCTCTCTCTCTGGTCTCTCTCTCTGGTCTCTCTCTCTGGTCTCTCTCTCTGGTCTCTCTCTCTGGTCTCTCTCTCTGGTCTCTCTCTGGTCTCTTCCACAGTCGTGATGTGAAGTATTGACGTGTGATTGTGTAATGTACAGTTCGCTGCTGAATCAATGGGACACAGTGGAAACGCTGATGTAACCGACAGACGTCCAAAAACATAATAATGAGACTTTATGCTTTGTTTCAGGATCGAGAACGTGAAATATCTGTAGAAAATATATGGAAAACAGCTATAATCTGTCCTGGGTCTACAGCCTCAGTCCTGGGTCTACAGCCTCAGTCCTGGATCTACAGCCTCAGTCCTGGGTCTACAGCCTCAGTCCTGGGTCTACAGCCTCAGTCCTGGGTCTACAGCCTCAGTCCTGGGTCTACAGCCTCAGTCCTGGGTCTACAGCCTCAGTCCTGGGTCTACAGCCTCAGTCCTGGGTCTACAGCCTCAGTCCTGGGTCTACAGCCTCAGTCCTGGGTCTACAGCCTCAGTCCTGGGTCTACAGCCTCAGTCCTGGGTCTACAGCCTCAGTCCTGGGTCTACAGCCTCAGTCCTGGGTCTATAGCCTCAGTCCTGGGTCTACAGCCTCAGTCCTGGGTCTACAGCCTCAGTCCTGGGTCTACAGCCTCAGTCCTGGGTCTAAAGCCTCAGTCCTGGGTCTACAGCCTCAGTCCTGGGTCTACAGCCTCAGTCCTGGATCAACAGTCTCAGTCCTGGGTCTACAGCCTCAGTCCTGGATCTACAGCCTCAGTCCTGGGTCTACAGCCTCAGTCCTGGGTCTACAGCCTCAGTCCTGGGTCTACAGCCTCAGTCCTGGGTCTACAGCCTCAGTCCTGGGTCTACAGCCTCAGTCCTGGATCTACAGTCTCAGTCCTGGGTCTACAGCCTCAGTCCTGGGTCTACAGCCTCTGTCCTGGATCAACAGTCTCAGTCCTGGGTCTACAGCCTCAGTCCTGGGTCTACAGCCTCAGTCCTGGGTCTACAGCCTCAGTCCTGGGTCTACAGCCTCAGTCCTGGGTCTACAGCCTCAGTCCTGGGTCTACAGCCTCAGTCCTGGATCTACAGTCTCAGTCCTGGGTCTACAGCCTCAGTCCTGGGTCTACAGCCTCAGTCCTGGATCTACAGAACTGCCCTGAACCACAGCAGGAGTCGTCTCGAAGGACTTTAGAAACAACAGATCAACGGTTACTAATGCATTTCTTGTGTTAAAAATAACAACATAGGAGCTACTATGGTCCTACTCTCTCTCTGCTCTCTCCCTCTCTCTGGTCTCTCTCTCTCTCTCTCTCTCTGTGGTCTCTCTCTCTCTGTGGTCTCTCTCTCTCTGTGGTCTCTCTCTCTGTGGTCTCTCTCTCTACAAGGTCAGATACATGTCGGCCTCAGTTTAGACAGTAAACAGACAGATGCAGGTGAACAGGTCGAGCTGCACATTCCTCTGTAAGAGGTTCAGCTGCAGCTGCAGGCACAAGGAGCTGCACCATCAAGACCCAACCTCCCTGCTGCAGGCACAAGGAGCTGCACCATCAAGACCCAACCTCCCTGCTGCAGGCACAGGGAGCTGCACCATCAAGACCCAACCTCCCTGCTGCAGGCACAGGAAGCTGCACCATCAAGATCCAACCTCCCTGCTGCAGGCACAAGGAGCTGCACCATCAAGATCCAACCTCCCTGCTGCAGGCACAGGAAGCTGCACCATCAAGATCCAACCTCCCTGCTGCAGGCACAAGGAGCTGCACCATCAAGACCCAACCTCCCTGCTGCAGGCACAGGGAGCTGCACCATCAAGACCCAACCTCCCTGCTGCAGGCACAGGAAGCTGCACCATCAAGACCCAACCTCCCTGCTGCAGGCACAGGAAGCTGCACCATCAAGACCCAACCTCCCTGCTGCAGGCACAGGAAGCTGCACCATCAAGACCCAACCTCCCTGCTGCAGGCACAGGAAGCTGCACCATCAAGACCCAACCTCCCTGCTGCAGGCACAGGGAGCTGCACCATCAGCCGTCAGACCGAGACCCAAACATTGACCACAACAATATGACAGTCTATGGAAGAAACCACAGACTGTGACAGAGAGACCAGGGCGAGACCAGGGCGAGACCAGGGCGAGACCAGGGCGAGACCAGGGCGAGACCAGGGCGAGACCAGGGCGAGACCAGGGCGAGACCAGGGCGAGCCCAGAGGGAGACCAGAGGGAGACCAGAGGGAGACCAGAGGGAGACCAGAGGGAGACCGAAGAGAGGGTGATGAGAGAGACCAGAGTGGCTGAGTGGATAGCACTCTCGCCTCTCAGCAAGAAGGTCCCGAGTTCAAATCCCGGTCGGACCAGGGCCTTTCTGAGTGGAGTTTGCATGTTCTCCCCGTGTCTGCGTAGGTTTCCTCCGGGTACTCCGGTTTCCCCTACCACTAAAAATATGTACAATAGGTCTGGCATGCGCCTCCTGTACTGGCGACCCCGCTCCCATCTCTGTGTGGAGTGAGAGACTAATGCCCAAAAAAATATATATATATAAAACAATTGTAAACCGCTTTGAGACTCAGATCTGCAGTGAAAAGGCGGTATATATAAATAAAGATTACTACCAGAGAGAGACCAGGAAAAGAGACAAGTTCTCGAAACAAATCCCTGCGGTGCACTCAAGCCAATATAGTTTCCTTCTGACTTTAAATATCGGTGAGTGTAAAGTTTTGGCGGTGAACTCTGCCTTTCTTCTAATGCAGAGAATCTAAAGCCTCCAGAGAAGAGACGACCATGAGGCGTCACCTGGTGTTGGTGATGTCACATGTGTCGATGCTGGAACATTACGAGGCTGAGTCACCGGAGCGTGGGCAGCTGTTCGGCAGGTGACCGGTTTATGTCACACAGAGAATCACAATTTCCTGATTTTGTCCAAAATATTTTTAGCTTTAGGATTTTAGAGCTCGAGAGTGAAGTCCAGTCCTCTCAAGTCTCTCTCACTCTGCTCTCTCTCGGGCCTCTCTCTCTGGCTTCTCTCGTTGTCCTCTCTCTGGTCTCTCTCCCCTTAGTCCCAGTTGTCTCCCCTCTCTCGCTCTGGCCTCTCTCGCTCTGGCCTCTCTCGCTCTGGCCTCTCTCGCTCTGGCCTCTCTCGCTCTGGCCTCTCTCGCTCTGGCCTCTCTCGCTCTGGCCTCTCTCGCTCTGGCCTCTCTCGCTCTGGCCTCTCTCGCTCTGGCCTCTCTCGCTCTGGCCTCTCTCGCTCCGGCCTCTCTCGCTCCGGCCTCTCTCGCTCCGGCCTCTCTCGCTCCGGCCTCTCTCGCTCCGGCCTCCCTCGCTCCGGCCTCCCTCGCTCCGGCCTCCCTCGCTCCCTCGCTCCGGCCTCCCTCGCTCCGGCCTCTCTCGCTCCGGCCTCTCTCGCTCTGGCCTCTCTCGCTCTGGCCTCTCTCGCTCCGGCCTCCCTCGCTCTGGCCTTTCTCGCTCTGGCCTCTCTCGCTCCGGCCTCTCTCCTTAGTTCCAGTTGTCTCCCCTCTCTCTCTCCTCTCTCACCCCTCTCTCTCTCCTCTCTCACCCCTATCTCTCTCTGCGTAGTCCCACTTTTCTTCTCTCTCTCTCACATGGTCAGTGAGTATTGCTGGTCTCTCACCCTTCAGTGGGGGCAGGGGGGACAGTTCGACAGGGGGGACCGTGGCGTGCGCTCGGTACTGGGACGACCCCTGGGAACGCCGCTGCCGCTGAGCCTTCCGCACAGACTTCCAGGGGAATCCGTCCACCTTCTCCGAGGCCGAGATGGCGGCCGACATGTCTCAACCTGTATCTGCAGCAGAGAAACACCATCAAACATCAACTGTTCGCCTCGGCACCAGCGAGATCTGTCAAAGTCACGGTTACCGTGGTTACAAATATACCGCATTTGTATATTATGACTGCATTTATGTTAGTATGCAACTAATACAAGCAAAAGGAAAAAAGTGCCCTTGATTTGCATTTTATTTTTAACATTTATCAATGGAACTAGTTACTCTGGCCTCTCCCTCTCTGGTCTCTCCCTCTCTGGTCTCTCCCTCTCTGGTCTCTCCCTCTCTGGTCTCTCCCTCTCTGGTCTCTCCCTCTCTGGTCTCTCCCTCTCTGGTCTCTCCCTCTCTGGTCTCTCCCTCTCTGGTCTCTCCCTCTCTGGTCTCTCCCTCTCTGGTCTCCCCCTCTCTGGTCTCCCCCTCTCTGGTCTCCCCCTCTCTGGTCTCCCCCTCTCTGGTCTCCCCCTCTCTGGTCTCCCTCTCTCTGGTCTCCCTCTCTCTGGTCTCCCTCTCTCTGGTCTCCCTCTCTCTGGTCTCCTCTCTCTCTGGTCTCCCTCTCTCTGGTCTCCCTCTCTCTGGTCTCTCCCTCTCTGGTCTCTCCCTCTCTGGTCTCTCCCTCTCTGGTCTCTCCCTCTCTGGTCTCTCCCTCTCTGGTCTCTCCCTCTCTGGTCTCTCCCTCTCTGGTCTCTCTCCCTCTCTGGTCTCTCCCTCTCTGGTCTCTCTCCCTCTCTGGTCTCTCCCTCTCTGGTCTCTCCCTCTCTGGTCTCTCCTCTCTGGTCTCCCCTCTCTGGTCTCCCCCTCTCTGGTCTCCCCCTCTCTGGTCTCCCCTCTCTGGTCTCCCCCTCTCTGGTCTCCCCCTCTCTGGTCTCCCCCTCTCTGGTCTCCCTCTCTCTGGTCTCCCTCTCTCTGGTCTCCCTCTCTCTGGTCTCCCTCTCTCTGGTCTCCCTCTCTCTGGTCTCCCTCTCTCTGGTCTCTCCCTCTCTGGTCTCTCCCTCTCTGGTCTCTCCCTCTCTGGTCTCTCCCTCTCTGGTCTCTCCCTCTCTGGTCTCTCCCTCTCTGGTCTCTCCCCTCTCTGGTCTCTCCCTCTCTGGTCTCTCCCTCTCTCTGGTCTCTCCCTCTCTGGTCTCTCCCTCTCTGGTCTCTCCCCAGCTCTGGTCTCTCCCCATCTCTGGTCTCCCCTCTCTGGTCTCCCCAGTCTCTGGTCTCCCTCTCTCTGGTCTCCCCTCTCTGGTCTCCCTCTCTCTGGTCTCCCTCTCTCTGGTCTCCCTCTCTCTCTGGTCTCCCTCTCTCTGGTCTCCCTCTCTCTGGTCTCCCTCTCTCTGGTCTCCCTCTCTCTGGTCTCCCTCTCTCTGGTCTCCCTCTCTCTGGTCTCCCTCTCTCTGGTCTCCCTCTCTCTGGTCTCCCTCTCTGGTCTCCCTCTCTCTGGTCTCCCTCTCTCTGGTCTCCCTCTCTCTGGTCTCCCTCTCTCTGGTCTCCCTCTCTCTGGTCTCCCTCTCTCTGGTCTCCCTCTCTCTGGTCTCCCTCTCTCTGGTCTCCCTCTCTCTGGTCTCCCTCTCTCTGGTCTCCCTCTCTCTGGTCTCTCTCTGGTCTCTCTCTGGTCTCTCTCTGGTCTCTCTCTCTCTCTGGTCTCTCTCTCACTCACTCTCTGGTTTCTATCTGCTCTCTCTCTCTTGATTTGCATTTAATTTTTAACATGAATCAATGGAACTAGTTACTCTTGTCTCACTCTCTCTGGTCTCTCCCCTATCTGGTATGTGGTCTCTCTGGTCTCTCTCGTCTCTCTCGCTGGTCTTTCTCTCTGGTCACACTCACTCTCTGGTTTCTATCTGCCCTCTCTCCCTGCTCTCTCATCTCTCTCTGTGCCTCTGCTCTCTCACTGCCCCTCTCCCTCTCTCTCTCTCTCTCCCTGACACACACCACAGGTTACTCCTATATAATAAACACGTTCCTGAATGTGTCTAACGTCATGGATCTGTCGCTATATGAACAAATCTCCTTAAACACATCAAATCTAAACCCATGTCTCGATCACACGCACACGCACGCACACGCACACGCACGCACACACACACACACACACACACACACACCTGCAGCTCAGCCTTCTCTTCACCCGCGGAGGCATCTTTGGCCACACGTACCCGCTCCAAACCACCGCGCTGGCATCGTAAGCAGAAAGTTGAAATGTGAAGTTTCTGGCAGCTGTCGCGTCTTCTTCCTCCTCCTCCTCCTCTTCCTCCTCCTCCTCTTCCTCCTCCCTCTCGCGGTAGAAGAAGCCTTTGGGCCTTAGCGCTGTGAACTACGACAGCCGCGTTCCTTGACGTCTCTCACCAGAATAAACATAAACAGCGACGCGCGTCAGATCCCGGGTCTATAATCCAGACGTGTGCGGGTTTAGGTCGACCTCAAACCCGGGAGAGACCAGCTCAGACCCGGGTAAAGTTGTGTTCGAGGTGGATCTTCTGTCGCGGACTCTCTGTCTCCCAGAAGACGCACTGGTCCCGCGGTGTCAGTCCAAACGGGTGGAGTGACCAGTGAGTGGGGTGTAGAAGCAGAACCAGAAGCAGAACCAGCAGCAGTACCAGCAGCAGTACCAGCAGTAGCAGTAGCAGTAATAGCAGTCTGGAGTGTGGGACTTGAGCTGAGCCTCTGCTGGGGCCAGTGGAGCGGGGGGAGGGCCGTAGTTCTGCGTGCGTCACGGATGGACCAATGGCGACGCGCGCACCGTGTGACTCATGAAAACATTCCGTGTTTTACGGTTTTTTCTATAGTTTATGTTTTTATTGAACTTCTTCAGCAGTCACCCACTCACTCACACATGCAGGGGCAACACTACAACAGTCCATAGAGTCTGTAGTGTCACATATGTATGTATACTACTGTGTTCTGTCACTATGGCAACTGTCAGAAGTCAGATTTGAAGTTGAATTTAAAGCTAAATTCTGTAATTACTGAAGCCATCCACATGCAACTAAACCTGTCGCAAAGTTTCATCTCCTTTCTCTCTCCTCCTCCTGTCCTCGCTCTCTCCTCCCACCGTCCTCTCTCTCTTCCTCCCCGTGCTCTCCTCGCCTCTTTCTGTCCTCCCCCTGTCCTCTCTCTTCTCCCCTGTGCTCTCTCCCCTCCTGTCCTCTCTCTCCTACTGTCCTCTCTCTTCTCCTCCCGTCTTATCTCCTCCTCCCCCTGTGCTCTCTCTCCTACTGTCCTCTCTCCTCTCCTCCTGTCATGTCCTCCTACTGTCCTATCTCCTCCCCCTGTGCTCTCTCCTCTTTCTGCCCTCCCCCTGTCCTCTCTCTTTTCTCTCCTCCCTGTCCACTCTCTCTTTCCCTTGACTGATCCAGGACTAAACTAGACATATCTCTGCAGTGGACCATGTTATTTCTCTGGTGTCATTAACAAACTTGCGCCTCATTCCCGCTGCACTGAGACACAGTGAACCACAGACTGGTGTCAGAAAAACTCTGCCTTTAACCCGCCTCCCGATCTAGTCTTTCTGCCGTAATGTAAAGACCATCAACACAAACAGTTCAAGGGAAGAACGAGGCGTGGAGATGAGTTAAGGTGAAAATAGTGAGTCAATGAACCCTACTCACACACAAACCTGCCCTGTCTCTCTCTCTGGTCTCTCTCTCTGGTCTCTCTCTCTGGTCTCTCTCTCTGGTCTCTCTCTCTGGTCTCTCTCTCTGGTCTCTCTCTGGTCCCTCTCTCTGGTCCCTCTCTCTGGTCCCTCTCTCTGGTCCCTCTCTCTGGTCCCTCTCTCTGGTCCCTCTCTCTGGTCCCTCTCTCTGGTCCCTCTCTCTGGCTAACACAGATATTTGGACCTTTCCCACGTTGTTCCCAGGTCAATGAGAAGAGAGACATTTCTTTAGATTTCAGACGTATCCTTCCATAACATTAGAATTCTCACACACACAGATTGAAAACCATCGTCTTTAATCAGATCTGGTTTTTGTTCAAAAATCACAAACCAAAAGGAACCTCTGACGAGTCCAGATACAAAATATTAAATACAAGAAATATACAAAACTATTTACAATCTTACAAAAGGCTTTTCCAGAGTCCACTGAGGCTCTGGCCACAATCTGTGTCTGTGGTGTCTGTCTCTCTGGTCTCCCATGGTCTCCTCCTGGTGTCTCTCTTCCTCTGTGTCTACCCTCTCAGACAGTCTTTCTCCCTCTGGCCTGAATCCATGTCAGTCTTAAACATGGCCAGAGATAGCATTAAAATGATTAAAATAAACGTAAAAAGTGTGCGCTCTTCACTCTGCCGTTGGTTTGTTGAAGTATGAGGAGATCTTCTTCATGGACGACGGCGATGATGTCGTCTGCGAGAAGAGACAGAAATATCAGACACATATTTTAAGAAGCCGTTAGTGAAGAAGGAGCCAGTCTCTCTGCATTCCAGACCCAGAGATAGAGACAGGGCTGGGCCAGTGTCGCTGGAGAACCTGCATTTCTCTGATTGTTCTTTGGACGCTTGTGCAAAGATCTGACTCAATCACTGAGACCGAGAGAGAGAGAGGCCAAGAGAGAGAGAGAGAGAGGCCAGAGAGAGAGAGACCAGAGATAGAGAGAGAGACCAGAGAAAGAGAGCAAGAGAGAGAGAGAGAGAGACCAGAGAAAGAGAGCAAGAGAGAGAGAGACCAGAGAGAGAGAGAGAGCAAGAGAGAGGCCAGAGAGAGAGAGAGAGAGAGACCAGAGAGAGAGCGAGGCCAGAGAGAGAGAGAGAGAGAGAGAGAGAGCAAGAGAGAGGCCAGAGAGAGAGAGAGAGCGAGAGAGAGAGCGAGGCCAGAGAGAGAGAGAGAGAGGCTAGAAAGAGAGATATTCCTTGCTGTGTGAAAATGCACCCCCTCAGAAACTAGTTTAATGTAATATTTGACCAATTCAAATCAAATTCTGGTCTCTCTCTCTCTGGTCCCTCTCTCTCTCTCTCTCTCTCGCTATTTCTCACGCCTTAGAAATCTGGGTGTTATTTTTGACAAGGATATGTCACTAGTTCAACACTGCAAACAGCTGACCAAAAATTGCTTTTTTCAGCTGAGAAACATCTCCAAATTTAAGAAAATGGTGTCACAGAACGACTTGGAGCTCATAATTCATGCCTTTGTGTCTTCTCGTTTAGATTATTGTAATGGTTTGTTTTCATGTCTGAACAAGAAGGAGCTATCACGTCTGCAGTTAGTGCAAAACTCTGCAGCTCGGGTTCTCACGCGCACAAACAGGAGGTCGCACATCACTCCTGTCCTCAAAGCTCTCCACTGGCTGCCCGTGTCCTACAGGATACATTTTAAAATATTGGTGCTGACTTTCAGAGCTCTGCATGGTCAGGCTCCCCCTTATATCAGCGATCTGATTCAGCCTTACACCCCCACTCGTGCCCTGAGGTCTGTGGATCAGAATCTCTTGATGGTCCCACGCACACGCTTTCGGACCAGGGGAGACCGGTCCTTCCAGGCTGTTGCGCCTAAGCTCTGGAACAATCTTCCGCTCTTTCTGCGGCTGATGGAATCGGTTGATTCATTCAAAGGTCAGCTAAAAACCTATTTATTTGGGCAAGCTTTTACATAATTTTCTTGCGGCTGTTTTTTAAACCTGTCACTGAGGTGTCTTGGCCATTATATTGACTGTATATTTAGTATTATTTTTTGTATATGCACATTTTAAATTGTATTTTGTCTGTTTTTTACCTGTTTAAACTGTGAAGCGCTTTGTGGCCTTGGTCTGTGAAAGGCGCTGTATAAATAAAGCTTACTTACTTACTTACTACTACTATTTTTAGATATTACAATAGAAATATAGTTAAATTAAACCTCTGATGTGAAGTGTGTCACATGAGGAAAACAGCGCACTCCAGTGGACAGATGTGTGCACTGCAGCTACAGGAGTAAAGCTGAAGGTTAGAAATAAACCCCCTCACTCTGGCCTCCCCCTCACTCTGGCCTCCCCCTCACTCTGGCCTCCCCCTCACTCTGGCCTCCCCCTCACTCTGGCCTCCCCCTCACTCTGGCCTCCCCCTCACTCTGGCCTCCCCCTCACTCTGGCCTCCCCCTCACTCTGGCCTCCCCCTCACTCTGGCCTCCCCCTCACTCTGGCCTCCCCCTCACTCTGGCCTCCCCCTCACTCTGGCCTCCCCCTCACTCTGGCCTCCCCCTCACTCTGGCCTCCCCCTCACTCTGGCCTCCCCCTCACTCTGGCCTCCCCCTCACTCTCTGGCCTCCCTCTCCTTCTCTCCCCCTGTGGACTCACCGGTGATGCAGGGGTCCCTCTCCTGGGACTCTGACTGCTCCTGATCTTCTGGCTCATGGCGGAGAGCCAGTTCCGTGGGAGCAGGTTCTCCTTCTCCTGCTCCTGCTGGCAGCAGATAATCTCCTCCTCCTCCTCCTCTCTCCTCCTCTTGTTGTTGGGAGCCAGCTCTCTCACACAGACACAGGGCTCAGAACAGCACAGAGGAGCACTCGCCTCCAGTCTACGTTTAGCTCCGTGTTTGTCCTGTCGGGTCTGGGGGGAGAGCACGGTGGGAGGCGTGGGGGAGAGCCAGCGGGTGAGGGAGGTGGGGGTTTTGGGGCGGGAAGCAGGGGAGGAGGTGGATGAGGGGAGGGGGAGGGAGGCGTTGTTGGAGGCGCAGGCAGCAGGAGTCGGGGAGGACAGAGCTCTGGAAGTTGCTCTGTGTGGAGGTGGACTCTGGGCCAGAGTGGATTCTGCTGCAGCTCGATCCTCTGAGACACAAACAGGAAGTCAGAGAGAGCACACAGGAAGTCAGAGAGAGAGCAGACAGGAAGTCAGAGAGAGCACACAAGAAGTCAGAGAGAGAGCAGACAGGAAGTCAGAGAGAGCACACAAGAAGTCAGAGAGAGAGCAGACAGGAAATTAGAGAGAGCACAGAGAAGAACTGAAGAGAGCCCCCCTCTGATGTGGTGGCTTACTCTCCCCTTCTCCCCCTGTGGTTCTCACTTGTGGGGGTCTTGGGGCGGGTCCAGCCCACGAGATTAGTCTCCCCCAGACGAGACGCCGCCTCCTCAGTCTGTCTGCGCAATCTCCAGATACGAACACTGTGGTCGTCAGAGCAGGAGGCAATCTGTGGCAGAGGAGAAACTGTTAGAGACCAGAGAGAGACCAGAGAGAGACCAGAGAGAGACCAGAGAGACACCAGAGAGACACCAGAGAGACAACCCTCACCTTTGTGAAGTCTGTGGGGCACCAGGACACAGACGTGACCTCCTCGCTGTGGCCCTGGAGCATCATGGGAGGACGAGATGGAGACGAGATCTGAAACAAACACATGGACTTTTATCAACAGCCGCAAGACCAGACAGACCCACATGGTTCTATTTCATTTCTCTGGAGGTGATCCGGGATTCATAGAACCGTGGTTACATACGTAACCTTCGTTTTACAACATTCAGGGCGAAAACATAACAAACATAAACTGGAGTGATTCCACTGGTCCAGTGTGACCAGCACCAGGTCCTTCTTTAGTCCCTCTTGGACCTGGTTCTATCCAGGTTCGAGCTGGTGCTAAAGTGTTCTAACTGACAGTGATTGGTCAGAGTGCTGCTGGAAGCCATGGCTACCAAGAAATTTCCAGAGATACTGGTGTGTTGTGGGTAAGAAGCTCAGATACAGTACAAGGTGTAACGGGAATGCAACAGCACAGAGCAGACATTCCCCAAAGAATGTTTTATTTTTCACCAGATTCAGGAAAATGAAAAGTGATGAAATTGACGAAGTGAATTGATGAAGTGTTAGACCTGGTGAGTATAAATGAAAGCCAAGAAAGTCTCATGCTAACTTCTGACAGTAGCAAACAGCGTGTTGCTATGGTAAATAGTACTTGATATTCTCGGGAGGAAAATGAGTTAAAAAAGGTAGAAGAACTCACAATAAATTATTTCATCCAAAAAATAATGACATAGAAATAAACGACATAAAGAAACTGAAAAAGACACAAAGTGATGAAGACCAAGAGGAAGACCGACCCGCTCACACACAAAGCAGAGCTGGGTGTTTGGAGAGTACCTTCCAGATGTAGGCGTGGCTGTCGCTGGAGCCGCTCGCCAAGAACTGGTCGTCAGGACTCACTGAGGAGCGGATGTAGAAGGACGAGTTCTGATGACCGCCGAACACACACACTGAACACACAACACAACACAACACAACACAACTATGGTCAGGGGCAGCAGGGAGAGTGAGTGTGGAGGAGAAGAGAGAGAGAGGCACCAGAGAAAGAGAGAGAGCAAGACCAGAGAGAGAGAGCCCAGAGAGAGAGCATGAGAGAAAGCGAGAGAGAGAGAGAGCCCAGAGAGAGACACCAGAGAGAAAAAGAGCCCAGAGAGAGAGAGAACAGAGAGAAAGAGAGAGTTACCTGGTGCTGTCTTGGCTCCGCTGATGTTGAACATGTAGATGTTGTCGTCTGTGCAGTTACAAAAGACGTGAGAACGAGAGGAGTCCAGGACCAGACCAGAGTAACCTACACACAGAGAGTGAGAGTGAGAGAGTGTGAGAGAGAGAGAGAGAGAGAGAGACACACACACACACACAGAGAGCGAGACAGAGAGACACACACACACAAACACATACACACAGAGAAAAAGAAGGTGAGTTCACATGTTTGATTCTCTGATCTGTGTTGGCAAATTGACAGTTTGATTTAGGGCGATACAAGAATAAATTGAAATGAGTGAGTGAGAGACATTATTTATATGGCTGCATGGTTTTGGTTAAATATCTAATGGTAACATTCATGTACTGCTTCCCAGTCTGCTTCCCAGTCTGCTTCCCAGTCTGCTTCCCAGTCTGCTTCCCAGTCTGCTTCCCAGTCTGCTTCCCAGTCTGCTTCCCAGTCTGCTTCCCAGTCTGCTTCCCAGTCTGCTTCCCAGTCTGCTTCCTTGTCTGCTTCCCAGTCTGCTTCCCAGTCTGCTTCCCAGTCTGCTGCCCAGTCTGCTGCCCAGTCTGCTTCCCAGTCTGCTTCCTTGTCTGCTTCCTTGTCTGCTTCCTTGTCTGCTTCCTTGTCTGCTTCCCAGTCTGCTTCCCAGTCTGCTTCCCAGTCTGAGTTCAAAGCCTCACCGAGCCGCGTCCGTGCGCTGGAGCCGGGGTAGGGGAAGGTCTGAGCAGGCACTGGGTCCTGACGATGGACCGAGTAATGTTTCCTCAGATCCCACATCTTTACAACTCTGCGGAGGAGACACACGTCAGACCAGGAGGAGAGGAAGAGAGAGACCAGGAGTAAGTAATTAGTAAGTAAGTAATCTTTATTTATATACCGCCTTTTCACTGCACATCAGAGTCTCAAAGCGGTTTACAATTGTTATTTCTTGGGAGTGGGGGTGCCAGTACAGGAGACACATGCCAGACCTATTATACATATTTTTAGTGGTAGGGGAAACCGGAGCACCCGGAGGAAACCTACGCAGACACGGGGAGAACATGCAAACTCCACTCAGAAAGGCCCTGGTCCAACCGGGATTTGAACCCAGGACCTTCTTGCTGAGAGGCAAGAGTGCTATCCACTCAGCCACCGTGCCGCCCAGAGGAGAGGAGGAGAGACCAGCAGGAGAGGAGGAGAGAGATGTCAGACAAGACGGAGAGAAGAGAGACACATGAGACTAGGTGGAGAGAGGAGAGAGAGGAGAGAGAATAATCAGAAGAGAGAGGTGAGACAGGAGAATCGGAGGAGAGAAGGGAATCAAACCAGGAGGAGAGAAGGAGAGAGACGGGGAGAGAAGAGAGAGAGAGAGAGAGAGAAGAGAGGAGAGACCAGGGGAGAGAGTGCAGAAGAGGGGAGAGAGGGAGGAGAGACACATCTGGGACCAGGAGCATGGAGAATAGGAGGGAGAGGAGGAGAAACCAGAGCAGACAGTTTCTGGTGTGTCTCACCCGTCCACTGCACCAGAGGAGAGAAGCGTGTGCTGGTCCCGTAACAACACCACAGTCACACTCTGCTGGCTGTCCTGCAACACAACAACACAACATTACACACACACACAACAACACAACAGGATAAATGCATGGTCTCTCTCGCTCTCTTTGGCATCGCTCTCTCTCTCTCTCTCTCTCTCTCTCTCACCACACTGGGGCCCATGCCTCTGGTCCCGCTCCTCCTCTTCTTGTTCTTGCTCAGTGCAGAAGCTTCAGGTTTGTTGTGAGCGCCGCTGATCTGCTTCACTTGTTTGTAGAAACCATCTGCAACAAGAGCACGTCACACATCAGTCTCAGTCCAGGAGAATGTGCTTTAAAGCTCGGGGACGTAACTTTCAAACCACAAAACAGACATTAATAAACTTGTTCCTGGCTCTAAAAAAGTTGCTTCTTTCACATGTATTTCTGGACTTGAGTCTGTCTCCTCTCCTCCTCTCTGCTCGGTCTCCTCTCCTCCATAACAGAGGTCCACATGCAGCAGTACCTTTCTTGCTGCAGCGTGTGTCCCAGACCATGATGTTCCCGTCTCTGGCTCCGGTGCAGAACACGGCTGTGGAGCGAAGATCAAGGTCAGGGAAAAGTACATTCAACACATTTCTATAAACCTAAACTACAACAGCCTGAGAGAAGGAGAGAGAGAGATGAAAGAAGAGAGGAGAGAGGGGAGGAGAGAGAGGAGGGGGAGAGAAGAGAGAGAAAGAGAGCCGAGAGATTAGGCTCCAGCACTTTGGGAACCACACAAACACCTTTGTCCTCTGGGGTGAAGATCTCACACAGACACACACTCACACACAGACCTTTGTCCTGGGGGGTGGAGGTCTCACACACACACACAGACACACACACCTTTGTCCTGGGGGGTGAAGGCCACAGACTTGAGGCTGCACAGGTGACCCCTGAAACTGCCCAGTAAGTCTCCAGAGCGGACGTCCCAGAGCCGAGCCATCTGGTCCCCGGCAGCTGTGACCTGAGGCACATGTACAGCAGGGACGTGCAGTCAGGGGAGGCAGGGGAGGCAGAGCCTCACCTGCCATTATTGGAAACTAATAATTATTTTAGTTTAAATATATAATTTATATCCACTGTCCTATGCTTTTAATGTATATTCGGCACGGTTCCCATCAGTTTTGATCATTTCTGAAGTCAAAATCGCCGAAATCCCGTTATTCCTATTCAAAGAGACGAGGTGAGGCAGCGCTCCTGCGTGCCTCACCCCAGACCGCTCCCTCACAGTGTGTGTGTGTGTGTCTGAGTGCACTCAGCTCGTGCAGTTGATATATCACCGTTTGTTTCAAATATCCTGCTTTAAAAACATTTTTTAAACTCCTCTTAGTGTTTAGTAGTGTATTGCACGTATGTGTGTACAATTTATATTTAGTTTAAGTCTTTTGATCGTAGATGAACACACAAGGAAAAAGCTTGGCGTGAGGCAGGCGGTATCTGTGCCTCACCGCTAGGGGTGATAGTGAGCATAAAGTTCATACCAGAGTTGCTAACAAACAATCAGCCCAAAATGCTATTTCTTTTGCTGGAAAATGGATGATTTGAATGAAGATTTTTTTTCTCAATTGGACTTTCAAACAAAGAAAGAATTAATATAGACTGGGAGACCACCACTGGACTTACGAGGTTAGTCCGGCTGCGGGGGAGGAGTTTGTTAATCTGTGTTTTATGTTGAACATTGACAGATACCGGCAAAGTAGTGCTTTTCCGAAAAACACTGATTCAAACACTGCTCAAGAGTTCTGCAACTTGTTTAAATTATTGTTTATGTTCCTCGCGTCTCTCTCTCCTTGCGTCTCTCTCTCCTCGCGTCTCCGTCTCTCTCTGCTCCTCGCGTCTCCGTCTCTCTCTGCTCCTCTCTGTCTCTCTCTGCTCCTCTCTCCTCGCGTCTCTCTCTCCTCGCGTCTCTCGCACCTGCGCTTCTTAAAGATGTTGTTTGATGCGGAGCAGAGTCAGCAGCTAGATTTGTTGTGAGATTATTAAAAGAAGCTGGTTCTCTTATCTTTACAGTATATAAAGTTTGTGGATGTCATTGCATTGGTGATTAAATGCTATTTTATTTGAATAATGATTGTAAATCTGACTTTTAAAGTCAGTGCCTCCCCAATCACAAACCTCACCGCACGTCCCTGATGTACAGTATGTACAGTAAGTCTGTAATCTAGAGACTGAAGTCTGTGACCATAGTTAAATCGATTGTGATGATTGAAAACATTCCAGAGCACGTACCAGCTGAGGCTCACCTGGTACCCAGGCCAGGTCAAAGACTGCATTCTCATGGGCTAACCACTCTGCAACACACACAAGCATCAGCAATTAGACACAAGAGAGAGAGACAAGAGAGAGAGACAAGAGAGAGAGACCAGAGAGAGAGACCAGAGAGAGAGACAAGAGAGAGAGACCAGAGAGAGAGACCAGAGAGTCTCATCTCAGAGACCAAAAGATTTGTGGGTGTGAAATTCCAAAAAAGTGTAGATTCACAGTATGTGGTAAAAACATTGTTATTTGTTCGATCTGCTGTTGTACCTTTGAGCAGCACATTCTGGCGGCTTTCTGTGTTGTACAGACGCACGATTCCCTCCTCGTTCGCTACAGCGAGAACATGCTGCAGGTTTGAGGCTGCGGACACAACAACAAACCATCAGAGACCAAAGAGATCAGAAAGATGCCACAAAGAGACCAGAGAGTGAGACCAGACCCAACAGAACATCTGTGGAGGTGGTGAAAGTCTTGCTCAGCAACAGCCTCACAACAATATCACAGTTCTAGAAGATCTGCAGGGAGGAATTGGCCAAAATACCAGCAATAGTGTGTGGGAGACCGATGGGAACTGAAGGAGGAGGTTGGAGGACTCACCGGAGGAGAAGGCCAGCCCAAACGGAGGAACGGTGTCTCCCTGGTTTCCATACGACACATGTTCATCAGGACGCACACAGCTGTACTCCTGCAGGAGGAACTCCAGAGGGAGGAGAGGGGAGGCCAGGGCAGCTGTGGCTACAGAGAGAGGAGACACACAAGGAGGTCAGAGAGAGGAGAGGGGAGACTGGACTAAAGCCCAGAGAGAGACCAGCGAGATAACAGAGAGAGAGACCAGAGGGAGAGAGACCAGAGAGAGAGACCAGAGAGAGAGACCAGGGAGACCAGAGAGAGAGAGACCAGGGAGAGAGACCAGGGAGAGAGACCAGGGAGAGAGAGACCAGGGAGAGAGAGAGACCAGGGAGAGAGAGACCAGGGAGAGAGAGAGACCAGGGAGAGAGAGACCAGGGAGACAGAGAGACCAGGGAGACAGAGACCAGGGAGACAGAGACCAGGGAGACAGAGACCAGGGAGACAGAGACCAGGGAGAGAGAGAGACCAGGGAGAGAGAGAGACCAGGGAGAGAGAGACCAGGGAAAGAGAGACCAGGGAGAGAGAGACCAGGGAGAGAGAGAGACCAGGGAGAGAGAGAGACCAGGGAGAGAGAGACCAGGGAAAGAGAGACCAGGGGGAGAGACCAGAAAACTCTACCACAGTGAAAACAGTGACAGCGTTAAGACAATTAAACACATGTTATAACTGTAGCACGTGCACATCATTTATGTCATAAACTTGATATATTTATAAAGAGCAGCTCAGACGATGATGACAACACACATGTCCAGATTGTAGAGTCCTCAGCTCACTGTCAGCTGACTGCAGTCTGCAGCGGACACTTCTGGACCATAAAATACAAACAACACGATACAACACAGTGTTTTCCTTTCGCCTTCTGCTTTGGAAACAGCCTTTTATATCGTGGCCAAAGTCTCTACCGCAGAATTGTTGTTGTAAAGGTCTGCAAGGTTCACGTAAATGACAGACTTTTGTCCCAGTTTGCAGATAAACTGGACAATACTGGGTCTGGATCAGGGTCTGGATCAGGGTCTGGATCAGGGTCTGGATCAGGGTCTGGATCAGGGTCTGGATCAGGGTCTGGATCATCAGAATCAGAATCATGGGCCAACCGTTGGACCGAAGACAGGACTACAGGTTGGACTAAAGAGGGTCTGACTCTGGTCTAACCCCTGGACCATGGCACAGTCTGGTCTCGGTCTCACCATAGTTTCTCCGCGCGCCTCGCTGCGCGTTCACGAAGGACGAGAGGATCATTCTGCACCGGGCCCCACGCGTACGATCCGGTCTCCCGCAGGTCTGTCTGGTCTGGTCCCCACTGGTCCGATCCTCCACTTTGCTGTTTGGTCCGGTCCCCGTGGTGCTGGTTCGGTCTGGTCCGGTCCCCAAGGTGCAGAGGGTCCAGGTCCTGTGTGTTTCCCGCGAACAGAAGCCTCTCTCCGGGACTGAAAAGCCCGCTCCGCTGCGCGCTCCTGATTGGACAGTGGCTTTTCCGGTCTCCGCCCAAAGACATGATGCGCATGGTTTCGTTTAACGACAGAACCCAGAGCAGTCAATTTGACGGCTTTAGTTTTGGAACCGTATTTACTCTGCTCATGTACGTTTGTGAGTTATCAGTTTTAACGCTTCAAAACAAAGAAAAGATTAAAAAAAATGAGTAGAAGAATTGACTTTATGATGAACCACTGCTCTGTGGTGCTGCAGGTGGTTCTTGTTTTTAATATTTTGTGCAGCTTCTGTTGTGTTTAGGACAGAGACCATGTGGGCAGAGGAAGGCGCAGTGGTGTAATAAGACCAGAAGGGGGCGCTATGCGTGTGAGGATTAATGGCACTGTTTGATATAAAGAATTGTTTGATTATTTGCAGTCCATGCTCTCTCTCTCCTCTCCTCTCTCCTCTCGCTCCTCTCGCTCCTCTCTCCTCTCCTCTCTCTCCTCTCTCTCCTCTCTCCTCTCCTGGAGAGAGGGTCTGACAGAGGAGGACTGGACCCTGTTAGAGGGACACAGGTCAGGCTCACTGACCCCTGACCCCACTGACCCCTTCCCCAGCCTCATCCTCAGCCCGGACCCATGGGCTCCTCCTCTGGGCCCCTGCTGGCCAGTCCAGTAGCTGCCTCTCTGGAGGCTGCATCAGGGAAGACCTTTTACAGCCTCATGGTCCAGGCCTTGAACCACCAGAGACTGTGTGACCGAGCACACACTGTGTGGAGGTCACACCTGGGCCCTGCCTTCAGTCCGGCCTGGGGGGCCCTGTACAAGCCCCCTCTGACCAAGAGACAGGGAGACCTGCAGTGGAGGCTGCGGCATGGGGCAATAGCAGTCAATGCCTTTGTGTGTAGGGTGAACAGGGCTGTGGGGGAGGGCTGTCCCTTCTGTGGGGAGAGGGAGACCCAACATCCCCATATCCCCCCCACAACTTACCCCCAACCAATCCCACTCAAATAACCCCCACTCCCCCTCCAATTTCCACCCCCCCCCCCTAACCCCCTCATCATATATTATTCCTTTCCACTCCTTTCACCTTATCCACCCCCCTTTTCCCTTTACCTTCTCCTAAACTCCCCCTTCCTCCCTATTTCCCCCCCCCATTTCCACCATATATTTACCCCCCCAAACATCTAATCCTCACTCTCCCCCCTCTCTTCCTACTCCACCTACCCCCATACCCATCCCAACTCATTTCCTCTTTTATTTCCTCTTTATTTCAATTTTCATTCATCTTCATTTCATCATCATTCCATTTCAATTTCATTTCATTTATTCCCACCCGATTCACCCCCCCCCCCACCCACCAACCCCTCCCCAACCAACCACCCAACAACCCACAAACCAAACCCACAACCCCCCTCCACACACACCCCCCCCCCCCACACACCCCCCCAACACCCCACACAACCCCAAACCACACCCCCAACCCAACCACCCCACCAACCCCCACACCAACCCCACCCACCCCCCCAACAACACCACCAACAACCCCACACACCCCCCCCCACAACCCCCCCACCCACCCCCCCCCCCCCCCCCCCACACCCCCCCCCACCCACCCCCCCCCCCACCCCCAACCCCCCCCCTCCAACACCACCCCCCACCCCCCCCACACCACCCCCCCACCCCACCACCCCCCCCCCCCCCCCCCCCCCACACTCCCCCAACAATAAACCCCCACCCCCCCCCCCCCCCCCAACCAAACCACCACCCAAACACTACACCCCCCCACACCCCCACAACCCAAACACACACCAACACCAACACCACCCCAAAACCCCAAAAAAAACCCCAAAACACCCCCCCCCCCCCCCCCCCCCCACCCCCCCATCCCAAAATTCCCCTCCACACACCCCTCACCCCCTCTCATTCATCACACCCACCTCCCCTTATTTTTCCCCCTTTACACTACCCCCCCCCTACAAAATCTCCAAAAAATTTACCCCCTCTTCACCCCCCTTCCCCCCCAACATCCTTCCCCCAACAACCAAAAATATAAATTATCCCCCCTCAAACCAACTAACCCCACCCCTCCCCCCTTCAATTTCAATTCCCACCCCCCTTAAAAGTCCCTTACCAACCCACCCTTCATAACCAACTCCTAAACCCTCTCCTTACCCATCCTCCCCATCCCCCCCATACCATAAAACAACACAAACAAAAAACAACCAACAAATTACCAACACCTACAACACTAATCCACCACACACACAACACCACACCCCCCCAACACCCCAATTACCCCTTCCCCATCTCACTAACAAATACCCCCCCCAACACCCCCCCTTCACCCAATTCCTCCCCACCTCACCCCCACCCACATCATTTTCATTCTTCTTCCCCAAAAATTACCCCCACACCAATTAACACCAAATTAACATATCACAACAAAATTACACACCACAAATACAACACAACACCACACTTACTCCCCCATTAATCACACATTCACAAAATTACACCCAATTACACCAACACAACACCCATTAAACACCAAAAAACAATCAACCCCCCAAACTACACCCCAACACACAAAACATCAACAAAATTACCACCATACATTACAAACACCACACCCCCCATAAATCTAATTCTCTCCTTCAAAACCCTAATTAATATACCTCCCTATTTCAACTCTCAAAACTCTACATCTACTCTTTCCCCAAATACCATCACAATCCCCCCTCATCACCTACATCAAATCTAATACAAATTACATTTCTCTTCCTCTCCTCTATCCCCCCCCAACACAAATCCTTCCCTAAAACAACTTCCCACATCCAAAACCATCTTCCCTACCCCCCCCCCCCCTAAACTACTACCATCACACCTCACAGCAACCCTATAAATCACCCAAATCTACTTCTTATAAAATTAATAAGCACCTCCCATCCCTCCTTAAAATTCATATCCCTTCCCCCACACTTCTTCTATATCCCCCTCCTCTCTCCCCTCCATCATATCCCTTCATTCCCCCCTCTCGCTAAATATAAATATCCACTCTCTCCTCTCTTCTTCCTAATTCTCTCCCTCTATCTATCATTTCTCTCTCTCCTCTCTTCTGTCCTCTCCTCTATACATTCTTACCATCACTCCCTCTTCACCCCCCTCCTTCTACCTCTCTCTCTGTTCATCCTTTCCCTCCCCCTCTCTCTCCTCTCCTACCCCTAACTCTCCCATTACATAAACTAACCCCCGTAACACAAACCGAATAAATCATACAATAATAGGCAATATACCTCTTCTTCTTCTTTCCCTGTCGTGTCACTCCCCCTTCAACCCAACACCTTCCTTCCCCCATGCTTCCATCATCCGTTGTTTATCATCTTCCCCAATCGACACACCACACCTGCTCCGCTGCCCAGCTCCCACCCCCTCGTATATGATTAGACAACAGTGATTATGACTAGCTTACCATTATCCCGTTTTCTTACCTCATTCCACACATTACTATAAAAAAAGAACTGTCCCCATCCAGCCCAAACGTAAGAAATACTAACCAGACCAATACAAACCAACTATAAGTACACCACCCCAATGATCATTATGCATCCACATAATAAACTGAATTTTTTTGGTAACAAACAAATCATCTTAAACACCTCTCCCCTATGAGCTCCCATCTCTCTGCTGATCCCAGAGCTGACGTGAATAGACCTAGATATGCTCAGTAGATCGGCCCGCACGCTCTCTATCCTATATTACCAGATATGCGCCCCGCGATATGATCCTAGGAGGAAACCCCCAGAGAGCTCTCCATATTGTCCAGCTAAGAGAGTGAGGGCCAAGTTTTAGACAGATTACAATGAAATCCTACGCACAACCTCACACAATGAAAAAGATCCCTGAACCGTGCATGCGCGTGATCCATCCTCTTCCTTTTCATCCTTACTATTCCTACTTTACACTTCACCTCCTATTTCCCTACCTTCAACCCTTCCTAATTTACCTTACCTTCCTATTCTTCATTCTTTTTATCTTCTTCTACTCCTCTCCTCCCCCTTTCTTCCTCCCCACCTCTCCTCATATATAATTATTATCTACCCCTCTACCTCTAATCAATATTACCAAAACATACATCTCCTCCCACTATTACCTCCCCCCTTCTAAATCCACCTCCAAATTACATCCCCCCACACCCCCCAAACCCATCCCCTTTTTCTTACTTTTCCCTTTACATCCATATACATAACATCTCCCATCAAACACTATTTACACCCCACCAATATTACCATTATATATAACCTATATAAAACCCAACTACCCTATCAAATTTAACCACCCATAACCTCTTACCTTAAAATATACACACTCCACTTCCATACTATTCCTCTTCCCTCACACACTACCTATCCCATCTCCACCACAAAAAACCCCTATCTATACCCTATATAATAATTAATCAAAATTCAAACCTATTACCCCCTATCCCCCCTTAAATTTACCAAAAAAACAACAAGAGAGAGCAGCAACGCGCCGCGCAGAGACGCACGCGCCACAGCGCGCGACGAGACGCAGAACCGAGCACGAGCGAAGAGAAACGAGATACGCGAGCGCGCCGACCGAGCAGCGTCCGGCCAACATAGACGACAGCGGACACGACAGAGAGCTACGGGCGCCGAGCGGCACAAAGCACGATAGCAAGCGCGAGCGGGACGCAGGCCGAGCGAGAGACAGGACGACGCGCAGCGCGCAGAAAGAAGAAAAGAGAAGAACATCCAAAAGGAGATAAAAACTACACACGTAGAAGTAGACGAAGAGGACAGAGCGACTAGCGAAGCGAGACGCGACGAGCAGACGAACGAAGAGCGCCAGAGCCGCGCGACGAGCGCCAGAGAGCACGAAGAGAACCGGCTCAACTCGCGCCTGCGCCAGCCGCGCGCCCCGCGATAAGCGAGGAGAAGCGAGCGCGGCCGGCGCAGAGGTCGCAGAGGCAGACGCGCCCCTCGAGCGACCGGCCGAGGCCGAGCGATCGCCGGCTAGCCGCGCCGCGACGCGCACTCGCGCCTAGCGTCCGAGCGCAGCGCGGGCAGATAGCGCGAAGAGAGAGCTCGCGCGAAGCTAGACGCGGCCGTCGATCGCGCAAGGCGCGCAGCGCAGCGCGCAGCGCGAAGCCGAGAGAGCCTCGCGACAGCGAGAGAGAGAGAGCGAGAAGAGGCGACGGACGCGCGGAGAGAGACGAAGAGCCCAGAGCCAGCGATAGCGACGCGGAGCGAGAGAGAAGCGCTCAGACGAGAGAGATACGGGCGATCAGCGCGCGAGACCGCTAGCAGAGAGACGGTAGAAGCGACGCTAGTAAGACAAGTGAGGTAGCGCTCGCAGCCTCGCCGACATCGAGACGAGCGAGCAGAAGCCCGAGCGTCTGGCGCACTCGGCGGCGGACGTAAGCGACAGCGGCTCGAGAGCCGCGAGCCGCTCTCTAGACTCGAGAGCGACGAGCTCGATCATCGCTCTAATAGCGCAGCGGCCCGGCGATCAGGAGGTACCACGAACAGCAAATCTCACATGCCCGACCAGAGCCCGAAGGGGAAGCCGCTCAAACGAACGCAGAGCAACTCGCGAGCAGCCAGGACTCGCTACGCTCTACTCGATGCCGACGAGTCTTAACTCCGTGTGCGCAGGAGGCTCGTAGTACAGCGTACGTCCGCCGGAGACCGCTTCAGGCGCGCTCAGGATCATCATGACTGAGCTGCCTCCCTCTAAGCACCCTGCGCCTCGCCGCCTAGCGCGCTTCCTCCGAGCCGACGCCGAAACCCCGACCGCTAGGCTAACGCACCGCGTCCGCGCGCTGGCGCGCCTCTCGCCTCTCTCTCTCTCGTACTCTCGCCGTCTCTCCTCCGCTCGCTTCTCTCCTCTCTCTCTCGATGAACACTCTCCGCTCTCTCCTCTCTCGCCTATCTCCTCTCGTCCGCTCTCTCCATCCCCACCCCCCCTCCGCTCACTCGCCGCTCTTCCTCCCTCTCTCCTCTCCTCTCTATCTCCTCTCCTCTCTACTCTATCTCCTCCTCTCCTCTGCTATCCACTCTCTCTCTCTCTCCCTCTCTCTCCTCTCTCTCCTCTCCTCTCTCTCTCCTCTCTCTCTCCTCTCTCCTCTCTCTCCTCTCTCTCCTCTCTCCTCTCTCTCCTCTCTCCTCTCCCTCTCTCCCCTCTCCTCTCATCCTCTCTCTCTCCTCTCTCTCTCCTCTCTCTCTCCTCTCTCCTCGCTCTATCTCTCTCTCCTCTCTCTGCTCCTCTCTCCTCCTCTCTCCTTCTCTCCTCTCTCTCTCTCCTCTCTCTCTCCTCTCTCCTCTCCTCCTCTCCTCTCTCCTCTCTCCTCTCTCTCTCCTCCTCTCTCTCCTCTTCTCTGCTCTCTCTCTCTCTCTCTCCCCTCTCCTCTCTCCTCTCTCTCTCCTCTCTCTCTCTCCTCTCTCCCTCTTCCTCCCTCTCTCTCCTCTCTCTCCTCTCTCTCCTCTCTCCTCTCTCTCTCTCGTCCCTCTTCCTCTCTCTCCTCTCTCTCTCTCTCTCTTCTTCTCTTCTCTCTCCTCTCTCCTCTCTCTCCTCATCTCTCCCTCTCCTCTCCTCTCTCTCTCCTCTCTCTCCCCTCCTCTCTCCTCTCTCTCATCCTCTCTCTCTCTCTCTCCTCTCTCCTCTCTCTCTCTCTCACTCTCTCTCCTCTCTCCTCTCTCTCCTCTTCTCTCCTCTCCTCTCTCTCTCTCTCTCTCCTCTCTCTCTCTCTCCTCTCTCTCTCTCTCTCTCTCTCTCTCTCTATCCTCTCTCCTCTCTCCCTCTCCTCCTCTCCCTCTCTCTCTCTCTCTCCTCTCTCTCACTCTCATCCTCTCTCTCTCCTCTCTCCTCTCTCTCTCCTCTCTCCTCTCTCTCTCCTCTCTCCTCTCTCCTCTCTCCTCTCTCTCCTCTTTCTCCTCCAGGACAGCAGGAGGCGGTGTTGCTCTCTCTCAGCCGGTCCCCGTGTTGTTGTTGTTGTGGTTCCCGTGTGTGTCTCCGGTGTTTACCGGGAGTAGCTGACCCGTGTGTCCGTCTATGGTCCCGGGACTTAGAGCTTCTCTGAGCCGCTGTCATGTCTCTGTCCTCGGCCCGGTCCTTCCTGTCAGAGGCCTGCTATGGAGAGCAGGAGCTGGACGCTAACTCTGCTCTCATGGAGCTGGATAAAGGTGTGTTAGCATGAAGCTAACCTAGCCTAGCATTCTGCCCATTCATTTGTACGGGAATAATATAGCTTAGCATAGTGTCCATTCATTGACACTGGGTTACTAATTTATTTATTTAAGTTATTTTATATAGACTTTCGCAGATGACAACACACAACCTCAAACCACGTGACATGTGTGTTGTAGAGGTTTCAAGAGGTTTGCTAAGATTATGACATAAATTCATTCAATTAGGTTAAATGATTATTTCTAAACCTGTACACTTTTTACAGAACAACCAAAAACAGAATATATTTTTGTGTGTAAATGTGTATTGTCTGTTGTCTGTATCAGCTCATGGTGGAACCTGAATTAAATTTCCATTTCTAGGATAAATACATTAGTAGAATAGTTATCCCTCGTAATTGGAGTGATCAGTTGTTGAACAGACCCAGAGTTTTGTTGTGTTTTGATGAGTTGTGTGTCTGCGTGTGTCTCTCTTTGTGTGTTTAGGTCTGCGCTCTGGTAAACTGGGAGAACAGTGTGAGGCCGTGGTGCTCTTCCCCAAACTGTTTCAGAAATATCCATTTCCGATTCTCATCAACTCTGCTTTTCTCAAACTGGCCGACGTCTTCAGACTGGGGTAGGCACATGTTCACATACACATATATATACACGCACGCACACACAGACACACACATACATGTACACACACACACACACACACACATACATGAACACACACACACACAAACCCTCACAATAATGAGTGTGTGTGTTTGTTTGTGTATAAATAAACACACATTTAAGTGTACATTTGTTTTCTTCACAGGAATAACTTCCTGCGACTGTGTGTCCTGAAAGTGACTCAACAAAGTGAGAAACATCTGGAGAAAATCCTGAACGTGGACGAGTTTGTGAAGAGAGTGTTCTCCGTTATTCACAGCAACGACCCAGTGGCACGAGCCATAACTCTAAGGTTCAAGTCCAAGTCTCGCCATTTGACATTCAACCACAATTATGAACATTGGTCTCTGTCCCTTATGGACCAATGAGTTTGCTATTATTGCAATTGAATTGAAACTGAATGAAAGCTCTGTCCCCAAACTTGTCTCCTCCTTCCTCTGACCTCTGACCTGTGTGATGTCGCAGGATGCTCGGGAGCCTGGCGTCCATCATCCCCGACAGGAAGAACGCTCACCACAACATCCGCCAGAGTTTGGACTCTCATGACAACGTGGAGGTGGAGGCCGCTGTGTACGCCGCCGCCAGCTTCTCAGCACAGTCCAAGTGAGAGCCAGGGTTTGACCACTGCTAACCACTGCTAACCACTGCTAACTACAGCTAACCACCGCTAACCACTGCTAACCACTGCTAACCACTGCTAACTACAGCTAACCACCGCTAACCACTGCCAACTACAGCTTACCCCGCTCACCTGACCCACTGTGATGTGTCGTTTCAGAGACTTCGCTGCTGGAATCTGCAACAAAGTCAGTGAGATGATCCAAGGTACTGACACACGGCTTTCTATAGTACTAAGGTGGTTCATGTAGTCAAGATTAAAATTGGAGAGAGACCAGAGGGAGACCAGAGAGAGACCAGAGAGAGACCAGAGGGAGACCAGAGAGAGACCAGAGGGAGACCAGAGAGAGACCAGAGAGAGACCAGAGGGAGACCAGAGGGAGACCAGAGGGAGACCAGAGAGAGACCAGAGAGAGACCAGAGAGAGACCAGAGAGAGACCAGAGAGAGACCAGAGAGAGACCAGAGAGAGACCAGAGAGAGACCAGAGAGAGACCAGAGAGAGACCAGAGAGAGACCAGAGAGAGACCAGAGAGAGACCAGAGAGAGACCAGAGAGAGACCAGAGAGAGACCAGAGAGAGACCAGAGAGAGAGACCAGAGAGAGACCAGAGAGAGACCAGAGAGAGACCAGAGGGAGACCAGAGGGAGACCAGAGGGAGACCAGAGGGAGACCAGAGGGAGACCAGAGGGAGACCAGAGAGAGACCAGAGAGAGACCAGAGAGAGACCAGAGAGAGACCAGAGAGAGACCAGAGAGAGACCAGAGAGAGACCAGAGAGAGACCAGAGAGAGACCAGAGAGAGACCAGAGAGAGACCAGAGAGAGACCAGAGAGAGACCAGAGAGAGACCAGAGAGAGACCAGAGAGAGACCAGAGGGAGACCAGAGGGAGACCAGAGAGAGACCAGAGAGAGACCAGAGAGAGACCAGAGAGAGACCAGAGAGAGACCAGAGAGAGACCAGAGAGAGACCAGAGAGAGACCAGAGAGAGACCAGAGAGAGACCAGAGGGAGACCAGAGGGAGACCAGAGGGAGACCAGAGAGAGACCAGTAGTAGTAATAACCAGTTGTACATGTGTTGTGGTCTGCAGGCCTGGACACCCCGGTGGAGCTGAAGCTGAAGCTGATCCCGATGCTGCAGCACATGCATCATGATGCAGGACTGGCCTCCAGCAGCAGAGAGCTGCTGCAGCACCTGCTCGACTCCTACCCCTCCACCGCCATGGTCATCGTCACTCTGCACACCTTCACCCAGCTGGCAGCCTCTGCTCTCATACACATACCCAAACAGGTATGACACACTGTCTTTACCATAAGTGGACCATTCAACTTGTACTTAAATCTGTTTGTGTTTGTATGTGTCTCTCCCTCTCTGTGTGTCTCTGTGTGTCTCTCTGTGTGTGTCACTCTCTCTGTGTGTTCAGCTCCAGCTGCTGCTGCAGTATCTCAAAGGCGATCCTCGGAAAGCTGTGAAAAGACTGGCCATCAATGACCTGAAGCTGCTGGCCAAGAAGGCGCCACACCTGTGGACCAGAGAGGACACTCAGGTACACAGACACACGCAGAGACACACTCACAGAGGACACTGAGGTACATAACACAGAGAGAGACACGCAGAGAGACACTCACAGAGGACACTGAGGTACATAACACAGAGAGAGACACCCAGAGAGACACTCACAGAGGACACTGAGGTACATAACACAGAGAGAGACACGCAGAGAGACACTCACAGAGGACACTGAGGTACATAACACAGAGAGAGACACCCAGAGAGACACTCACAGAGGACACTGAGGTACATAACACAGAGAGACACCCAGAGAGACACTCACAGAGGACACTGAGGTACATAACACAGAGAGACACCCAGAGAGACACTCACAGAGGACACTGAGGTACATAACACAGAGAGAGACACCCAGAGACACACTCACAGAGGACACTGAGGTACATAACACAGAGAGAGACACCCAGAGACACACTCACAGAGGACACTGAGGTACATAACACAGAGAGAGACACGCAGAGACACACTCACAGAGGACACTGAGGTACATAACACAGAGAGAGACACCCAGAGACACACTCACAGAGGACACTGAGGTACATAACACAGAGAGAGACACGCAGAGAGACACTCACAGAGGACACTGAGGTACATAACACAGAGAGAGACACCCAGAAAGACACTCACAGAGGACACTGAGGTACATAACACAGAGAGAGACACAACATTCTGGAGCATCTTTATGACTCTTTCAAGATTGCTCCCTTTATTCCATGGTGTGCGTGTGCGTCTGCGTCTGTGTCTCTGTCTCTGTCTCTGTGTCTGTGTCTGTGTCTGTCTCTCTGTCTCTGTCTCTGTGTCTCTGTCTCTGTCTCTGTGTCTGTGTCTGTGTCTGTGTCTGTCTCTCTGTCTCTGTGTCTGTGTCTCTGTCTCTGTGTCTGTGTCTGTGTCTGTCTCTCTGTGTCTGTGTCTGTGTCTGTGTCTGTCTCTGTGTCTGTGTCTCTGTCTCTGTCTCTGTCTCTGTCTCTGTGTCTGTGTCTCTGTCTCTGTGTCTGTGTCTGTGTCTGTCTCTCTGTGTCTGTGTCTGTGTCTGTGTCTCTGTCTCTGTCTCTGTCTCTGTCTGTGTCTGTGTCTCTCTCTGTCTCTGTCTCTCTGTGTGTGTCTCTCACTCTCTGTGTGTCTCTCTAGACCCTGTGTGAGTGTGCTCTCAGCTGCCCCTACAACAGCCTGAAGCTGGGCATGTTGTCTGTGATCTCCACTCTGTCTGGGACCATCGCCATCAAACACTACCTCAGTCCAGCACCAGGTGAGACCTGAACCATCACAGCAGCCTCAGTCTGAGCTGTCCTGGTATCTGTCCATGTCTCTGGTAACTGCCCATGTCTCTGTCTCTGCCTCAGGCTCTGCTCCAGTCCCTCCCAGACTCACAGACCTGGTGAAACTGGCCTTGGAGAGCTCCTACCACAGTAACCTGTGGGTGTCTGGTCACGGGGTCATGGTCCTCACCAACGTCACGCTGAGTGGACCAGAGGCAGGTCAGTGCAGCAGCCGCCATGGTCTGTGTCAAACCATGTTCATATTAACCAGTGTGTGTGTGTGTGTGTGTGTTTGTGTTGCAGACCTGGGGCTGGAGCAGGATACTCTTCTGGCTCTTCAGTCTCTGGTCACTCTCTGCAGCCAGGACCACAGCAGCAGCTCTCAGGCCACACTCAAGGTTCAGTTCAATCTATTTATGTTTCGCACCAAACCACAGCAGAAGTCGTCTCTGAGGACTTTACTAAATTCAACACTTAGACCCTCCTGCATCGGCAAGGAACACTCAGAAACCCAAGACTGAGGCTGTAGACCCAGGACATAGGCTGTAGATCCAGAACTGAGGCTGTAGATCCAGAACTGAGGCTGTAGACCCAGGACTGAGGCTGTAGACCCAGGACTGAGGCTGTAGACCCAGGACTGAGGCTGTAGACCCAGGACTGAGGCTGTAGACCCAGGACTGAGGCTGTAGACCCAGGACTGAGGCTGTAGACCCAGGACTGAGGCTGTAGATCCCATCATCCACTCGACCTGGCAAACATCATGCACATGTTTTTGAATTCTGTCACCCCTTTATGACAAAAATATGAGGCGATAGTTTAATATGAGGCGAGGAGAGAGCAGACAAGACCCTGACTTTTGACAGTTACCATGGGGAGACGTCTCAGCTACACTTCACCACACTGTGAAACTATCGCTCTCTGGATCACACTGATGTCACATAAACACTGCTTATGGAATTATTTGCATGGTGTGTACTATCCTGGTGCACACCGGGAGACTCTCGTGCAGTTATTCCAATGTGGTTTTACTGAAAATAATCTGAATCTGTGTTGATATTTTCACAGACGGCTCTCACGTCATTGGTCAGGCTGCTGAAGGAGCGGCCGGAGCTCAGCCAATCAGCTGTGGAGTTCCTGTTGGGGCAGCTCCATGTGGTGTGTGATTGGTCGCGTGTATCGATGTGCCACGCCCTCGCCTCCATCGCCTCCCACCTGCCCGTGCTGGGGGAGTCCATGATGGGAGACCTGCTGGACCTGTACAGGGCCAGCCACTCTGCAACGGACAAGCAACAAGAGCTGCTGGTGAGGCTCCGTGTGCTCTGGTCTCTCTGGTCTCTTTCTGGTCTCTCTCTGGTCTCTCTCTGGTCTCTCTCTGGTCTCTATCTGGTCTCTCTCTGGTCTCTCTCTGGTCTCTCTCTGGTCTCTCTCTGGTCTCTCTCTGGTCTCTCTCTGGTCTCTCTCTGGTCTTTATCTGGTCTCTCTCTGGTCTCTCTCTGGTCTCGCTCTCTGGTCTGTTTTTCTGGTCTCTCTCTGGTCTCTCTCTGGTCTCCCTCTGGTCTGTCTCTCTGGTCTCTCTCTGGTCACTCTCTGATCTCTCTTTTGTCTCTCTCTGCTCCCACTCTGGTCTCTCTGTGGTCTTTCTCTCTCTGCTCCTGTGATGAACTGGATATCGCTCTCTCCCTCTTTCTCTCTCTCCTCTGACAGGGCTCTCTCTGTCTCTCTCTTCCTCTCTCCTCTGACATGGGTCTCTCTCTCTTCAGGTCTCCTTGGCAACAGTAGTGTTCGTGGCGAGTCAGTCCAGTCTGTCTGTGGAGGTGAAGTCTGTGATAAAGCAGCAGCTGGAGACTGTGGCCAATGGGTGGACCGTGTACCGCATCGCACGCCAGGCCTCACGCATGGTAAATGCCTTCATGGTACCGCCTTCATGGTATCGCCTTTATGGTATCGCCTTTATGGTTTCGCCTTTATGGTACCGCCTCTATGGTACCGCCTTTATGGTGCGACCTTTATGGTATTGCTTGAATGATACTGCCTTTATGGTACGGCCTTTATGGTACCGTCTTCATGGTATCGCTTTCATGGTACCGCCTTCGTGGTACCGCCTTTATGGTATCGCCTTTATGGTACCTGCTCTCTCAGGTCTCTCTTTTTCTGGTCTCTCTCTCTCTTGGTCTCTCTCTGGTCTCTCTCGGGTGTCTCTTTCTGGTCTATCTCTGTCTGCTAATTCTCCCTCTGGTCTCGCTCTGCTCTCTCTGTTGTCTTATTGCCCTCAGTCCTCTCCTCTTTCTGCTTTTCCAGGGCTGCCACGCTCTCTCCTCAGAGCTGTACCAGAGCCTGCGCACTCGCGTGGCCTCGGAGCACTTCTACTTCTGGCTGAACAGTCTGAAGGAGTTCTCTCAGGCCGAGCAGTGTCTGAGTCACATCCAGGACCAGGACTCCAGCGGAGCCATGAGCGCCATCGCCGAGGCCCTGCGCTCGTACCAGAAGGGGATTGCCTCGCTCACGGTCCGCACCAGCAACACGCTATTGCACCCACATGGTTTTATCAGAATGAGACTATTTACATTGTCATTTTATGTTTAGAAGAGTAGAATGTGAATTGATATTAGAAAATATATGTTGAGTAAATGAGAGAATCCAGAGAGAGAGACCAGAAGGAGAGACCAGAAGGAGAGACCAGAAGGAGAGACCAGAAGTAGTGACCATAGAGATAGAGACTGAAGACGAGAGAAACATGAGAAAGACCAGACAGAGACTGTGACCAGAGAGAAGTGAAAGCTAGTGATAGAAAAAACTTTTGTCGAGCCAGGGTCCAGTGACATGGATTTGATCTCATAGTTATTATATTAGTTATAGTTTTTTTTTACTTCGCGCACTTGTGTGTTTCTGGTCTGACTCTGGTTTCTCACCTGGTGTGTGTCGCAGGCTGCCAGCACGCCTCTCTCTCCCCTGAGTTTCCAGTGTGAGCTGATGAAGCTGCGGATGGACACGGTGCAGGCTCTGTCCCAGCTTCTGTGCACCTGCAACAGTCTGAAGACCAGCCCTCCCCCCGCCATCGCCACCACCGTCGCCCTGGGCAACGGGCAGGAGCTACAGCGCTGCGGACGCATCTCTATGCAGGTCAGAGAGAGACTAGAGAGAGACTAGAGAGAGACTAGAGAGAGACCAGAGAGAGACCAGAGAGAGACCAGAGAGAGACCAGAGAGAGACCAGAGAGAGACCAGAGAGAGACCAGAGAGAGACCAGAGAGAGACCAGAGAGAGACCAGAGAGAGACCAGAGAGAGACCAGAGAGAGACCAGAGAGAGACCAGAGAGAGACCAGAGAGAGACCCGAGAGACTGCAGAGAAAAAGGTCGAGAGAGATATAGAGAGATACAAACACACGCACACATTGAGAGACAGATACACACACACACGCACAGACAGTGCGAAACAGAGAGAGAAAGAGACAGACACACACCAGGCACTTGAAACAAACAGAGCAAGTCTTTTCTCTGAGCCACAGGAAGCAGAGACCTGAGAGAAGAACTAATGTGATTGTGTGTGTCTTGTGCCTCCTCATGTGCTTTGTGTGTGTGTCTGTGTGTGTGTTTGTGTGTCTCCAGATGAAAGTGTGCATGGATGAGTTCCGGTCTCTCGCCGCTCGATACGCAGAGGTGCACCAGTCGTCCTTTGACGCAGACTCTGCCACTCTGAGGAACGTGGAGCTGTATCCTTCTGCGAGACCCAGGACTGAGGCTGAAGACCCAGGACTGAGGCTGTAGATCCAGGACTGAGGCTGCAGATCCAGGACTGAGGCTGTAGACCCAGGACTGAGGCTGTGGATCCAGGACTGAGGCTGTAGACCCAGGACTGAGGCTGTAGATCCAGGACTGAGGCTGTAGACCCAGGACTGAGGCTGTAGATCCAGGACTGAGGCTGTAGACCCAGGACTGAGGCTGTAGACCCAGGACTGAGGCTGTAGACCCAGGACTGAGGCTGTAGACCCAGGACTGAGGCTGTAGACCCAGGACTGAGGCTGTAGATCCAGGACTGAGGCTGTAGACCTTGACTTCAGATCAGTCAGCAACAGAGTTGTCTCCTGGTTTCTTACGTCATAGAAGCTCTGATCCTGGATCCTCAAGGAGCAAGGTACAAGTCCTTTAACACACACAGAACCTGCACCTGGTAATCTGAAGAAAGCACTAATTTATGTGTGTGTGTGTATGTGTGTCTCTCTCTCTCTCTCTCTCTGTGTGCGTCTAGTTTCCCAGAGTGTGGTGCTGTTGGGTCGCTGCAGACTGAGAGTGAGTTCGAGCGCAGGATGCTATCGGTTTTCAGCAAAGTCCTACAGGAAGTGGAAGATCTGAGTCAGAAGTGTCCTCCTGTGTCCTACCTGGTACACACACACATACATACACACACGCACGCACGAACACGCACGCACGAACACGCACGCACACACACACACACACACACACACACACACACACACACATACACACACACACGCACGCACGCGCACGCACGCACACACACACACGCACACACACATAAACACACACTCCTGGTATAGACTCTTGTCTCTGTCCCTCAGCACACCAACTGTCTCTGTAATGCGGTCATCGCTCTGCTCAAAGTTCCTCTGTCCATCGAGCGATACTTCTTCCAGAAGCTGCAGTCCACGAGTATAAAGGTACTAGACACACACAGAGACACACACAGAGACACACACAGAGACACACAGACACACAGAGGAGTCCATAAAGGTACTTTTACCTTCTAGTATCTCTGGTCTCTCTCAGGTCCCTCTCTGGTTTCTCTCTCTGGTCTCTCACTGGTCCCTCTCTGGGTTCTTTCTCTGTGCACACACAACTTTCATAATGAGTCCAAACAAATCTATGAATGAGAAAAAACCCAACATATTCCTATGTCTCCCTCTGGTGGCGGCAGATGGAATTATAGGCGTAGATTTTACCCTTCATACTTCTTTCATCTTGTATTTTACTGAAGATGATCTCTCTCATTCTAAAACACTGTGTGTGTGTGTGTCTCCCCCCTCAGCTGGCCCTCTCCCCCTCCCCCCGCTCCCCCGCGGAGCCCATCCCAGTCCAGAGCAGTCAGCAGATGACCTTGAAGGTGGAGGGAGTGGTGCAGCATGGTTCCAGTCCTGGTCTCTTCAGGAAGATCCAGTCTGTGTGTCTCAGTGTCACCACCACCTTACAGAGCAAGAGCGGCAACGACCACAAGGTGAGCACTACCAGGGACCAGAGGGGGCAAGAACCAGAGGGGGCATGGACCATAGGGGCTTGGACCAGAGGGGACAGAGACCAGAGGGGGCAAGGACCCCTAGAGGCATGGACCATAGAGGTATGGACCAGAGGGGGCATGGGGTAGGGACCAGGGACCAGAGGGGGGCAAGGACCAGGGACTAAAGGGGGGAGAGACCAGAGGGTGCAGAGACCAGAGGGTGCAGAGACCAGAGGGTGCAGAGACCAGAGGGTGCAGAGACCAGAGGGTGCAGAGACCAGAGGGTGCAGAGACCAGAGGGGGCAGAGACCAGAGGGTGCAGAGACCAGAGGGTGCAGAGACCAGAGGGTGCAGAGACCAGAGGGGGCAGAGACCAGAGGGGGAGACAGAGAGAGGGGGGGCAGAGACCAGAGGGGGCAGAGACCAGAGGGGGCAGAGACCAGAGGGGGCAGAGACCAGAGGGGGCAGAGACCAGAGGGGGCAGAGACCAGAGGGGGCAGAGACCAGAGGGGGCAGAGACCAGAGGGGGCAGAGACCAGAGGGGGCAGAGACCAGAGGGGGCAGAGACCAGAGGGGGCAGAGACCAGAGGGGGCAGAGACCAGAGGGGGCAGGGACCAGAGGGGGCAGGGACCGGGACCAGAGGGGGCAGGGACCAGAGGGGGCATGGACCAGAGGGGGCATGGACCAGAAGGGGCATGGACCAGAAGGGACAGGGACCAGGGGGTGTATTCGATGGCTATAACAGGCAAAGAGACGTATGGGGGAAATATCCTGTTGAGGGTCTTGTTCTGAATAATAGAAGTGATGATGATGATGCTGATGATGATGCTGATGGTGATGGTGATGATGATGATGGTGATGATGATGATGATGCAGGTGGCCATTGACGCCAAAACCAACGAGATGGAGCAGCGCGTGGAACCGCACAACGACTACTTCAGCACACAGTTCCTGCTAAACTTCAGCGTCCTCGGAACGCACGCCGTCGCCGTGGAGACGTCTGTGGTGGACCAGAGCGGCACCGAGTGGAAGACGGGCCCCAGGATGAGTCTCTGCGTCAAGAGCCTGGAGGACCCCTACTCCCAGCAGCTCCGGCTCCAGCTGCAGCAGGGACCCCAGGCTCAGGCTCAGAGGGGGCCCTTCCCCCGATTCTAGGCCCTCTCAGAGAGAGGGTTTCTATCGTCTCTCTCTGTGGTCTCTTTTTTGTCTTTCTCTCTCGCTTGTCTCTCTCTCTCTGGTCATTCTCTGGTCTCTCTCTCTTTGGTCGCTCTCTCTTTGGTCTCTCTGAGCTTGCTGGTCTCTCTCTGATCTCTCTCTGGTAATTATCTGGTCTCTCTCTCTCTTTGGTCTCTGGTCTCTCTCTGATCTCCCTCTGGTCATTCTCTGGTCTCTCTCTCTCTTTTGTCCCTCTCCTTTCCCCACCTTTTGGCCTCTTATCAGTAGAGAGACAGTGTATCGTACAGGTCTCTGTGAGGCCTGGAGTCTCTCAACACTCTGGGATTATTATTGATTTCCAAAAACGGTGTCCAAGCACACGAGTTCAGAGCAGAACTGCACCATTTTTCTGTAATTAAAAAAAATGTTTTTACGATCTGTTTGTTTTAAATCTCTTTCATCATTTTTGATACATATGAATTGCCATTTATAACTGTGATAGATAAGTGTTAAATAATAAAACACAAATGTACAAAAATGAATGTGAATTTTTTTTATGACCTTGACCTGAACCAAGAGACCATGCAGAGAGGGAGAGACCAGGGAGAGAGACCAGGGAGAGACCAGGGAGAGACCAGAGGGATTAGAGAGACAGACCAGAATGTGAGGAACCAGAGAGAGATACCAGAAAGGGCATCAAAAAGCTCTTAATTTTGACCAAACTGGAAGAATCTGGTGCTGATCGAATCCACGGAGAATGAGGTGTTTCTTATGCACATTCAGCCAGCAGGGGGCGACTCACCACCGCGCTCCTCTCCAGTCTCCTCACTTGCTACTGTTTCAAATGCATGTTGATAAGACATAACAAAGACAGGATGGAATGTGTTTAATAACTTAAGCCAATATAATACAGACACCAAAACCCCTTATTAAATACACGGTCTACACATGGTTAAAACTGGAGTACGTAACATTTTAAACCAGAAAAATAAAAACTAATACAGATCTATGTTACTGGATCCTATGTAGAATAAAAGTCAAAAAGTTATTAACCGGGCTATTTCTAAAACAAAAACATGTTTTCGCTGTGATCTCTCAATCTGGTCCCTCTCTGGTCTCGCCCTTTGGTCTCTCTCTCTGGTCTCTGGAAGAGAAGAGAAGAGAAGATTTGAGTAGAGTAGAGTAGAATAGAGCAGAGTAGACTAAAGAAGAGAAGAATAAAGTAGAATAAAGCAGAGTAGACTAGAACAAAGTAGAGTAGAAAAGACAGGAGTAGAGTAGAGTAGGGTAGGGCAGGGCAGGGCAGGGCAGGGCAGGGTAGGGTAGGGCAGGGCAGGGCAGGACAGGGCCGGGCAGGGCAGGGCAGGGCAGGGTAGGGTAGGGCAGGGCAGGGCAGGGCAGGGCAGGGCAGGGGTAGGGTAGGACAGGACAGGGCAGGGCAGGGCAGGGCAGGGCAGGGTAGGGCAGGGCAGGGCAGGGCAGGGCAGGGTAGGGTAGGGCAGGATAGGATAGGTCAGGGCAGGGCAGGGCAGGGCAGGGCAGGGTAGGGTAGGGTAGGACAGGGCAGGATAGGGCAGGGCAGGGCAGGGCAGGGCAGGGCAGGGTAGGGCAGGGCAGGGTAGGGTAGGGCAGGGCAGGGTAGGGCAGGGCAGGGCAGGGCAGGGTAGGGTAGGGCAGGGCAGGGCAGGGTAGGGTAGGGTAGGACAGGGCAGGGTAGGGCAGGGCAGGGCAGGGTAGGGCAGGGCAGGGCAGGGCAGGGTAGGGCAGGGCAGGGTAGGGTAGGACAGGACAGGGTAGGGCAGGGCAGGGCAGGGCAGGGTAGGGTAGGGTAGGACAGGGCAGGGTAGGGCAGGGCAGGGCAGGGTAGGGCAGGGCAGGGCAGGGCAGGGTAGGGTAGGGCAGGGCAGGGTAGGGTAGGGTAGGGCAGGGCAGGGCAGGGCAGGGCAGGGCTTTGGTTGATGACTATTTCAAAAATCGGTTAAATAGTCTCTGTCGTATGTTTTAATCCAAACGCACCCAGAGTACCAGACTGGTTTTATTGTGAAGGCTCTCCACTTCCGCTGCTCCGTGACGACATCCTGCGGGGAAGACATAACGGGACCAAGAGGGTGCATCTGGGACCAAATCTGGATCCTGAGACCGTCTCTACCACCGCCACCAACACCACCAGCACCACCCCCACCCTCCACCCCGCGCCTCCCACTCCCTGCTCCCCCATGGCCGGACCACCATGGCCTGGGCCCTGACGCTGCCGCTGGAGGAGCATCGCAGCCGGATCCTTTCCCCGGGTGTGCGTGTCTGAGATGCGGCCAGGCTCTCTCCTCGGCAGGGGCGGACTGGCTCGTTAGCCTGCTAGCTTAGCGGGCTACATCACGGAGCGGACGCGGGTGATAATGGACTGTGTTTATGGCACCGTGGCGACTGTGCCCACTGCTACTAGCTTACTCATTAACTACTAGCGCGTGCCATCCGGTTAGCCGCCGTATCTGCCCGTATCTAGCGGTCTCTCCGTCCGTGCGTGGATGATCCAGTGACGTTTCTCCGGTGAGTGACCCTTGTGCATGTGGACTGATGCTTGTTTTATGTATGGATTATAATGTAGTGTAGATCCGTGTTATAATCGCACTAACACATGTACCAAAGTCTATTTCCGTAGCTTACTAATGAATGGCTCGGAGTTACTAGAATATACACAACAAAAGATTCCCACATCTTACTAATGAATGGCATGTTAGTATTAGATAGCAATATGGCCTATGTGCAGGACTGTACAAGGACTCTGATTATTATGACTATGATTTCATTTTCATTTCATTTCATTTATTTATTTATTTGAATTAGGACAGTGCACATTAATCAACACGTTTTGCACTCTCTCTGTGTGACACGTATGTATTTCCATGTGTGACGTGACAATGACTATATAAACTGTGTACTGCCTTTATTCTGTCTGAGAGAAAGAAACAATTGAAACCACTGGAACTTGAGAGAAACGTAAATAAACTTCCAGAGTTTGGCACACCACGATCCGTCTCTGTCTGCTTCATCCCTGACAGGCGTAAACACAATTTTGTACAATAAGTCACTTTAAGTCGCTGCACTAAGACTGAAAAATCCTGCACTACTATTGCCACTTTTGTACATAATATGTCCTGTCCTGTTTGCACATTTCTTACTTTCTGCACAGTGTTTCTATCCATGCCAAACGTGACTGATTAATAAAGTACATCTTATCTTATCTTAACTTTGGATTCCCAGTGGTCTCCCTGTTAAAGATTGCATATGACGTGTTGGTAAGAGATGTAATTACCTTACTATAACATGTCATAAGCGATTTTTCTGAGCTTACTATCGAACACAAACACGAAATTCGATTCTCAAATGTCTGCAACACAAAATAATAAGTGCATTTTAAGATTAAGGGATCCTCAATTTGTCCTATAGTGTTGCAAATGTCTGCAACACAAAATAATAAGTGCATTTTAAGATTAAGGGATCCTCAATTTGTCCTATAGTGGGGTTATTTACGTTTTGCATCACATGTTACAGACAGTAGGATTAAGGAGCACGCAGCACAAAATAAATGCATAATAATAAGGAATGCATGTGAGGTTTTGGTAAAGAGTTCACCATGACCAGGAAATGCAAGTTTATTTGTACAGAACAGACTCAAAACAAGATTAATACAATAATTATTCGTGTTTTCAGCTCACTAAACTATATTTCCATAGAATACTAAGCTTTTTGCACCACATTCAATCCTGCTATTATCCACGTTGTGCACTTTCTGTTCTGATAAGGCGTTATTACAGTGTGATAAGTGTGGTCCACGCGTGTCCTGTGCAGATGCATTATCCCACAATGTTATGTATACAAGCTGGGATGCTAGCTTTCCGATGCAAGTTTAAGAAATCGATTAGCCCTACTTCCGATAGTTGTGACCCGGTTGCACTGTGGGCTACAAACACATATATTTATTTGTCTTTTATGCATCTGAACATTATTTCTGCATCCAAAGCTAACGTTGTGTTTATGATGTGCTTAGCTAGCTTAATACTCCTGTTGTGCTAGCCTAGCCGCTCAGCTAACTGGACTAGCCTAGCGAACCCTTTTATGGTAGCGTGCCTTTGCCCCTGGCGTTATGGCCCCAAAGGCGGGCATCCACACCGGGGTCCACGGCCTCTCGGGGGTTGGGTTCGTGCTGGAGGTGTTGAAAGTGACTCTATAAGGCCCTACGTGCATTTGAATGGGCTGAACGTGAATGTAATCTGGGCTCCAGGACGTGCGCAGTGGGGGGTCAAACTGAGTGTCCTCATATTCACTACTTAAAGCTGGGGTACCTGATTATCTCCCCCTCATAAATAATGCAATTGTGTTTTTTTCCCAGTCCTGTAAAGGTAACCTGTGGTGAACAAATCAGACCACACCATGCTGTCTCCATCTCATTAGTAAACATGTTATCTTTTGTGTTAGAATGACCCGGTTGAGGAACTATTTGACCCATTCTGATGAGAGTTGATAGACCATTTGTATACTATGTTGAAAGTTACCATTACTTAAAGCTGGGGTATGTAACTTTCAAATCACAACACGGGGACTGTGTCATAAAACCCATGTCCCCAGTTTCTGCCGTTCAAACAGTTGCTTCTATCACTAGTTTTAGATCCACTTTTTCAGACAGAAAAGTCAAAAAAAGAGGACCACCCTCACTCAGCCAATCAGCTCTAAGCCCAAAGAGGCAAATAGAGACTCACAGGAATCTTTCTCACAAAAGAGTTTAAAAAAACAAACTTTATCTCTCTGGTCTCTCTCTGGTCTCTCTCTGGTCTCTCTCTCTCTCTCTCTCTCTCTCTCTCTCTCTCTGGTCTCTCTCTCTCTCTCTCTCTCTCTCTCTCTCTCTGGTCTCTCTCTCTCTCTCTGGTCTCTCTCTGGTCTCTCTCTCTCTCTC